GTGACTATAATTAACAATACTGTATTCTACATTAAAGGTTGATAAAACAGTAAATCTTAAAAGTTCATCCTACTAAAGAATAAATGGTCAACCAGGCAATTAAAGAAATTTTAAAATATATGGAAATAAATGAAATGCAAACACAATAGTCCAAATTCTTTGGGATGCAGCAAAGGCAGTCCTAAGAGGAAAATACATTGCAGTCCAGGCCTATCTCAAGAAACAAGAAAAATCCCAAATACAAAATTTAATAGCACGCCTAAAACAACTAGAAGCAGAATAATAAAGAAACCCCCAAGCCAAGCAGAAGAAGAGAAATAATAAAGATGAGAGCAGAAATAAACAATATAGAACTCCCAAAATTGGTAGAATACATCAATGAAACTAAGAGCTGGTTTTCTGAAGAAATAAACAAAATTGGATAAACTCCTAGCCAGACTTCTCAAAAAGAGAGAACCCAAGTAGATTAAATCATGAATGAAAATGGGTTTGTCACAACCAATCCCTCAGAAATGCAAGCAATTATCAGAGAATACTATGAAAAATTATATGCCAACAAAACAGACAACCTGGAGAATGGACTGATTCCTAGACACCCAAACACTACCAAAACTCAAACAGGCAGAAACAGAAAATTTGAACAGACCCATAATTAAAGAAGAAATTGAATCAGTTGTCAAAAATCTCCCAACAAATAAGAATTCTGGGCCAGATGGATTCCCAGAGTAATTCTACCAGACATTGAAAGCAGAGTTAATACCCATCCTTCTCAAGCTGTTCCAAAAAAATAGAAACAGAAGGAAAACTTCCAGACTCATTCTATGAAGCCAGCATTACCTTGATTCCCAAACCAGAGACCCCACAAAAAAGGAGAACTACGGGCCTATCCCTGATGGAACATGGATGCAAAAATTCTCAACAAGATAACTAGCAAATTGAATTCAACTGCATATAAAAAGAATTATTCACCATGATAAAGTGGGATTCATTCCTGGGCTGCAGGGCTGGTTCAAGATTCACAAATCAATGTGACACATCACACCAACAAAAGAAAGGATAAGAACCATATGATCCTGTCAATAGATGCAGAAAAACACAGCATCCTTTCTTAATAAAAACCCTCAAGAAACACAGAAGGATAGAAGGAACACACCTAAACATCACAAAAGCCATATTTGAAAAGCCGACAGCTAACTGCATCCTCAATGGGGAAAAACTGAGAGCTTTCCTCCTGAGATCAGTAACACGACAGGGCTGTCCACTCTCACCAGTGTTGTATAACACAGCCTTGGAAGGCCTAGCCTCAGCAATCAGAAAGGGTATCCAAATTGGCACAGAAGAAGTCAAACTTTCACTTTTCACCGACGACATGATACTCTTTGTGCAAAAGCCAAAAGACTCCACTAAAAGGCTGCTAGAACTGATATATGAATTCAGCAAAGTCACAGGGTACAAAATCAATGTACAGAAATCAGTCGCATTTCTATACGACAATCAAGAAACTGTTTCCATTCACAACTGCACAAAAAACCATAAAATACCTAGAAATAAACCTAACCAAAGATATAAGAGATCTACATGATGAAAACTACAGAAAACTTTTGAAGGAAATTGAAGAAGACAAAGAAATGGAAAAACATTCCATGCTCATGTATTCGAAGAATATTGTTAAAATGTCAATACTACCCAAAGCAATCTACACATTCAATGCAATCCCAATCAAAATTGTACCAGCACTGATCTCAAAGTTAGAACAAACAATCCTAAAATTCGTATGGAACCACAAAAAACCCCGAATAGCCAACAGAATATTGAAGAAGAAAACCAAAACGGGAGGCATCACCATCCCAGACTTTAGCCTCTACCACAAAGCTGTCATCATCAAGACAGTATGGTATTGGCACAAAAACAGACACATAGACCACTGGAATAGAATAGAAAACTCAGAATTGGACCCACAAATGTATGGCCAACTATTCTTTGACAAAGCAGGAAAGAATATCCAATGGAAAAAAGACAGCCTCTTTAACAGATGGTGCTGGGAGAGCTGGACAGCAATGTGCAGAAGAATGAAACTACATCATTTTCTCACCCCATACACAAAAATAAACTCAAAATGGATAAAGGACCTGAACATGAGACAGGAAACCATCAAAACCCTAGAGGAGAAAGCAGGAAACAATCTCCTTGACCTCCACCGCAGCAATTTCTTACTTGACACATCCCCAAATGCAATTGAATCAAGAGCAAAAATTATCTTTTGGGACCTCATCAAGATTAAAAGCTTCTGCACTTCATAGTAAACAATCCATAAAACTAATAGGCAACCAACGGAATGGGAAAAGATAGTTGCAAATGACATATCAGATAAAGGGCTAGTATCCAAAATCAATAAGGAACTCACCAAACTCCACATCCGAAAAACAAATAACCCAGTAAAGAAATGGGCAGATGACATGAACAGACACTTCTCCAAAGAGGACATCCAGATGGCCAACAGACACATGAAACGATGCTCAGCGTCCCTCCTCATCAGGGAAATACAAATCAAAACAACACTGAGATACCACCTCACGCTGATCAGAGTGGCTACAATGAGCAAATCAGAGGACTCCAGATGCTGGCAATGATGTCGAGAAACGGGCACCCTCCTACACTATTGGTGAGAATGTACACTGGTGCAGCCTCTCTGGAAAAGTGTGGAGGTTCCTCAAAAAATTAACAATAGAACTCCCCTATGACCCAGCAATAGCACTGCTAGGAATTTACCCAAGGGATACAGGAGTGCTGATGCATAGGGGCATATGGACCCCAATGTTCATAGCAGCACTCTGAACAATAGCCAAAACGTGGAAAGAGCCTAATAAGTGTCCATCAGCCGATGAATGGATCAAGAAGATGTGGTTTGTCTATACAATGGAATACTACATGGCAATGAGAAAGAATGAAATCTGGCCTGTGTAGCAACCTGGATGGACCTTGATGGTGTTATGCTGAGCGAAATAAGTGAGGCAGAGAAGGACAAATATCATATGTTTGCACGTATAGGAGGATTAAGAGGAACTTAACGGAGGACCGTGGGGGAGAAGAGGGAAAATAGTGGCGGAGAGGGAGGGAGGCAAACCATGAGAGACTTTTGAATGCCGAGAACTGAAGGCTGATGGGGGTGGGGGGGAGGGGAAGGGGGTGATGGGCATGGAGGAGGGCACTTGTGGGGATGAGCACAGGGTGTTATATGGAAACCAACTTGACAATAAACTATGAAGGGGAAAAAATAAAATGCAGATTGACTCTGCAAGTGGGGGCAGGCCCAAAATCTCTTTTTTTTTTTAATTTCTTTTTAATGTTTATTTCTAGGAGAGAGAGAGACAGCATGAGCAGGGGAGAGTCAGAGAGAGAGGGAGACACAGACTCTTAATCAGGCTCCAGGCTCTGAGCTGGCTGTCAGCACAGTCTGAACACAGAGCTCAAACTCACAAACCGCTAGATCATGACTTGAACCAAAGATGGACAATTAACCAAATGAGCCATCCAGGCGCCACTCTGTTTTTGTTTTTTTTGTGTTTTTTTTCTTTTTACATTTATAAAAAGTGAGCGCCAGAAGAAAGCACACAGAGAAAGAGAATCGCAAATAGAGCTCTAACCCATCACCTTAACCAACTGACAGCCCCAGTGTTCCCAAATATCCATTTCTATGCGACTCCCAAGTACTGTAACTGCCTCCAATGTATGGAGCACCCCTGGAGTAACAAGGGTCTTCCACACATTTACAACTTCACTTGTGGAGGAAAGTGTGTGTTCCCTGGTCACCTGCCTCCCTCTCCCCATTCCCAAGTACCACTTCCTTCACTTTCAGGATCCCATCCACACGACAGAGAACATCTCGTTTTGCATTCTTTTTCTTTTCCATTTTCTGCCAGTTCCTGTCCGGTTAGCTCAGGAAAATCTCTCTGCATCTAAGCAAACCAGTCTCCATTGAGAAAATGACGATGCCTTCAACTTTCCAGCCGCAGTCGAGTTTGAGACCATAGGTACATAATCCTTTTTCTCCTTCCTCGGGTAAGCGCCTGAGCTTTACCCTGAGATTTCTGGGGTCCAGCCCAGCTCTGACCTCACCTCTCCCAGCATCAGTTTCCTGGACTTTAAAATAGGGTTGACAGGAACACCTTCCTTGGGGTTGTCATAGGCGCACACACTGGCTTGTCACAGGCATACACACCGAGTTGTCACAGATGCACTCGGGCTTGTCACGAGCGCACACACCATGCTGTCACAAGCACACACGGACCTCCCACAGGCGCACACGGGGCTGTCACAGGCATACCAGGTGTCACAGACGTACACACCGAGTTGTCACAGGCGCACACACTGGGTTGTCACGGGTGCACACACAAACCTCCCACAGGCGCACACGGGGCTGTCACAGGCATACCAGCTGTCACAGGCGTACACACCGAGTTGTCACAGACGCACTCGGGGTTGTCACAAGCGCACACACCATGTTGTCACAAGCACACACGGGGCTCACACAGGCGCACACCCCTCCGCCCCATCGCGCCCAAAACCAGAGTGCAGTTCGTCCAGCCCGGGTACCGCCCCCGCCCCCCTCCGGGAGGTGCCTTCCCACCTGCGGGCAATTGGCCGCTGCCCCGCAGACCACGTTCGCTCATTTCCTTTCCACCAACTTACTCTTCTGCCCCGCTGTTCCTCAGAGGAACCACCACATCACCAGGGCGAACGGACACCTGCGGCTCGGCCGTGCCCTTGAGGCCGAGCCGGCTACCGCCAGAAAAGCACAGGGCGCCGCTCCCCGGGGCACAGACGGGGACCCCGGTCTCGTCCGCCAGCGAACAGGGCCTCAGGGAAGGCAGCTTCCCCGCGCCGACGCCCCCAGGCCGACAGCGGCCCGGTCGCAGATGCCGCACCCCCCACCCCACCGCAGCGGCGTCCCTGGGGTTCGGGAAACGCCGGAGACCGTCCCGCCCCACGGGGGCACGTACCGCGCTCGCGAGAGGTCTTCCCCCGCTGCCTGCGGCCCCTCGCACGCCCGCCGCAGGGCCGCGATCTCGGCTTCCAAGGCGCGGACCTCCGCCAGCCGAGCGTCCATGGCGCGGCGCCGACGGGAGACTGCGGGAGGGACGCGCTCCAGGCCGCGAATTCAAGCCTCGCGCGCCGCTGGCGCAAACCATCGCGGAGCTCGGCGGGGGGGGTCCAGGGAGCTGAACCCCAGCTTGCAACCCGCGCGCGCGCGCGTAGTTTCCTGGATTCGTTACGCTCACGTCGCCCCCCACTCCCAGCCGGCTCTTCACAGTCTCGGGGCTTCGAGAGGGCGGGCGCCCTCCGGTCTGAAGCCCCAGGGCGCAGCAGCCCACCCCAGGCTAGCAGACCTTGGAACAACCCGGCCGAGACGCCCCCGCGAGGGGCGTGGAGGGGTCCGGGACCACGTGACCAGGAGCCTCTCTATTTTTCTTCCGTGTCTCTTCCGCCGTCCTAGGCCAGGAATCGAAGGACCGAGGGCGTTGATTCTTTAAAGTACAAATTAGAGATTTTCAGTTTGGGGTCGTTTGCGGGCATTGAAGGCGTAGTGTCGAGGCACCGCAGCACTCCAGAGGACCGCAAAGGAAATATGGAGCGCTCTGGAACGAAGTGCGGTAACGGAACCTTAGGAGCCCGAACCTGACGTCGGGTAGGAAGGATGACAGGACGCGTCTGTTGGGACACGTGACTGGAAGTTAGGGGCTCCGGCACCACTCTACGGAAAACTGCGTGGTGAGGAGGGATCTTGGGGCATACAAGTGACCGAGTCGTTGGGCACCCTCGGCCTTTTCTTCTTTGGGTCTCCGACAGGAAGAAGACCAGGGTGGCAAGCTGGGGACGGGGTGGGGGGGGGAGACCACATGGATGTAGGCTGACGCCCAGAACACCAGGCATGCTTTAGGTTTCTTTCTGGGCGGGGTTTTAGGGTCGCGCGTGGGGGAGGTCATTTGTCGCAGAGGACAGGGTCGGAGCTGAGATGACTGGATGAGCGACCTCAAGATGGGGCTTAAATCGCAGTAATTCTGGAATAGATCTCCCGAGTCTCTTCTAATCCAGCAAGGTCCCTAGTATGTGTTAAAAATGACAGGTTCTGATATTAGGTCTGGTTTATAACCGTGGCTTCGCCGCTATTTCTCCCAGTGGAGAATGACTTCCCCTGTCTTGCTCTTCTGAAACAGGAGAGGCGTGCAAACCACTTCGTACAATGCTGGCACATAGTGTTTAAAAAAAAAAAAAAAAAAAAGGCTGTATTCGCAATAGTATATAGGTTGCTCTCATTGTGACCGAACAGCACAGATTTTTGTGCAGATGCTTGTGTTGTGACATTGTAGTTGTGCATTTGTGTACGTCTCATGACCAGGGTGAGGATGGAGAGCTGTCTTTATATCTTGTAGCGTATTAACCTGCCTCATCCCATTTTTGTCAGCTTTTGTTACAGTGAATGGGCAAATGAATAAAGGTAAAACACCTGAAATATGCATAAATGAAAGGAGGTAGAGTATAATGTCATGGTCATTTAGATGGAAAGAATTTCCCTGTATTTGTGTCTGTATGTGTGTGAGGTGCTGTTCCAAAATGTGTTCGTGGAAAATGAGGATGTAGGGTGTGAGCAGAGTCTCCAGTGATAAAATTTGGAAGTAAGACAACAAGAAGTGAAACAGGTTCAGGCATCCAGTTTGATGCAGAAGATGCAGGGAAAGGAATTGGGTTTGTTTTGTTTTGTTGTTGTTGTTTTTTTAGATTTGAGAAGAACTAAAGGATAGAATTCTCCTGCACAGATAGAAAATACTTTTTCTCATTAGAACACACTGAGTGTATGCCCAGCCTTCATGAAAGCGAACAGAGAAGTGAAGCGCCTTTTTGTGGGCGGCCTTGGCCAGAACATTTCCAAAGCAGACCTACAAAATCAGTTCAGCAGATTTGGAGAAGTTTCTGATGTGGAGATCATCACACGAAAAGATGACAAAGGTAAATTTATAGCCCTTCATGGGTTGTTAAAGGGCAACACAATTCATGCCAAGAGTCACAAAATAAAGGAACCCGGGAGGTGAATGTTAGCCCTGAACACTCAAAGTGTTTCATTACAAGATACTGTTCTGTGTATGCCAACCTGCTGCCCCATGCTTTGAAGGTGTTATGTAAAATCTAGAACTTGCTCAGAGTTACATTTGTGGGATCAAAAAACATTCTAAATTCCAAAACATTTGCTTTATGAAGCATGCAACTTTCAATATTCAGAGCTAAAATTCTAGTATCCAAGGTGCCCTATTAAATAGAATATCACTAATGTGCAACAAAACATTTCTTTAACTGAGTACTTAACTTTTTTTTCTTAATTCTTTAGGAATATTTTGGTAATCATGCTTAGAAAAATGCGATCTTTGTATCCAATGAAAAATCAGGAAGATTTATCTATGAAAGAGTAAAGTTTTAAGAGTAATTTTTAAATTTAGAAAATTATTCATCTTACGTTGTTTTCTGGGTAAGAACTTAAGGTTTGTTTTTTGTTTTCTTTTTTTAGGAAACCCACAGAAAGTCTTTGCGTATATCAACATCAGAGTAGCAGAAGCAGACCTGAATAAGTGTAAGATTATTACATGCTTTGTATCCTATTTGCCAGTTCATGTCACTGTGTAACTCAACACCTACTTTTTAAGACATCCAGAGGAATACCCATGGTAGAGGGAATTCCAGTATCCTACAATTCAGCAGGTTTAGGTCCATCCCATTTGGCATCAGCAGACATATGGTAGCATATTGTTAGTGGGTTTGCTCAAAAATATAATTCTCAAATATTTTGGACAGGAGACACACTTTCATAGGAAGTGCCTGTTACTCATATCCACTGGATATATGCCATACTCCCCTTCTCAGTGTGTTCATTTCTCAAGCAGCTAATTCTTGTCATGAAGCACCATTAGTGGAGGGCTTTAGATGAAATCTCACCAATAAGTTTAGTAAAGCTGAGGGCAAACTGTAGCCTTCATTGAAGAAGGGAGGGGAGATCATTGGTACTGCCGCTGATGCAGTAAAGTATGCTCCTTACTAGAGGCTGAAAAGTCAAAAGACACTTAAAAGAGAACATGCTAATAGCGAAAGAGGGCCAACAGCCTTCTGTGTTCTTATTTGCAAAAAAAAAAAAAAAAAATTTATTCTGTCCTACAGTGAGAAAGAAGTGGTGGTAAAGAACACATCAGCTCTGCTTGTGTGACCTATGACACGGTGTTTCGACGAGGAGCCCTGGCTTACCTATCTGATGTATGACAAAATACTGCTGACCTCATAGTATCACTGCAGAAATTAAACCACGTGATACATTTGTACTTAGCATAGTACCTACCATGTGGTAATTTCTGTTAGTGGTTCTTATTAAGCTGATAGCAGGTTTTGAGAAGAACCGCCTACTAGCACAGCATTTGAAGCACAGTGTAGTCACTTTTGGCTAATTGACTTGCAAGTTAAATAATGATAATTAGTGAGGTGATAAGTAAAAGTTAGCTGTACAGGATTTCACTGTCTTCTTTTTTTTTTTTTTTTAATATTATTTATTTCTAGGAGAGAGAGAGAGAGACAGCGTGAGCAGGGGAGGGTCAGAGAGAGAGGGAGATACAGACTCTGAAATAGGCTCCAGGCTCTGAGCTGGCAGTCAGCACAGAGCCCAACATGGGGCTCGAACCCACGAACTGCGAGATCATGACCTAAGCGAAAGTCAGACGGTTAACCAACTAAGCCACCCAGGCGCCCCAGGATATCACTGTCTTCTGAGTCACCTTAGAAAATTATATTCATGTTTTTTAGTTTTAGCATGGGAAATAACAATAAAATGTTAAATAAATGTCAATCATTCACCAGAGGATCCTGGTATCACTTTGTGAAGGAGTGACAAATTTTGCTATTATTTTACATTTGCCTCATTCTGGTCTTCCAGGAACACTGGGCAATAGAGAACATAAGGACTCCTTGTGTGAGTGGCTCAGCTGAGACCACAACCTAGACCTTTTTTCCCCAGGTCTTGTTTTCTTTATTTCTTCTCTGTCTTTCTGTGATAATCAAGTGTAATTTTTTTTAGTACTAATCATAAAAGTCACTGGCTGCAATATATTTTTGCATTGGCATGTGTTTGGATAATAATGCTTTACTTTATAGGTATGTCTATTTTAAATAAAACAAAATGGAAAGGTGGAACACTACAAATTCAACTAGCAAAAGAAAGTTTTTTGCAAAGGTAAGATTTGCTCTGCATGGTTTTAAACTCTATTTTGTTTTATTGTAAATGGTCTTATTTTTTTCTTGAGTTTTTATTTATTTTTTTGATATTTTACTTATTTTTGAGAGAAAGAGAGAAAGGCATCTTCAGCAGGGGAGGGTCAGAGAGAGAGGGAGACACAGAATCTGAAGCAGGCACCAGGCTCTGAGCTGGATGTCAGCATGGGGCTCGAACCCACGAACCGTGAGATCATGACCTGAGCTGAAGTTGGCCGTTTAACCGACTGAGCCACCCAGGCGCCCCGTAAATGGTCTTATACGTTCACTTATTTATGTATAAATAAGTGAAACTGTCAAATACTGTATTTTTACAGTCTTAGCAAATTCAGGTGTTACAAATAGAGCTAAAGTCCCTTTGAACTGTGATTCCCCATGACCCCAGACCCACCAAAAAAGATAATGCAATGCGTTTACATGTATATTTAACTTATAAAAATGTATACCTATTTCATCTTTTTATACACAACCTTCTGTGGTGGTATAATCTTCCCCTTTCTTTGTAGTGATTGTATAACTGTTTCCAAAAATGGCTCTACCACAGGTACTTGTTTATCCCCCACTCATGATGGATATTTAGACTATTTCCACCTGTCCTAATAGATGACCTTGGAGGATGGCAGCTGCACAGTGTGAGGGTTCCTTGGGTTTCTGGCAGAAGGGGAATTGTTGTACCATAGGGTTATATACATTTAAAATTTTTAAAGACACTACTAAGTGCTTATATTGATTTTGGGTCTTAATGTTAGTGCCATACAAAGACACAAAGATAATAGGAAGCTCCTGTATGAGAGGCATAGGCTTAATTCTGCAAGTGATTAAAGAAGAAGACAGTATAATAATTAGTAGAGCATTTTAAGTTCCTAAAAAGTCTTATTCTCAGGGAGAAAAGATTACAGTTTGGCAGCTTTCCAAATAGGAAACACTTTAGGGATGTACAGCTGCAGCAACCAAGAGGGTTGACAAGATTGTCCTAGGCCAGGATATGGCAGGGTCTAAAACAAGTGTCAAGCAGTGTACTGAAGGCATATTTTGAAGGACTGGTCTAGTGACAGAGGTAAGAATTTGACTTTGTTCTTCAACTCAGGGCCTTTGTGAACAGGGTAGTGACGGGACTTGATCCAGGGGCGATTGAGTGCCTACTCTATGCCTAAACTGGAGCCCTGGTCCTGGGCGGGTTGAGCGTGCATTGTCTGGACAGGCATGCCTGAGGAGCATGAATTTGATAGTCGTGGGAGGTGGAACGTAGAAGAGACTGACCAGAGGCCAGAGGCTGGTGAGGACTGGTCAGTGCAGCTGCCCAGGCCTGAGTGAGGTGGGGGAGTTTGAATTGGAAGGTTGAGTTGGCATTCTGCGTTCTCTTCATTAAGAGGGGGGACATAGGGCACTTGGGTGGCTCAGTCCTTAAGCATCTGACTCTGGCTCAAGTCACGATTTCATGGTTCGTGAATTCGAGTCCCACATCGGGTAGCTTAAGCCCCACTTCTCTCCCTCTCTCTCCAAGTGTGGAAATAATCAAGACTTGGCAGACTGGGTCTGAAAGACACCCCTTCCTCCTGAAAAAGAGTGAAGTGATTGAGGGGGTAGGATGCCAGCAGTGTAAGCCAAAAGGGAAAAGTGAGAGATCCTAAAGGATTGCATAAAGTCAGACAGCTTTACAGCAGTGAAATAAAACACTGTTAATACATGGTTGGTTATTTTAACTCTTATTTCTCTTTTCTTTCATTCAGACTGGCCCAAGAGAGAGAAGAAGCAAAAGCAAAGAAAGAAAAGTCAACGATAGGCAACACCAACTTCTTGGAGAAGATGGGTGTGGTGGATTTCCATGTGAAAGCTGTGCCAGGGACGGAAGTGCCAGGACACAAAGTGAGTGTCTACTCAGCAACCCCAGGGCACTGAGTCCTGAGACCGTGTGACCGCGGCTGTTGTGTCTAGAACGGCCGCTTTTTCCCTTGCTTTGAGGCACTTAATGTAGGCAGTGCTTAAGGGTTTTCAATGTGCATTTACAACTCTTGGGTAAGCACAGCTCTCCCTCACTTTACCGAAAGAAATCAAAAGTGGAGGCAGGTCTTCCAAGGGACACAGTTGGTGAGGCAGGTCCCAACTTTGCCTTTTTAATGCCTGTTGTCATGTGTTGGCATCCCCCATGGTGTATATGGGACTGATGGCTGCCCTGCTTCCCCTTCTTTCTTCCCCCAAACACTTTTTTTTGAGAACTCCTGTTTCATTATCAAAAACAAAACCCAACAGTAATCATGGCCCACTGAGTTTGATATTTTTATAGTGCTTATGCGATATGGTTAATCTTTTCTGTTTGTGACACATACAGTAAATGTATTCCTTTTTTTCTTTCTTTTAGAATTGGGTTGTGAGTAAATTTGGAAGAGTCTTACCAGTCCTTCACCTAAAGAGTCAACATAAACGTAAAATATCCTTTGGAAACAGCCTTTCACAGTAATTAGTATTTACCTCAGTGATGGATGCTTGCAAAAGTTCACTTCGTCGCATAAGAATTTCACTGCTTCTGTTAGTAAATCGTAGATAATTACTTTACAGTTTTTATGTTCTCAATTTCTAGGTAAGATTTACCTACTTACGGGTTTGACACAATGAGGGGTTTTGTACTAGTGAGTGACACTCAACAAAGAAACATTTTACAGATTAGCTTTTACATCCTCCTTGTCTAACATGGATTCACAGCCATTGTCAAAGGCGTTAAAGAAGGGAGGGGTGGGGAGGCTCAGGCTGTTGTTAAAGAAGGCCTCGGAGGAAGTAGGGTATGGTTTGCATTAACAAGAGTGGTAGGAAGACAGTAGGTAGGAGTATGTGGAGACTGGTGCGTGCAGAAGTAGTGTGGATCCTGATGAGTGGACATGGATGCCTGTTCCCTTGAGGAAACAAAGTCAGATTGTGCAGGACCTTGAATTCCTAGCATCATGGACTTCTGGACAGAGGATGCCGCCTGTGTGTGCTTAGCGGTAACCGTGCCGGTCGGTCAGGGAAGCAGAAGCCCTGTGGGTATTTCAGAGTAAATGCAATGCATACACTGGTTTTAAGAAGTGCTAGAGAGGGGCGCCTGGGTGGCTTAGTCGGTTAAGCGTCCGACTTTCACTTAGGTCATGATCTCACAGTTCGTGGGTTCGAGCCCCGCGTCTGGCTCTGTGCTGACAGCTCAGAGACTGGAGCCTGTTTCCAATTCTGTGTCTCCCTCTCTTTCTGACCCTCTCCTGCTCTTGCTGTCTCTCTCTCTCCTAGAAATAAAAAAAAAAAAAAAAATTACCAAAAAAAAAAGAAGTGCTAGAGAAGCAAGCAGCTGATGGTCAGACTGTCAGAGGTTAATAACTGCAGCAGAGCACCCCCACGGGGGGCTAGAGAAGCGGAGGTTTGTCCTCATTGCTCACAGCTGCTGTGCCGCTGCGGCTCCTGGACGACTGGCCACACCCACCTCTGCTCTCCCCGCCGCCGGCCCTAACGTCAGGGAAAGCAGACTTCCTCTCAGCCTCCCACTAGTGGCAGCAGCTGACAGCAAAGAGGAGAGTATCGAAGGACAGTGTGGAGCTGAGAGACAGCAGATACTACCCAGCACACCTCACGTGTTTGGCAGCCATTCAGTAGTTACTAAATGCTGAAAGCAACTTCCACTTAACCTATTCGCAAGTTTTAGGAAATCAGCCTGTGATAGCTGTCATCACAGCACTTTGACGTTAACTAGAATCTTTTTAGACCGTGTTAACAACAAAACAGGCCTGAGAAAGAATTATTAACTTTATAATAAAGACCTGCAAGATGCCTTGCAGAGTGAGCAGGATGTGAATGGATGCTCCTGAGCTGGGAGGATCAGAGCTAGGGTGAGCCTGTACTGAGAAGGCAGGAATGGCTGAGAGGAGTGGAGAGTAAAGGCTGCGCAGCAGCCTGCTGTGCCCCGCTGGGTGCCCCTCCCTCCTCTGCTGTACAGTATCAGCTCAGCGGACGGATTTCTCACATTTACAGAAAACAGCATGTGGCCCCTGTACCTGGAATGTAACCTGAATAGGTTTGCCATTTCTACCGCTTAACAGTGATGGTGCTCGGATTTAACTCAACATGCCACAGGAAGGTCAGTTCCACTGAGGTCACCAAGTGAAGGGATTGTTTTGTTTGATGGGGAAAGGAGGCTCAGCTCTGAGTAAGTGATCGGCTTAAGAGTACACAGTACTCACCAGATTCTTAAGTTTTCCCAAAACCTAGTGCCTCTGTTTTATTCCTTGACTTTTGGTAACATCATGAAGTATGACCCATCAAAATACTGTCACAACTTAAAGAAGATCGGGGACGATGTCACAGTTGTCACCCCTGTGTCGCATCTCACTTGGGAACTGGAAGGAGGGGATGATCCCGTGAGTAAGAAGCGACGAGGGGAGTTCTATGCTGCTCACAGCCCACCCAGGAAGAAGATCAAAGCACAGAAAGACGAGGCGTACGCTGCATTTCCAGCTGCAAGAGCAAGACCCAGCAGGGTCCCAGGGAGTCCACTGCCCCCACAGCAAGAGGTGGCACAGGAAACACCTTGTGATCCTCTTACTCCTCCGTTACTGCACGTACCTGCTTCTCATAGCCAGAAACTTAAAAATGTATGTGTTCAGACTTCTGGCGTGGGAACTACCAGGAACAGAAATCCCATGTCTGACGATGATACGGATTCTGAAGAAGAAATAAGACATCTGATAGCAAGAGAGGAAAGCCTGGAGAAACCTACGTGGTCCTCAATAGATGAATCTGCAAATGAGCCCTTTGAAGTCGTAAGGAGTGATTTCAAACCAGATGTTCACAAACTGCGTTCCTCACCTGGGATAGGTGATGCCTCCTGCCTGGCTAGCGAAGATGATGTCATGGGAACCAATTGCAACTATGATTCAGGAGACACAGATGAGATCATCGCAACAAGGAAAAAGGCCAGTAAGGTCAAAAGCGGTACAGAATTTTCACAAATGGAAATGTCTGTACACAAGAAAGCTTTGAAAAATAGAAAAAACTGGGAGCTTTCTGATCATTGTGTTGAAGCCCAAAAAAGAAAAACCAACATGGAGCTAGCTGTCGGTCCTGGGGCTGCATCCCACTCCAGCAGCAGCAGAGATGTGGGCTCTGCATCAGAGTCCACTGGGTCTGAGGAAGATGAGGAGTATGATGCTCTGATGAAAAACTGCCTTCGTGTGAGTCTCACTTTATCTGATCTTGAACAGCTGGCGGGCAGTGACCTGCACGTTCCCGGACATGGCCCTGAGAGTGGTGGCCAGAAAACCCCCGCCAAGCGTGACGGGACTCCGGGTGGCCTCTACGGAGACCGGCAGTGTATCCATCCTGAGGAGATAGTGGCTGCCCTCTTAGAAGGAGAAGAGAACACACATGGAAAACAGAAACCAAATAAAAACAGTCTAAAGCTGAAATTCCAGGCTTTCAAGGGAGTGCGCTGTCTCTATGAAAAGGAATCAGTAAAAACCCTGAAAGAGAGACTGGCCTCTGACGATACAAATAAAGATGAGAGTTCCTTGAAACTTGATCCCAGTAGCCTATCCGTGGGAAAGGGGTCCCCATGTGCTAATGGCTCATCAAGTGAACTAACTCCTCTCCAACATGCAAAGAAGGCAAGTGACCCAAACCAAATGCAGCCTGAAAAGAGACAGTCCACTTTTGAGAGTGAGGATCACAAGATGGTGTCCCCGAGCAGTTTGGAAAGGGGAAGTAGAAGTCCTAGTTCTAGTCTGTTGCCATTAAAAGAGAAGAAATCTTTAAGTCTTAGTATAAAGACCCCCAAGATTGACTTTGATAAAGACAGTTGCCACGGGACCAGAAAGACCACAGAGGGCTCTGGAAGGAGCAGCCACGTGGCCCCTGGGACAGCACCGGAAGGCTCCTCCAGCAGAGCCGCTCCAGGCAGCAGCACTGACTTCCCACTTGCTGTGAATGGTCGGTCAGGCTTGCGCTCTAATGGTAAGCATGCTGACGATAACGAGAAGCGCTTGAGAGCCTTGGAGGAAAGGCGAAAAGCAAAAGAAGTGCGGAAGCAGCTGGTTCATAACGCCTTGGCAGATTTGGTGAGTGTGCACCTGGTATGGACGCCCTGAGGCCACCCTTGCTTCCCATGAAAGTCCGTGTGCCCCTCAGACCCCCTGTCCTAGTGCTCACCTGTTCCATATTGTGTCCCTTGTGTTAGAAGCTTTGGTCGCCTTGTTTTTAGCATAGACCAGAGGAATTGAGATTAAACTCTGTTTACTAAAGACATTCTTAATTTGTTTTAATCTAAAGTTTTCCTCCTGGGGCGCCTGGGTGGCTTAGTCGGTTAAGCGTCCGACTTTCGCTCAGGTCATGATCTCGCGGTTCGTGGGTTCGAGCCCCGCGTCGGGCTCTGTGCTGACTGCCAGCTCAGAGCCTGGAGCCTGTTTCGGTCTGTGACTCCCTCTCTCTCTGACCCTCCCCTGCTCACGCTGTCTCTCTCTCTCTCCTAGAAATAAATAAAAAATAAAAAAAATAAAAAATAAAGTTTTCCTCCTGATTTCTTTTCCTTTAGAAGCTTTAACTGCTCTAGGTCAGTGATGTGTCCTAATATGTCTGACTTCGCATGTGAGTCACTTGCCAGTGGTTTATATCTCTCTGAGATTCACTTTAGTGAGCCTTTATGCATTTTTCGCTCAGCTGTATGTGTCCGTGAGGTCCCAGGCCTTCACAGTAAGCGCGAGGCTTATGGCATGAGGATGGTGGCACCTGCCTCTGGCAGTCATTGCCTCATCTTGTTCAGCACCCAGGACCCAGAGAGAAGAGTTCTGTGCACCCTCAGTACAGGGAGGTGCAGCACATCAGCCAGGAGGAGCGTGGGGGGCTCCCTCAGCCGGAGCGGCCCCGGAGGTAGAAGAATCAGAACTGGTTGGGCAGAGGTAGGAGGGCGGGAAGGGGGAGGGAAGGCGTTCCGTGGGAGCGGAGCAGTTTGTACAAAAGTGAACATTTACAGCCAGTGTAACCGAAGGTACAGAGGACAAGGAGGCATGAGAGAAGCAGGGCAAGTTGTGAAAAGGCTGTGGACACTGGACTTTATTCTGTGGCTGGAAAGGAAGAGAGGGAAGGTTATTTGTGCATATATTGGGACAGGAATCAGTGAACCACGGCTCACAGGGCTTCCAGCCCATTTTGGTACAGTCTCCAAGTTGAGAATGGTTTTCACATTTAGAAATAGTTTGTTTTTTTTTAATATTTTTATTTTATTTCTAGGATAGAGAGAGACAGCGTGAACAGGGGAGGGTCAGAGAGAGAGGGAGACACAGACTCTGAAACAGGCTCCAGGCTCTGAGCTGGCAGTCAGCACAGAGCCCGACGCGGGGCTCGAACCCACGAACCGCGAGATCATGACCCAAGCGAAAGTCGGACGCTTAACTGACTAAGCCACCCAGGCGCCCCGTTAGAAAGAGTTTAAAAAGTAAGAATACATACAGGACCAAGACCATATGTGACCTGCAAGGCCTAAAATACTTACTCTCTGGTCCTTTAAAAAAAATATTTGCCAGCCTCTATCTGGGAAGATTGTTCAGGCCATGACAAACAAGTGACATGGGGCAAATCTTGAACCGGGGGATCTGGGAGGTCATGAGCCAGAACCAAGGCGATGACAGTGGGAATAGACTTAAAAGATACCAAGAAGGTCCACTCTTGGAACTTGGTGACCAACTGGACACAGAGAAAGAAGTCTTAAGTTTGCCTGTTGGGAAACAAGCGGGATGAAAAGGGGCCTTGTCTGGGGAAGGAAGCGAGGGGCTGTCTGCAGGTATAAAGCTCTCGTCGACTGCTCTAGGATGGTCGTCCAGAGAACAAGCCAACACACATCATCTTCGATTCTGACAGTGACACCAAGGAGACACCTGGGGAACAAAGCCACCCAGGAGAGGAGCCAGTGAAAGTAAGTAGCTCAGGAAGTCCACATGGTCATTCACTACTCTTGCAGATCCATTTCTTCCTGGTGCAGAACAAGACCTCCCCACAACTGCCAGGTTCCACGTAAAATCCTCTCAAGCCACAGTAGCCCCAGAGCTCCCCAGGCCACCATACACACAGAGGCCAGGGTCCTTACAGATTTTCCCCATGGTGGATCCACCTTCCACATCCACATCATCAGTACAAGTTAAACCCTGCAGAATGTCCTGTGTGACACCACACCCCACACCCCATCCAGACCACACTGGGAGCCTCAAGATTAGTGACCCAGGAGGCCAAGTTGATTTCACGGAGTCAGGACTCTCCATTCTGAATGTCCACCCTTTCCTGGGAGATCCATCTGGGTTGCTTGTTCTTAAATCTGGGCGGAAGATTCGTAAGTAAAGAATTGTAGATTGCCTCAGTTGCTAATAAACCCTCTGTCTGCATGTCTGTTCCAGGAGTCCGTGAGTAGAGCATTTGGGAAGCTCTTTGACAGTGAAGATGAAGAATCTGGCTCTGAAGATGACAGCCACAGGTTCAGAATTAAACCCCAGTTTGAGGGCAGAGCTGGGCGGAAGGTTAGTGAAGGCTGAACGTACTCACACCTACAGCACATCCTTCTTTTTGACGTGGTTGTTAAATCTGCATAAATGCAGACCGACTCGGACCTACTTCCCAATGTTTGGTGTTTGTTTTGATTGGTTCATGGGTGTTGAGATTATGCAAACACTAATGTGAATTTCAGGGTGACAGGAGGGAGGGGAAGCGCTCTTATGGAACATGGCTATCAACTATCTGTATGTCTGTCTATGTAGCTCATGGACTTACAGTCTCACTTCGGCACTGATGACAGATTCCGCATGGACTCACGATTTCTGGAAAGTGACAGTGAGGAGGAACAGGAAGGTAAACACTGTCTGAACCGCTCAGTGTCAGAGCTGGGGCTCCTTGGGAAATTGTCTGGTCTGGCCCCTTTGTTCGCCATGTGGGGAACCTGCACCCCAAGACTTGAGGGTGTGAGACCCGTGATCCACTGTTGCTTTCTCAGTACTCCTTGAACTTGTTGGTACATAAGAAGCTGCCTGAAAGGACAGGAATGACCCCATCTTCCTCTGCCCTGTCCCTGGCATAGGGGAGAAGGAGGGACCCTCCCTGACAGTAGTTCAGCAGGTCCTGATGAGCTTGGGGAAGACAGTTAAGTCTCACGTGGCTTTCTAGAAGCAAGAGCGTTGGTCTTCTGACCGGTGTGCATGCCGGGTGCAGGTGCTTCAGAAGCAGTGCCCCACGGAGTGCCGTCCACTTGCATTCGTCCCAGTGCAGGTGCGTTGGCATCAGTGACGAGCTTTGATTTCCTTCTCAGCAGCGGCTCCAAACTTTCTATGCAAGACCTTGTGTGCTTGAGTTTCCATCTTATCCTTCAGAAGAGCCCTCGCCTCCCACCTGGCCCAGAGGAGGGCCACTTCCAAGTGAGGCTCCTACTTCTCTTAGTTGTCTGGACTTCTCTGTCTTCACAGCGCAGTTCTTTCCTTCCTGAATTAATCTTGGGCCTTACCGTTCATACTTGCTGTCCCTCCTTCTCAGGGGCTTGCTCCTGCTGACAGGGTCAGCTCTCAGGTCCCAAGTGGCCGTGCCTTCCAGCCTGCCAGCTTTCTTGGCAGCACACCCACCTTCGTCATTCTAAACTTGAAACAAAAAACTAAGTTGCATCTGAATCAGAAATGGTTGGCTTTTTATTGAAAATGCACTCTCTGCTTTGACCCTCTCTTCTTTGAGGTGATTGTCCTGTGCAGGGTATGCGCCTGGACCACGCTTCTGAGAGTAAGTTCCACAGACTGTACACCAGCGTGCGCATCAGAGCTGCTCACGCGCTTCCACAGGAAGGCGGGAGCAGGCAGAACGGATGAGCCTGCGTTCAGTGCCGCTGTGGAGGTTGCTTTCTGAACCTCTCCCTCTTCTGGCTTGTGGACCCTCCCAGTGGTGAGCACCCTGCTCACAGTGCAGTGGGGATTCCTCAGCTTCGGCATGGCCAGCCTGCCCGTGGCATCTGTCCCTGCCGACCGGCCGCCTTGCGATGTCCTCTTCTCTCTGCTCCCTTTGCACCAAAACTCCCTTGCTTTCTCCCATTTCTCGGTTCCTGTTCCCAAGGTTCTATAGGTCCCTGTGGCTTTAGCCTTCTCTTATACGTGGGCATTTCCTAAACGTGGGTCATCGTTGCTCCTGACTGTTCTTTTCTCAGATGCCATATTGTCACCCATGTCCCTAGGCCCATGTTAACAGTCAGCCAGTCCCACCTGAGTGACTCTCTCAACGGTGCTGGGCTCTCCGGTTTCTGTTTATGGCACTTCCATTCTTAGGGCAGTAAGACACAGGACCTCTGTCTTTTGTTTCATTTCTCACCAGCTATTGAGGCTTAATTTTTTGTGAATCACAAAGAATGTCCTGCAGGCAAGTGGCACAGGTTAAAATTGAAATTGCCATTTTCAGAGTGAGCGTTGTTGAGTATTAGCACGTCCATGTTATTCAGTCTACTGCTGCATAACTTCTTTGCTCTTTCAGTGTGTGTGTTCATTTGGTTTCCTGTCCCTGGAGGAAAGGATCCCTTGGGGGATCCACTTTGTCTTTCCTGTCTTAGGCTCTACCTGGCTTATAAAGCAATTCTTGATGCAGTTGAGCATAGTATCTATCATCTTTGAACCCCTAGACACTTGGAATATTTCTGTAGAGAACTTAACTCAAATTAGCCTTTTATTCTAGTATCTGTTACTTTGCTGCTTATGGTCTGCAGTAATTTCAAGAGTTTTTCAGGCTTAGACTTCTTTGTATTTCTATCTGAAATCGGATGAGCTGTCTAACTTTGTTGTCTGATATTTGTGTTTTTTGTAGTTGAAGATTACAGCATTTGGGTCCATAATGCCCTGTGTGTAGGACCTATGGCTTTCTTTCTACAGTATTTATTCTGAATGAAAGGCTGAGCAACTGTCTCATAACAGGTTAATAGTAGGATTGTCATACTTCACTGCCTTCCATTTTTAGATTTATGTGTAATTTAAATTACATTTTAAGAATGTTAAAAAAAGTCAGTCTAGTTACTTTGGTTTTGTAATTCGTATCTTGCTCTGTTACATTTGTCAGTTTTTACCTTAAAACCTTTAACTTGCTTCGACGTTGAAGGCCGTTAAATGCAGATTTTGCTTTCATAGTTAAAAACAAGAATGGGACTTTTTATTTGTTGGTCGTAAGACATCTGGATTCCCTGTGGCATTGAGGAGCATGGGAGCAGGGAGGTTAAGAAGATGGGGGTTGGCCCTTCTTTCTCCTGTCTGAATGTGCTTTGCCCATGTTTAGGTACTTGTAAATATCTGATGGTTGAGACTGCTCAAGTTATGTTTGCCAAGAGGCTGTTAATTGCCCTTTTGCCTCTTAGAGGAAAACGACAGCAGAACTGCTGAGGAAGAGGAGCTTGCTGCTGAGAAGCTCAAAGCCCTGAACGTTGTGCAGAGTGTTTTGCACGCCAGCCTCAGCGATTCCACGCACAAAGGATCAGTAGCTGCTAAGAAATTTAAGTATGGTTTATGTTCCATCCCCTTCCATCCTATTTTCCTTTAACATAAATACCTTATTGAACTCTATAAAACTAGGCCATTATAAACATTCTGGGGAGTGTGGTTGGCAATATGTATCGGTCCCTTAAAAATATACTTCTCCTTAATCCAGGTACACTCCCAGAAACTAATCTTAGATTTTTCCTCTATTTACGTACTTAAATGTCACAGCAGCATTGCTGCCATTAGTGAAACAGCTGGACAGTGACTTAAATATTAACTATAGGCGCACCTGCATGGCTCAGCTAAGTGTTCTACTCTTTTTTTTTCTCTTTAACATTTATTTATTTTTGAGAAAGTGCAGGAGAGGTTAAGAGACAGAATCCCAAGCAGGTTCCATGCTGAGAGCACAAAGCCTGACATGGGGCTCGAATTCATACCGAGAGATCGTGACCTGAGGTGAAGTCAGACACTCAATTGACTGAGCCACCCAGGTGCCCCAAGTGTCCAACTCTTGATCTCACCTCAGGTCTTGATCTCAGGGTCGTGAGTTCAAGCCCTGCATTGGGCTTTTTGCTGGGCATGAAGCCTACTTTAAAAAATAAATAAGTAAAATATTAACTGTAAAACTGTATAAATATAGCAGTTATACTACAGAAAATTTTAAACACATAATTTGGAAAGACTAGTGTATGGAAGCCCTGTACATCAGCTTCTGCAGTCACTACCATATGATAAATTTTCCTTTCTTTTTTTTTTTTTTTTTTGATGTTTTTATTTATTTTTGAAACTGAGAAAGCATAGCTGGGGAGGGGCGTAGAGGGAGGGAGACAGGAACTGAAGCGGGCTCCATGCTGACAGCAGAGAGCCCAATGCAGGGCTCAAACTCATTAGCTGCAAGATCATGAGCTGAGCTGAAGTTGGATGCCTAGCCGACTGAGCTATCCAGGTGCTCCATATTTGTTTTGGTTTTTTTTTTTTGTTTTGTTTTAATGTAAGCTCTGCACCCAAAGTGGGGCTTGAACTCCGGTCCCTGAGATCAAGAGTCACACGCTCTATTGACTGAGCCAGCTGGGCATCCCCAGTTTTCCTTTCTATACTTTTACTCACCTCCCCAACCTTTCACCCCTAAAGTATTTTGTGAAAATCTAGTTTTATCCATATTTATTTTAATAAGTATAACCCAGTTTCTAATGTTAAAAAAAAAGATTCAGGGAAACTCAAAATTGGGTAGTTTAAAATATGACTGTCTCTAACAAGATCCTGGTATCTTCTCTGATTGTGTGGTTTTGTCTTGCTCAAAAATTGGAATGGCTCCAATGTTGACTTCCGATTTGCTATTAGTTTTTTGCATTATGTTCTGATTTCTTACTCCCAATTTATTCCTGTCCATTGTTTACATAGGGATGTCGTACGTTATGATCCAACGAGGCATGACCATGCCTCTTACGAAAGGAAGACCATTGATAAACCAAAAGAAAGGTAAGTTCGCTCACTTCTCTCCATAGGAGGGTCATAGGAATTAATCTCGTTTCAGATAGTAGTAGGAGATAATAGCCATTATCTATCCGTTGGTCCTTATTGTATTTAATTTAAGACCAGAGAGGGAAGAGTTAGAGTGGAATTATTGATGTGGTGGAGAAACCCTTACCTTTTAACAAAGAAGTTTCATGCATATAAATGACATATGCTCCTGGCTGGTGTAGTGCTTCCTCCTTGTATTAGTTTCTTTTGGCTGTTGTAACAAATTGCCACAAACTTAACTGCCTTAAAACCACAAAAGTTACTGGGAGTCTGAAGTCAAGGTTATTGGAAGAGCTATGTTCTCTCCTGAAGTTCAGGGGCAGACGTCTGTTCCCACCTCTCCCCTGGCCTCAGGTGACTGCCAGCAGCCCATGATGGCCCTTGCCTGGCTGCGTTCCTCCATCACTGGGGTCTCTGTCTCTTCTCTTTCATCTCTGTGTCTGTTATCAGCCCACTTGTGATTGCATTTAGGGCCTGCCTGAATAATCCTGGAAAGTCTCTTTGCAACATACTTAATAATTCTGCCGAGACCCTTTTTCCAAACAAGGTAATGTTCACGGTTTTTAGAAAATAGGGCCTGGACATCTCTTTTTGAGAGCAGTGATCAGTCCAGTGCACTACTTCAGTGTGGTAGGACTTGTGTTTCCTGTACATGCCCTGTCAGTTTGAAAAATAGGGCACATATGTGGAGCAACCAGTAAGTCTGCCTGGGTTAATTCCTTCATTTTCAGGCTGTTAAAATCACTAAAGGCAATTTGGTATTCTGAATTAGATCCTGGAAGAAAAAAAGACATTTGTGGAGAAACTGGGGAAATGAGAATAAGGTTTGAGTTTAGTTAATAGCAATGACCCTATGTTAATCTATTTTAGTTTTGACCATTGTACCAGAATTATAGAAGATGCTACCATGCGGGGAAGCTAAGTGAAGGCTACTTGGAAATGATGTCCTATCTTTGTAACCTTTCTGTAAATCTAAATTTTTTTCCAAGATTAAAGGTTTCTTTTAAAAAGAGTCAGATTTGGGGTGCCTGGGTGACTCAGTCAGTTGGGCATCCGACTTTGGCCTAGGTCATGATCTCAGTGCTTCTCATGAGTTTGAGCCCCACATTGGGCTCTGTGCTGACAGCTTGGAGCCTGGAGCCTGTTTCGGATTCTGTGTCTCCCTCTCTATCTGCCCCTTCTCTGCTCATGCTGTGTCTCTCTCCTTCTCCCAAAAAGAAATAAACATTTAAAAATTTTTTTAAGTAAAATAAAATAAAATAAAAACAGTCAGATGAGACCAAAGTAGAAGTAATGTAAACATTTCCTACAACGTAGAATTTTTATATGTTATTTCAAACAACCCCACATTGAATGTGGCATTTGAGCAGGGGGTGTATTTTGTATATTAGATTTGTGTTTATTTATGTGTAGGATGTATATTAATACATTAATATAATAATGTATATATTATTTATATGTAGGATGTAATTAAAAATTATCTAAAACTTAGCATCTTGAAACCACAAAGACTTAGTACCTCAGAGTTTCTGTGAGTGAAGATTTCATGGGCAGCCTCTTTGGATGGTTCTGGCCAGGGTCCTTCATGAGGTAGTGGTCAGAATGTTGCCCTGGGCTTCAGTCTCCACAGACTCCACTGAGGCTGGATGGCCTGCCTCCGGGATGGCTCCCTCTCATGGCTGTGGGCCAGTCCCTCACCATGTTGGCCTCTCCATTATGCCTCTCCGTTACGCTGCTTAAGTGTCCTCATAACAAGGCAGCTGACTTCCTCCAGAGCTCATGACCCAAAAGAGGAGAGGCCCTGGTGTGTTTTATGACCTAGTCTTAAGTCACACACTGACAGTCTACCCTATTCGGTTTTCTTGAAACGAGTCTCTAAGTCCAACCCATAGTTTGATTGGGGGTTGGGGGCGGGGGTGCTTGTTAACACCACCTCTCAAAGGGAGAAGTGACGAGGAATTTGTGGATGTGTTTAAAACCATCTAACCCATCCCCTGCCACAGATTGTTTACATTCCTGCCACATGCAAAATATGCTCAACCCTCCCTGGCTTCCCCAGGACCCTCACATCTACAGCATCTGTTCAGAATCTCAGATGCTGTTATTCAAATCCCATCTAGGGGCAAATGAGGCTCCATGTTGTAATCCCTAGAGTATGACACCCTGAGTGCAGTTCTTGTATTAGAGACGGGAGAGAACTGTGAGCCAGAGTGACTGGTTACTGCCCGTCTCTGAACACAGTGGTAGGACAGGCACAGGATGGCCACTGTGAGCTCTGCTGTCCACAGAGGTCACAGGAGGCGCAGGGGGCACTGGTCCAGAGGAGCTCTGAAATCTGGACATACTTTGGGAGTTCTTAGATTAGAACTGTGGGCCTAGTAACAGTTCTCCATGGTCTTGACTCCGTCTTTTGGATCATCCTTCTTTTTTCATGAATGGTCACATGTGGTTGTGGCTGAGTGATTTTCTCAGCCTCCTTTTTGCTTCTAGAAATGTGGGAATCCAAAAGCCTTTTCATTGTAGAATATTACAGTACCTGTCGATCCAAGCTAGTGTTTCTCTTAACATATTTCTCTTAAAATATTTGTGAATCTCCTGTGAATCTTTTAGGGGTTCACTTGCATTAGACCGGACCCACACCCACAGATCATATGGAGACCAACTTATTTTCCTGTGGACTTCTGCTGAGACACCACCTTTAAATTCCTCAGGAGCCTCGTTGGTTGAACAATGGAGGTGTCTGGGCTATGGTTACGGTCTTAACAAAGGATTTTGTTTTATGTTTAGACTGAGGTCTACACATTTCTCTGTTAAAGATCAGATAGTAAATATACTAGGCTTTGCAGACCACGTGGTCTCTGTTACAGTGACTCCACTCTGCCTTTGTACCAGGAAAGCAGCCACAGGCGATACTAAATGAGTGAGGGAGGCTGGGTTCCATTAAAATTACCAGTAAGACACAACATTCACATTTCCTATAATCTTCCATGTCACAAAGTCATTTTCTCTTTATTTTTTTCAGCCATTTCAGACTGTAAAAGATATTTGTAATGTGCATTCCACACGTAAATGGGCAGCAGCCTGGCTTTGGTCCATGGGCTCTGGTTTGCTAACACCTGCTTTAGACCATGTTTTCCTGAGACTTAGATTTGCTCTTTGCTTAGAAGCTAGTTCTTAAATTTCATGTCATTTGCGTTCTAGAAATTAGGAGTCTTCAAGGTCATGAGGTCCTAGCTCCTTATAAACAGTGTCTTCCTTTAGTGAAACTATCTGTTCAAGTCGTACTGCAAGCAAGAAGAAAGCAGCAAATACCCTCAGACCTTCCCAGATACCTTCATAGCCAGCTTTCTGTTCAGAGACATGTCCCAGGGCCTACTTTAACAGAGGTGACACAGTGCTGCTGAACTTCTGCCATGGTGTAGCAAGAGTCCCTTTTCCCTGAGTTTCCAATAGTGTTTACCTCACTTTCCCGCAGCCCTACTGCAGCCGCCTCAGTGGCTGTGTGGTTTCTACTGGCAGTTTCTACAAGGCTCTTCGGGCTCTTGCTGACACCCTCCTTGCTGCCTCCCTACGCCTGCCCATCACCTGGGCTCTGCAGCCCCTTCTCCAGCTTAGTTGTGTTAGAGCAGCATCTCACACCTCAGTACCAAAATCTGTGTCACTCATGAATTGCTGTGTAAAAAACTTCTTGGAAGACTCAGTAGCTTGACCTTAAAAATTTATTAGGTCCCAATTTCTGTGGGTCAGGAATTTGGGAGTGCTTTATTGGGTTAAGGGGTTCTCAGGAGGCTGCAGGCTCCAAGGGCTCGAGACTGCCTGCAAGATGGCTCATATACATCTATTGGCAGGAGGCCTCTATTCCTTGCCTCTTGTTTGGCTCTTTGAGTGCCCTCGGGGCATGGCATCTGGCTCCCCCCTTGTCCCCCCAGCCAGTGATGTGTCAGGGAGAGAGCAAGAACGCTATGACCCTCATGTCCGTAGTCACACACCATCACAGCGGCCTTACTCCACTCCTCAAGAGGTCATTAAGTCTGTCAAGGGATAGGAAATTAACTTCCACAGGTAATTAACTCACATAGTCTGAGTGGGGGAGGGACAGAGAAAGAACAGCACAGAATCCAAAGCTGGCCTCTGCTCACAGCACAGAGCCTGGCGTGGGGCTCGAACCCACAAACCATGAGATCATGACCTGAGCCAAAGTCATACACTCAACTGACTGAGCCACTCAGATGCCCCATTAACTTCCACATCTCAAAAGAAAAATGGGGGCGACTGGGTGGCTCAGTCACTTAAGCCTCTGACATAGGCTCAGGTCCTGATCTTGCGGTTTGTGGGTTCAGGCCCCGTGTCGGGCTCTGCTGATAGCCAGCTCAGAGCCTGGAGTCTGTTTCAGATTCTGTGTCTCCCACTCTCTCTGACCCTACCCTGTTCACGATCACTCTCTCTCTCTCAGAAATAAATATAACATTTTTTTAAAAATGGATCAAAGATCTTTGGACCACTTTTAAAACCACCATATGGTGGTTCATGATAATCATGTGGAAATGTCTAAAGTAACACCACTTCTCAGAGCTCAGTTTCACAGAAGGCATATCCCTCTTAAATCCTGGCCAGGTTGGTTTTCTAAATGAAGTATTAAAAGTGTCTCTCTGTGACAGTCTCCCTCAAGAAGGTAATCATTTAAGACATCTTGTTCACTTATTATTTTAGGTAATACAGTTAGAATTTTGGCCCAATACTACTCATGACATATGGAATGGACTCTAATAGGAAGAATGATTTTTTTTTAATCTTCTAATAGTTAAAAACTCGGTATTGGAAATAGCCATGGAACTTTTTATCCCAGTATCAAAAAGTAAATGTAGAGCAGGTTTATGACATCAACATTTCATATCAAAACAGTAGACTTAGTACATTTATAATTCATTTCTAAAATCAATGTTGTAAAATTCACAGAATTTTTTTATTTTATTAAATGTTTATTTTTATTTTGAGAGAGAGAGACAATACAAGCAAGGGAGGAGCAGAGAGAGAATCCCAAGCAGGCTCTGCACTGTCAGTGTGGAGCTCAACATGGGGCTCAGTCCCACAAACTGTGAGATCATGACCTGAGCCAAAATTGAGTCAAATGCTCCACCGATTGAGCCACTCAGGTGCCCCCAAATTCACAGAACTCTGGGACTTGTAAAGATCTTAAAAGTTGCCTGGTTTAGCATGTTCATTTTGCAGGTGAGGAAACAGGCCTTTTGTGGCTAAGTGATTTTCTTAAAAGTAATATCTTAGGTGTGATTTATAGAATGTAATTCAGAGGATAGGAGGGAGATGTGATTCTTGTGTAATGTTTGGAGCTATTTGACATAGTTTTGTGTATTAAAAGCTTATTGGTCAAGATTCTGCTTTTATGAATAGAATTTCATATATGGATCCTCTTGGTTGTTGAAAAATAGATTAATTTTCCAAGGTGTTCTTCTAATTTCTGGCAGCTGATGGTCTCTTTGTGATGGGCATGTCTGTATGTGTCCCTGCAGTAAAGCAAAACGGAGGAAGAAAAGGGAGGAGGCCAAGAAGCTGCCTGAGGTGTCTAAAGAGATGTATTATAACATTGCTGCAGACTTAAAAGAAATATTTCAAACTACAAAAGTTACCAGTGAAACAGCAGACGAGACACCTTTTAGTGAGAATCATGATGGCGAGAAGGTCGAAGTCCACAAGCCCACCGCTCTGACAAGTGGGGCTGAGCAGCCTGGCGGGTTCACATTCTCCTTTTTTGATTCAGACGCTAAAGATGTAAAGGAAGGTACTTTCTAAATTGTTCTAAGTTTTTCACTTTAAGCAGCTTGAACGTAATAGATTGAGTCTACATTAAGTGTGATAATGTAACATTAGTTGAAAAGAGAATTCTTCTCTTCCACCTCAGTGAGCAATAGGAGTCAGTATTCTATGGCCAGAAACCACATGCCTGGAGCTGTGTTCACGCAGCGGGGAAGTATTTTGCACTTGAGGGAGCGAATGTCTGGCTGCCACTTGAAGGGGGAAGCATGTTCTGTGCAGCGTTCCTTTTGGGTGGAAACAATCGTAGGAATAGGGAGTCATTTATTTAAGTAGCTTCATATCTTACATGCGGTTGGAAAACCCCAGACCCGTGGAAAGCCGGTGCTGTCTGGTGGGGAAAGGTAGAAATAGGCAGCCTTGGCTTTTTACGTCATCGACATGCCGGTTGCTTCCGATTTAATCCTTGGAAATGTGCCGGAGCCTGGAGAAAAACACAAGCTCCAGCATGTAACAGTTTTGCGTTCCATTTCAGGAGGTTCACATCTGGAGGCCAGCGTGAACCGGAAGTTAACACTAGCTGTTAGTTAGGCTTTTCTCCCTTAGTGTTCAGGATGGAAGTGTGGCCATGCTGGAAGCTGACTGAGAAGCCGGCCGTGCCGATGCAGGAGAATGCCGCACGCCTGCCTGCAGTGTGCTCTGCTTTAAAGATCCAGGCTCAAAGTAGCGTCCGTGCGTGTAGCACAGCAACACTAGCGTCAGGCCTCTGGTCCTCTGACAAGAGGGCAGTGATATCCAGTTTTTCAAAATTTGCTCTAAGTAAGACACAATACATCATGTGCTCTGCTTACATCATTCTCCTGCGCATGTCGTCCATCTGAGTAGCAAGGTCAGTCCTGACTAAATTGCTGAGCAGAGCTGGTGGCATGTGGATGTTGACTGTAACTCCTCTGGGAGCCAGGCGTGAGAAAGCAGCCTTGAAGTGAGTGCTGAGATCCCTCAGGTGTGACTTCCGTGCTCCGGGAATCAGGAACACTGTCCACATCTTCTAGCAGTAGCTTGTTCGGCGGCTCTAGAAAGACGGGGAACTGAAAATGTAGAGAAAGATGTGTTCCCTTCCTCAGTGATGAACAAGTGGGGAACCTGGTTTCACTGCAACACGTTCTGTTTTGGGCTTCCCTTGCTAGCGCAGGTGCCACCCTTTTGTTCTTTTATGTCACACATTTATAAACCTTTCGTTTTTGTACCTTTTTATAGTATTACTGTATTTCTTATCAGGTCACCTTGGTAGTGCTCAAAAAAATGGCACTTTGTCTCAATTAGTATTGAAAATCCAAAATGATACTGCTGATTTTAAATGATTAGATACTGGACCCTTAGAGCTATGTTTGTATGGTCAAAGTGGTCACAAGAATGTGTTCAGCAACAGTCCTGTCCCCTTTCATTGCTGTGACGATACAGACACCTATAGAGTTGAGACGGTGAGAACTGGGAAGGTCATCTGGCAGGGAGCTCCTCGTTTCCAAGACAGCAGTTCTGAAGAGGAGGATGTCACAGAAGAAACAGACGACAGTAAGCCCAGCCCCAGGTAAGCGGTTTCTGTGCAGGTCTGTTTCATCGTTTGTAGAACCTGAGTTAGACATGCTGATAGAAATATCCAAATTCATCTTCACAAGACAACCTAATTTTCTTCTCAGCTCCTTTTGAGTTCTCTAGCCTTTTTGGGTTTTTTTTTTATTTTTTAAAAAAAAATTTTTTTTTTTTATGTTTTATTTATTTCTAGGAGAGAGAGAGACAGCATGAGCAGGGGAGGGTCAGAGAGAGGGAGTCACAGACTGAAACAGGCTCCAGGCTCCGAGCTGGCCGTCAGCACAGAGCCCGACGCGGGGCTCGAACCCACGAACCGCGAGATCATGACCTAAGCGAAAGTCGGACGCTTAACCGACTAAGCCACCCAGGCGCCCCTCTCTAGCCTTTTTATAAGGGGATCACATCTCCTCCTCCTTGAAACTGGATAGCACTGGGTGGGGTATGTGAAGTCCCAGATCTGGAAGGAGGACCCAGAATGTTCCATTCACTGGCAGATGACGTACCAACACTGAGGTGTGATGGTCAACCACCACTGTGGGACATAAACAAGTCTTTTTTATCAAAGCTTAAGGTAGAAGAGAGGATGCTGAATAGAGGGTGGAGTCACTTTAAACCAGGGAAAAATGAGCAAAACATAAAGCAGGTATATTTAAAGACTAGTTCATTTCTATTTTCAGGTGAATATTTCATCTGAGATGTTGAAATTAACCAAAGTCTGTCTGTCTGTCTGTCTGTCTGTCTGTCTCTCTCCTCCTCTTTTGTTTCAGAGAAGTATCGGTACCTGAGAAAGAGACTACAAGATTTTTCTTTTTTTCAAAGAATGATGAAAGACTTCATGGTGAGTCCATTGCTGGACTAAATGGTATAGGACAGGAAGTGGTACAGCTCTCACCACTGCGCACTCCAATACAGAAATATGCATCCTAGATAGAAGTATTTGGCAAAAATTATGATATCATGTGGTTTAGCTATCTGGTTTTGGACTGATACAAATAGACTCATTAAGCTCTGAAAGATGAGTGTTCCCACTCCCCACCTCTCTTCCTCATTTATCATCATCAAGGGCTTCTTTGTTATGGAGACTTGCTTAGATGCTAGACAGGCAAAACTCCTGTTTTTCATACCCTGAACGTTCATGTGAAAACTGAGGTTCCTGGTGAACTCATTTTTTTAATCACCTAGGTTTATTTAATATAATTTTTTGTCAAAATGGCTTACATACAACACCCAGTGTTCATCCCAACAAGTGCCCTCCTCAATGCCCATTACCCATTTTCCCTCTCCCCTACCCTAGTTAGTTCTCTGTATTTAAGAGTCTCTTGTGGTTTTCCTCCCTCCCTCTCTGTTTGTAACTATTTTTTTCCCCTTCCCTTCCCCAATGGTCTTTTGTTAAGTTTCTCAAGATCCACATGAGTGAAAACATGAGATATCTGTCCTTCTCTGACTTATTTCACTCAGCATAATACCTTTCAAGTTCCATCTACATTGCTGCAAATGGCATGATTTCATTCTTTCTCATTGCCAAGTAGTAGTCCATTATGGTGAACTCATTTCTTAAAGCCTAGCACAAACAGAAACCAAGATACATAATAGTAAGTGATACATAAAGAGTAAAATCCTAGCAGTTCTATATTTTCATTTTGTAAAAACAAAATATTTTTTAAAATAGCATAAATTGTAGGGGTGCCTAGGTGACTCAGTTGCTTAAGCATCAGACTCTTGGTCTCAGCTTAGGCAGTGATTTCACGGTCATGGAATGAAGCCCAGCATCAGCCTCTGCACTGACAGTGTGGAGCCTGTTTGAGATTGTCTCTTTCAAAATAAATAAACATTTGTTTTAAACAAGTAAAATGAAATAGGCATAAATTGGGGAAAAACGCAGTGTTAACTAGAATTGAAGACCTTGATAATGCCCACACTAGTGTATCATCCATTTTAAAGGCATTAATCTTCTACCTTATCTTTGATTTTCCCCTATGAGGTTCTGATTTATTCTGGAGCGGAGTGGGAAGCAATATTAGCAGGAATTCTTGGGAGGCCAGAACAAACAACTTGCGAATGGTGAGTAATGATACCTCCATATTGTCTCCTCAGATGGATGCAGTGTTATGTGTGTATTTGCCTGGTATAAAAAACCAGGAGTAAGGAGAGACATGTAAGACAGAAATGGCGACACCTGAGGCCATGATTTAACCTCTCAGAGTCACCGTGCAGGAAGGGACTCTGTTTAGGTCACACCACATCTGGTGCAGGTGAGGAGCAGCTGCCTGTGTGGGCCGAGTTCCCACCATGTTTGTTAAGCAACAATACATCCTGAGTTTGGGGAAGACTCAAATATGGTTTCCATTGCAGACATTTAAAAAGTCTGAATATTCCTTGTTCATTCCAAGTGAGTGCTCCCATAATGCTTTCCATAATACTAACATTGAATAACCTAAACTTTACTTTATAGTTACTCAACACCTTGAAAATGATTTAATTTATTTTAACAAAGGCTTGATTTACGTTTTTCTAGGACTGTCGGAAGAAACACAAAGATGCCAAAAGGAGAGTGAAACCAAAATAATAAATGTCAGCATTGGTTTTGATACCGAATGTGAACAAGGCTTACCTGTGGAAATTGGGTGATGCAGAAAATAATTTTACATGAGGAAGAAGAATTCAGAGTGAAGGGATATTCAAAGTCTGCCTGGTCGATATCACTGTGTTTGCTATCTTTTTCTGTGGATTTGCTTGTATCTCTAAGTAATTCTTGAAAAAATTAAATCTGAACCTTTTTTTAACAAAGCATAAGATAACCCCTCAAAATACTTTTTATAAATATTCTCTGTGACATCTTCAGTAACTAATGAGTATCTCCTAATTCAGGGTTTACATAAATTCTTTTTAAATATACGGATAAGAGCACTTGTATTTTCCACATTAGGCTTTGTGTGAATTACAGGCTACATGAAATATTTATTTCTGATTATATAGAATATTCTTTACCTCCATTTTGTCTTTTTTTTTTTTCTTTTAAAGAAGATGAATACTAATCACTCTGAGTTCTGTACTTGTGTCCTGATGAACTAGCTAATATAGAAGACATTTTAGATGAACATCATAGGAGAGTTCTCTGAGGACCAGGAAAGGGTGCCAAATCGAGTCTTGCTGTCCTTGGCCTTGGGAATTAATAGAGGCAAGCCCATCAGTCCCAAAACCCTGGTTTGACCAGAGTCTTATGAAAAATCCAAGTTAGCCATCAGGACTCTTAAGTCCAGATAGGGAAGCAGATTTAATATTTCATTAAATCAACCTGGTTAGGATTCAAGACAGATAAGCCTCCTATCAAACTGGGCTCTGTTCAAAACTGTGTTATAAAAACCATCCCCAGGGATTATCCTTGAGACACAATGTGTATCTGAAATTAAGTATTTATTAATTTACATCTTGACCAAATATAAACTCTATAGAGGGCTGGGCTGTCATCTGGTTTATTGACCATTATATCCCCCCTGCCGAGAACTGTGACTAGCACACGGTGCTATATATTGGTACTTATATTTTTGAATAAAGAGTCCAAAGCCATAAGCAGCTGAAGAGTCATTGGGATTCCTGTGTTTCCGACACTTGAGACTTGATGGAGAACAGAAAAACTACCAGCCAGCAGGATAAATAATCCAAATGTCACCTTCTCTTGATGCAGATTACATTTATACCTTCTCACTGCTACATAACAAGCCATCCATCCGAATAAAATCATTTATTTTGCTCACAAATTAGCAATTTGGTCCGGACTCCATAGGGACTGCTCATCTCTACTCCATGTAGTATCACTCGGATGGCTCAGCTAGGCCCAGAGGATCCACTTCCAAGATGGCCCCACTCACTCAGGGTCTGTCCCTGGGCTTCCTCACAGCATGGCATCAACATTTCAGAAGCAGATGCTGCCAGTCTCTTGCACCAGAACCCAGAAAGTGGTTCAGTCATTTCCACTACAGTCTACAGGTCATAACAGACACAGAGCCCAGACCAGAACCAAAGAGGGGATGTAGACCATCACTCCTCAGTAGAAGTGCCAAAGAATTTGGCCATATTTAAATCTGTCACACCCTCCACCTTCAAAGCAGACAAAGAAGAGACATCAAGTAGCCTTACCTACACCTAATTCCCGCTGCCAAGATACAAACACCTTCAACAATTTTACGCGTCCTCTGATACTTACCTCTGTATCTCTCACATGCTAATACTGTGATCTCTTGGTTTTCAGTGTTAGAAACTACGCATCGTCTTCTACTCTTAACAAGTGAGGATTCGACTGATCCAAGTAGTATAACCTTTTTTCTAGAATCTCTTTCTTGTTCAACTTCTTTCTAGTTGAACCAGGAAGACAAAGACTTTCAGTCTTACACCTTCTGACAGTACCAGAAGATGTTTTCTCAATCCAAGATTTAAATAATCAAACCTATTACCCCACCTTTTTTCCTGGACACATATCTGGGAGCCTTCTTCCCTGCTCTTGTCTGGACAGACAAGGTGGCAACTTGGCAAATGCAAAACACAGGTTCCAAGTACTTGTAGTTATAAGCTGAGGAAACATCACTAGTGTGTCCAACAGAGTTACTGACTGGAGTTACCCATTTCAGCAAGGAAATGAAACCCCCTTACTCTAATCCATAACACTGGTGGGGCATTCTAGATGGGGCATTCTAGATGGTAAGTAGACTACTGGATATATGCTTACACAAACTAGTCAAAATGTTCTTAAACTTAGCATGCTTTCTATACATTCTCAGCCAGTTTTTTTTCTCTTTCTGTTCCTCTAATGGATACAATAAGCAGTTACATACAGAATTTGTCTGAATTTCTAAGATTCCCTTCACAGCTTCTGGTGCCAAAGCCTGCTTGTCTGCTGCCCTTTGCGTGGCTCCAGATTCCCTTTCGTTTTTAACCAGCGGATCCAGAACGTGACAGGCAAACCCCCAGCAGTGATAATACATTGTAAGTGAGCAGATGAGGAAGCAAGTAAGCTTTGTTTTCATTACAGGAAACGTTAAAACAGTACTAACTTTAAAGCAGGTTACCAGGCATTTCCTCCCCTATTTTGTGACCTGTTTTCACTGCGCCAGTTTAGCAGGACTTCTACAGTGGAACCAGGAGAACTCCGGAAGAGGTGCACGCAAGGGCGGGCTTCTTGAGGTCCCCCTGACCACCGACACCCCAGCCGCTCCCAGATACGACCTGGGCAGGCAGGAATCCGGGTGCCAGAGGCGTCACCGGAGCGCCCAGTGCCAACGCACACCCCGGGGCCCCGCATCCAGGGTACGTGTTAGCGGGCCTGTCGTGTGGCCTGGGAATGCAATCTCGCCAGTCCCGGCGTGACCCGGCGCGGGTGTCTACGACACGGACTCCTGCGGCAGTCACCCTCCACGGCAGTGGCTCCCGCGGAGGCTCCCCGGCGACAAGGCCCCAAGGCGGAATCCCCTAGGCCGCCGTCGCCACTCCCGAATTGCGAGTTGGGGAAATGCACAGGTGTCCCGCGCACAGCCAGGTGAACCCTGACAAGCGGGCACACCTGTGTAAGACGCGCGGTCAGCAGGCACATCAGTCTCCCCGCGCTGCCCCCGGGCCCCAGCATCCCCGCGCAGCCACTAAGTCCGCCAGAGGGCCGCGAGGGAGCCGCCCTGCTGGGTCGCGCTGCCGCCTTCCTAGCGCGCACGCCGCGCACGCCCGAGCGGGCGTAGTTGGGCCCGTGCGGCCAATCGAGGCCCGACTTGTTGGTGGGTGTTGGGCAGCGCACTCTGATTGGTCGATGCAGACCGGCCTCTTCTTTTCCGCCCGGCTCTGTCAGAGCGTTGCGTCACCTCTGGACGCCCGGCTGCGGCGTGGACGCGACTTTCGGTGGCGCTCCCGCTCCGGGGCCCTTCAGGTACCCACGCCCTACCCGCAGGGTCGTCCGAGTTTACCCTGCCCTACCTGCGGGGCTGCCCAGGGTACCATTGTCCTGCTCGCGGTCTCGCTCCACGTACCCCCGACCTGCTCGCGGGGTCGCCCCAGGTACCACCGCCCTGCCCGCGGGGTCGCCTCAGGTTACTCGCCGCCTCCCGTCATTGCCCGCGGGGTCGCCCCGGATTATTCCCCCCTCCCCCCTTCCCCCGCGCTGTGCCTGGGGGGTCGCCCTGGGTACTCCCCCCCCCCCCGCCCACGGGGTCGCCGCAGGTTACTCCCTCCCCACCGGCCTGCCCGCGGGGTCCCCCGGGTGCCCCGCCCTGCTTGCTGGGCCCCTGGAGTGGTCGCGAGCATTTGGTGTGGTAGTTTGCTAGAGAAATTCAGAGGATGGGCGAGACGACTTGAGCGCGGCGTTCGTAGGAACCATCTAGTCCTAGGCCAGCGGGAAGGAGTTTGCCGCCAGGGCCCTGGAGCTCAAGGGGAGTGAGCACAGCGTGACACAGTCTGATAACGCCGTGTGCCGCTGGGAGCAGGGGAGGGGAAGACCGTTCTCCAGTGGGATCTGTAGCTGCGAGAAGGGGAGGGTTAGGAGCCGCGGTGGGCTTGGGGCCTTGAAGGTGAATAGGAACTGGAGCGGAGAGAGTCCCGAGGTTATGGCAGGATCAGAAAGTGCGTGTGTTCTTCCCGAGGTGTGGTGGTGCCGGTGTCCCTGCAGCTTTTAGAGTGTCAGGACAACATATTCTCTATGTAAGTGATTGAAGAGTGAATTCCAGGGAAGAGAAGCGAGCCAAGCATAGATACACTCTTTTTTTTTTTTTAATTTTTAATGTTTTTTATTTATTTGTGAGAGAGAGAGAGAGCATGAGCAGGGGAGGGTCAGAGAGAGAGAGAGAGAGGGAGACACAGAATCCGAAACAGGCTCCAGGCTCTGAGCCGTCAGCACAGAGCCCGACGTGGGGCTCGAACGCACGAACCGTGAGATCATGGCCTGAACCGAAGTCGGCATTTAACTGACTGAGCCCCCCAGGCGCCCCATAGATACACCCTTAAGTGTGTTTGGAAAGGTGATAGATAACGGTGACAGTGAGCGGCAAGAGCGATAGGATGGAATTTCCGGACAAAGAAGTAATAATAGTTTACAAAGCTGACATGTGAGAGCCAATATTTCAGTTAGTATTAATTAGCATTGTGAGTGTGTTACCTTTATTTTACAGAGGACACATTGGAGATTTAAAGGTCGAGTAACTTTTCCTATAGCTCAACATGTCCAGTGGTGGCAGCCACAACTATCAGGTTCCAAAGCCTTTCCGTTGTCGTGTGCAGGAGGGCATATTGAAAAGGCAGGTGGGAGTAGGGTCGTGGGTGGAGACTGAGGACCCGGATCGCGGATTCTTTCAGACGGTCGGGTTTGAGCACTTACCATGTGCTAGCTTACTGGAGGGAGGACAGTGAGATGCTTCTGCAGGCAGCACATGTCCAGCTGCACGGGAGCTCGTGTGGGAGAGGAACAGGTCCGGGAGAAAGGGAGGATATTAATTCTGAAAAGGGGGCTTGATAAAAGCCTCAGAGGAAAGTAGTTACTTAATAAGTAGTGCTGGAGTCTGCGGAGAGAGCTGCAGGAATGCAGTATGGTTTCTCAGCCGCCTGCAAGAGGGTGATGGAGCTGCTGCCTGCGTTTTATGAGTGAAGGTCAGGAGGAAAAGTAGCAATTTGGGGGAAAGTGGCCTTGACTGCCCTCTTGAAAAGTCTTTAACAGAATATTGTTGTGTGAGAGGAGTCATTGGATTTTTTTAAATACAAAAATGGTATTTTCAGAGCTTCTTCCTTAGAAAGGTGGTGTGTTAGGTACAGTATTTTTCTCTTTATTTTAAACGTTTTTGTAATGAAGTTAGTCCTTAGAAAAGTGGTATATAGGGGCGCCTGGGTGGCTTAGTCGGTTAAGCGTCCGACTTTCGCTTAGGTCATGATCTCGCGGTTCATGGGTTTGAGCCCCGCGTCGGGCTCTGTGCTGACTGCCAGCTCAGAGCCTGGAGCCTGTTTCAGAGTCTGTGACACCCTCTCTCTCTGACCCTCCCCTGCTGGCGCTGTCTGTCTTTCTCTTTCTCTCTCTTAGAAATAAATAAAGCATTTAAAAAAACATAAAAAAGTGGTATATAAGTAATAAATAAAAATGTGCTCTTTCATTCCTTCCCCCTCCTAATCCTTCTCCCTGATGGTAGCCATAGCTTAGTTGGGTGGGTAGCCTTCTAAATTCAAATACAAAATTACTTAAACATAGATTTCATTTACATACGTATATTTTTAAGTTTCTTGAAAATGCTAATGCACATGGTATAAATTACTAGAATGGTGACTTTTTTCTTTCTCAACATTTGGCAGTATTTGATATATTATGATTATTTTTTCAAATGTTTGTTTTTGAGAGAGAGACAGTGAACTGGGGAGGAGCAGACAGAGGGGGAGTCAAAGATCTGAAGCAGCGAGCCTGATGTGGTACTTGAACTCAAAAACTGTGATTTTGTGACTTGAGCCAAAGTCAAATGCTCAGTCAGTGACTGAGACACCGAGGTGCACTAATATATTATGATTATTTTTAATGTCTATGTGGTATTATGTACCACAATTTATTTTAGTCACTTATTCATGGGTATTTACTTATTCAGGTGTTTATAGGAACATTGCTTCAGTTAATATCTTATACATTTGTGTAAGTATATCTGTGGGGTATACATTAATACGATACCACCAAACCGAGAAAGGGCTGGAGATAGACCCACTTCTGGGATTAAATTTAACTCTAGTAACATACTGAGAAGACATGGGAGGGCAGAAGAAAGAACAGAAACAGACTTAGAGGTCTGACCCACATAACTTTGGTGGCCAATTGGATGTGATGATTATCCGGTCCTATCAAGTGGGGGACTCAGAAATTTCAGGTAGTGGGAAGGAATAGTGGAACTACGAGTACCATCGAATTAAAGACTAGAGCAGGCATGGCAAGGAAGAGCAGGATATTTGTTGTAAACAAAAATATTTTTGTGTGCATTTCTAAGACCTGTTGAAGTAAACGCCAGTAAAGATCAAGGAGGTATACACACATTTCTGAACAGGAGGTTGCCACTAAAAAGGTCTGAGAGAGTCTGGAATGCAGAAGATTGGAGGGTGAGGGTTATGGCTAGAGAGAGGAAGAGGATGTTGCTTCCCTTAGCATGACCTGGTGGTTAATCTCCCCTCCTCTTTCTGCTCCCCACACCCCAGGCCCTGTGGTTACTGGATGCTGTTTGCAGGTACAGCTCTCCAGTGGATGTGAAGGGCTAGAGCAATCCTGTGATTTATGCATGGGGGCTGTTTCTCCTCAGCAGCCACCATAGCCCGGTCACTGATACATGGCTCTTCTAGTTAGTGGATAACTAGTGCCATTATCTTGAGTCGAAGCTCCCTAGAAAGTTTTATAAAAGTTATGTATGAGCCTTTTCACAGAAAGCTTAAATAGTATTTTCTCAAAAAAATAAAATAAGAAAACTTCAGATAGATATTCCTGAATAACGGTTAAAATAGTTCAAGAGTAGTGACTCACAAACTTTGATGTGTAGGCTGATCCCCAGGTATCTTGTTAAAATACAGGTTCCAACTCCTCCAGCCAAGGTGGGGATGGCAAGTCTATTGTCAGTAGCTCCTGTAGATGCTGGAATTTGTAGAAGCAGCCTTGAGGAATATTAGAAGTGACAGAAATAAATGTGTTGATATCCAAACATGTGTTAATCTTCAAATGTAACCACTTAGGTTTCAGTTGGCCTCTAAGAAGGTAGTCACTGAACCAGCAGGACCCCTAATAAATCAAGACGTGTACAAACACTCTGTCTACGAAAGGCTGGATATTGTAACAAGATCCAAAGGTCAAAAATGCCATTCAACTGCGATTTTATTTAATGTTTTATTTATTTCTGAGAGAGAGAGAGACAGCGTGAGCAGAGGAGGGTCAGAGAGAGAGAGGGAGTTACAGAATCTGAAACAGGCTCCAGGCTCTGAGCTGTCAGCACAGAGCCTGACACGGGGCTCAAACCTACGAACCGCGAGATCATGACCTGAGCCAAAGTCGGACACTTAACTGACTGAGCCACCCAGGTGCCCTCAACTTCTCTTTAATACCATTTTGTGGCATACCTAGTCAGAAACGGATGCTTGGATTCATTAAATGGTCCACCCGTCCTTTTCTTCTTTTTTTCCTGTATAGAACAGGATGTCCAAGACAGCCTTGCATCTCAGAAGTAAATGATGAGTACCTAGGTGACACAGTCACTTAAGCATCCCACTTTTGATTTTGACTCAGGTCATGATGTGACGGTCCCTGAGCCCCAAGTCGGGCTCTGTGCTGGTGGGAATTCTCTCCCTCTCCCTCTATCCCTCTCCCACATGGGGTCACTCTCAAAATAAATAAATATTTTTAAAAAATAGATGGAGACACCTGGGTGGCTCAGTTAGTTAAGCATCTAACTCTTAATCTCACTCATATCAACATCTCATGGTTTGTGAGCTTGACCTCCAAATAGACGCATGTTGGGCTATGCCATGTCTGTGCAGAGCCTCTTTGGGATTTTCTGTCTCCCTTTCTCTCTGCCCTTCTCTGTCTCTCTCTCTCTCTCTCTCTCTCTCTCTCTTTCTCTCTTTCTATTAAAGTAATCAAAAACATTTTCCAGAAATTTTAAAAAGTGGGGCTCCTGGGTGGCTCAGTCGGTTGGGCATCTGAATTTGGCTCAGGTCATGATCTCACAGCTCATGAGTTCGATCCCCACGTTGGCCTCTGTGCTTACAGCTTAGAGCCTGGAGCCTGCTTTGGATTCTGTGTCTCCCTCTCTCTCTGCCTCTTCCCCACTCATGCTCTGTCTTACTCTGTCTCAAAAATAAATTAAAAAAATTTTAAGTGTTTGTGCTTTAGCAGCTTACATGAAGAAAATAAAAGGATAACCCACCGAATGGAGAAAATATTTGCAGATTCTATAACTAATAAGGAACTTGTATCTAAAATATACAAAGAACTCTTAACAACTCAACAATTAAAAACCCATTTTAAACATTGGACAAAGGATGAATGGACATTTCTCCTAATAAGAGATAAATATTGCCCATTAGCACATGAAAATGTGCTCAACTAATCATCAGGAAAATGCAGATCAAAACCATGAGATACTACTTCATACCTGTTAGGATTTCCTATAATCCAAAAATGGGTAATAAGAAGTGAGGATGTAGAAAAACTGGTATACTCATTCACTCCTGGGGAAAATATAAAATGAGACAACTTTAGAAAACATTTTTTGGTAGTTTCCCAAAAGTTAAACAGTTACCATATGATCCAGCAATTCTACTCCTGGATATATTTACCCAAGAGAACTGAAAACATACATCCATATGATAACTTATACATGAATATTCATAGCAGGATTGTTTATATTAGCCAAAAGTTGGAAACATCCCTAATGTCCATGAACTAATGAATGGATAAACTGTGACGTATCCATACCATGAAATATTTACTCAACCGCCAAAAGTATTGAAGTATGAAGATTTGTTACAACATGGATGAACTTTGAAAACAATTCTCGAAAGCCAGACACACGATTCCATTTATATGAAATGTCCTGAATAGGAAAACTCATAGGACAGGAAGCAGATTAATGGTTCCCAGGGGCCTGGAGAAGGAGGGACTGGAGAATGACTGCTAACGTGTACAGGTTTTTGGAAGGGGTGCGCAGTGATAAAGATGCTTGGGAATTAGACGTGCTATGGTTGCACAACCAATGAATGTGCTACAGACCACTGAATTTTATACTTAAAGGGCTGGACTTTAATTTTAAAAAGCTGTAATTTTTTTTAGGTGTCATGTAGTGTGATGAATTGTAATATATATATATTCATTTTACTATATGCTGTTCTGTAATTCCTGAATTCTCTGTTGAGAATAAAAAATTTAATTTCTCTTGCAGCAACAAAATGGTTCAGCAAGTTCCAGAAAACATCAATTTTCCTGCTGAAGAAGAAAAAATCTTGCAGTTCTGGTCTGAATTTAATTGTTTTCAGGAATGTTTAAAGCAATCAAAACATAAGCCAAAGTATGTAAATTCCTTTGGTAATGGTAGAGTCCTTAAGAATAGTCATTTTTTAGACTTAAGTTCCATGAAAGCAGAAACCCCCATTCACCTTTGTGTTCCAGAGTCGTCTTGCTCTCTATGTAGTGGGTACTTTCAGCAGTAGGTACATGTTGAATGGATGAGTTTTTAAATATCAGGCTAGATTCCTTTTCTTTAAAAGGTCTTCTAGAGTTTATGTATCACCCTCTTCCTTTCCATGTTTCTCATTATTACTACCTTCATTTAAGCACTTAGACTAGTCTTAGCTTCCTTTTGGAGTACTTCCTGCCTCTAGTCTCTATTCACCTGAAAACCAGTCCTTTCTTTACTGTTTTCATCATGTCTCCAGTATTCAAAAACTATGTGATAGAAATTGTTGCCCTGTTTTACTGATGAGGTAACTCAGGATCAGGGTGAGTGACTTGCTTTATGTCATGGCTAAAAAACAAAGTGTGGATGGTCTGATGGAGGTCACTCAGCTCCACCATACCTAGTTTTTTTTTGAAGGCAGGACTTTCAGTAAATACCTAACCATGTATGTCTGTGAATTTTTTTATCTTGCTGCTTTTCTTCTCCCTGAAGACTCTGTTGTGATAGGACCTAATTATACAAAACTATCCTAAATTTTTGCTGTTTTAAAGTAACAACACATTTTTATTATCTCCATTAGATTTACATTCTACGATGGACCTCCTTTTGCAACTGGACTGCCTCACTATGGACATATACTTGCAGGGACAATTAAAGATATAGTTACCAGATATGCTCACCAGAGTGGGTTTCACGTTGACAGAAGGTTTGGATGGGATTGTCATGGCTTACCTGTGGTATGTTTGAGTCACCAGCCTTATAATGTTCTGATTTTTTAATAAGCACTGGATTTCATTATATGATATGTGATAGTATGATGAATTTTTCCTATGATGTACTCTGTTTCTACAGAACCATTTATAGTTCATCTTCTCTGTAGATTTTTGAGACCTAGTATTTTTTAAAACTGTTTAATGTTCTAGAGTTGCTGACTTGAATCTTTTTCATAGGCAGGGACATTAATAATCTTGTCACAAATTTTCAGGAATATGAAATTGATAAGACACTGGGGATCAGAGGACCGGAGGATGTAGCCAAAATGGGGATCGTAGAGTATAACAATCAGTGCCGAGCAATTGTGATGAGATATTCCACTGAGTGGAAGGTATGTTGGGTTATTTTCAGCAGAATGAACAAAAACTTTTTAAAATGGGAGTTGATATGGTTTACACTCTTTTTGTGTTTTTTATGAGATGCATCCAAAACTATGGCTATCTGTGTGAGGTTGTGACATAAAAAGGTTGATCGTTCTCTTTAAAGAACTATTTAGCTTCCATGTACAACCCTATTAAGCTGTCAGCCTAAACTGAGCCCTCTCTTTTCTTGTTTCTGGGTGCTCAATTGGTCTTCCATATTTAATCTCCTACCTGCTCACTGTGTATGACAGAAATTGGGCTGTCCTAGCACATTGATTAACTTCAGTATTGCAGTAAAAAACTTCAGATTTTTTTTAAAAAATTTTTTAATGTTTTATTTATTGCTGAGAGAGAGAGACAGTGTGAGCAGGTGAGGGTCAGAGAGAGAGGGAGACACAGAATCTGAAGCAGGCTCCAGGCTCTGAGCTGTCAGCACAGAGCCCAACGTGGGGCTCGAACCCATGAACCGTGATCATAACCTGAGCAGAAGTCAGACGCTTTAACCAACTGAGCCATCCAGGTGCCCCCTAAAATTCAGATGTTAAAAACAGTGCAAATTTGGGCTCACTGTTATATTAATTTGACTCCCATCCTACCATTGCTTCTGTTAGTGAGTCCTTTGAAGGACTGACAGATCTCTCGTCTCTCTCATTCTCATGGGCCGAGGAGCAGATATCCTCAGCTCCCCCTTTCTTTGCTGGCTCTCTAGCTACTATGTATGTGTAACTTGAAAACATGTCTGACTAGGGGTGCCTGGGTGGCTTAGTTGGTTAAGCGTCCAACTTTCGCTTGGGTCATGATCTCACGGTTCGTGGGTTCGAGCCCCGCGTCGGGCTCTGTGCTGACGGCCAGCTCAGAGCCTGGAGCCTGTTTCTGTCTGTGACTCCCTCTCTCTCTGACCCTCCCCTGCTCACGCTGTCTCTCTCTCTGTCTCCTAGAAATAAATAAGAACATTAAAAAAAAAAAAGAAAAAGAAAACATGTCTGACTTGTATTTTTTCCATCTCATCATCTTAACCACTTTGACTTCTCAAACTTGTTCCAAATTCCTTGTTCTGCAGATGCTGTCAGTCTTCTGGGTTTCACACATGATGATGCTCGTCAGCAAATCAAATGCCAAACCCTGTCAAGTTTTTCTTGTTCATTGTCTCTTATCTGGTCATTTCATTCCGTCCCTGGGCTCCCTCTTACCCTCCCCTTCGTTTCTGTAACCATCTCCTAATTGGTCTCTTGCACCTGTTCTCGGCACTCAGCCTGCCAGGTTCTCTCTCCGACAGACTGTAGATGCCCTGCCCTGCTCAGCATTTTGAGTAGTTTCTCTTGATTGGTGAATAAAATCTGATTTCATCACACCTAAATTCAAAGCTCCTCCATTTTCTCCTACTCTAACATTTTTACTTTTTAATTTAAAAAAATGTTTAATGTTTGTTTCTCAGAGAGAGAGAGACAGAGTATGACCAAGAGAGGAGCAGAGAGAGAGGGAGACACAGAATGTGAAGTAGGCTCCAGACTCTGAGGAGTAACTTTCTTCAGTCAGACTTTGTTGCCTGATTACCAGAAGGGAAAAATCCAAAGAATATAATATGCATATAGCTTTTTTACCTTAAAATTATTTTTTTAACATTTCATTTTTGAGTGATTCGGACTTAATAAAAAATTACAAAAACAGTTATGAAGAATTCATATTCTTCCCTACTTCCCAAATTCTAACACTTTTAATAATCATAATGTAATTATGAAAAAGCAAGAAATTAACACTGATAAAATATAATAGGCCTTTTTCAAATTTAACCAGTTATGCTAAATATTGCAGATCCAGGAGGCTGTATAGGAATGTACATTGCATTCTGTTGTCATACTTCCTTATTCTCCTTCAAGCTAGAGGATTCCCTCAGTCTTTCTTTGTCTTTCGTGACCTTGTCACTTTAAAAAAAAAAAAAAAAAAAAACTTTTAAAAAATTTATTTATTTAATCTCTACACACAATGGGAGGCCAGAACTCAAGACCCCAAGATCAAGAGTTGCATGCTCTACTGGCTGAGCCAGGTGCCCCGACCTTGTCACTTTTAAAGAGTACAGACCAATTATTTTCTAGAAAGTCTCCCAAAGTCTGATGTTTTCTAATGATTAAGTTTAGGTTATGTATGCGTTTTTGATAAAGAATGCTCAGAAGTGACGTCATGCCCTTCTCGATCTGTCTTGTCAGGAGGCCTGTGATACTGATATGTTTCATTGGTGACATTAATTTTGTTCTCTGAGGTAATATAGGTCAGGTTTCTCTGTTGTTAATTTGTAGCTTTTCCTTTGTAATTATGTATGCTGTAGGGAGATTTTTTGCAAATATTCTGTTTCTTATACTTTTGTTTAGGAGTTTTAGCATCCATTGCTGATTCTTGCCACCAGCAATTATACCTGAGGTATTTGCCAAATGTCACTTTGGGTAGACTTTTATAAAGGAATATTAATATTTATAAATAAATCCTGTGCAGGTAAGACGAATGTCAAGAAAACTGGTTCTTAACCTTACATAGATTTACTTGAAACATTGGTGGTTCTGTTTTTCCAAAATCATCGTACACGGTGATGATACAAATATAACACATTGAAGTAACAAATATCATTGTCTAATAACTCTGATGTTCATATTTTTAAAGTCTACTGTTACCAGACTTGGCCGATGGATTGACTTTGACAATGACTACAAAACTCTCTATCCACAGTTCATGGAATCTGTCTGGTAGGTTTATTTGAAATTGTAAATATAATGAATATTCTGTTTATTGTTTAGTGGTGAGATTATCTAGCATGAATCAGTTTTTCAGATTCACAATTATTTATATGAAGTATCTGGGATGGATTTGTTTTGTTTATGTTTTTAAAACTTTATTATTTTATTTTTTAGAGCACTTTAAGATTCACAGCAGATTGAGAGGAAAGTACAAAGATTTTCCATATTCCCTGTACCCTAACACATGCACAGCCTCCCCATTATCAACATCCCCACCAGAGGTGGTATATTTGTTACCATTAATGAACATACACTGACACATCATAATCACCCAACGTCCACTTTCAGATTTACTCTTGGTGTATACATTCTAGCCATCATTCTAGCATCACACAGGATTTTCACTGTCCTAAAAATCCTCAATGCACCAACTGTTTATCTCTCGCCCCAGATTTGTATTTGAATTCAGTAAATTTTGGATTCTACTAAAGTAATACGATATGCATATATTCTGTGGTATATAATAGTTCCAACAAGTTGAGCAGCAACCTGTAACCAAATACGTTAGTATTTTTCATCAGAACACATAATTGTTCATGTCAATCAGATAAAGAATATAAATGGCCTAATGTCAGTTAAAGATTTTTGCCATTTTGGTACCAAATTTAGGGAAAATTAAGTTTCAGAAGTATTTTTTAAATTTGTGTTTGTTTTGTTTTTTAAATAATGAAATCTAAGAGACTGTGTATATGAATTTTATACTGAGGCAAGTTGTATAGTGCAGTCCCTTGCATAGCTGTTTCAAAATGAATATTAGTTTGTTTTTACTGAACAACCATTGTGTTGCCAAAGTCTTAGTAGGCGAACCTCTTAGAATAGTATAAGGATCATTGCATATCCTTAATGGGCAAAGAAGCACCATTATGATTGCAGAGTGCCCTAAGTATATATCTCAGACCTTGAGGAAGTCTTTTATTAAGTTATACAGAATGACAGGTGAGTTGCAAAGCTGTTCTGTATAGGGCACTTTCTTTGTGCTGTATTGTAGGTGCACATGGCTCTTATTGCCTTCCTGTCTACCTGCTTGCATTTCTCTTAGTCAAGATCTGTGGTACATGCTTGGCCCAAGTCCTTTGCCTTTGAGGAGCTAGATGCTTTGGTGCAGTTCTCACACCTTCTGACTCTGACAGGCCCCTGTGAACACATCCCCAGGCCTGTATACCCAAGTTGGATGCTTGTAAGTTTCTCCGACAGGCCAGAGACTTTGGAGAGGGGGCTTCATAGTCACTGAACTGCTAGATTTCTCATGATTAGAGAAGCATCTGAAAACCAGGATTTGTGTTAAGCACCTAAAAAAAAAAGGTACTATTAATGCTCTGGATTAGAGCTGTTGAACACTTAAATGTGGCTAATAATTAAGGAGCCAAGAATATAAGTGGAGAACAGACACTCTCTTCAGTAAATGGTTCTGGGAAAGCTGGACAGCCAGATGCAAAAGAATGGTTCTAGACTGGTATCTTACATCGTACACAAAAATTAAATCACATGGAATAAAGATTTGAATGTAAGACCTGAAACCATAAAATTCCTAGAGGAAAACCAGCAGTAAGCTCCTTGACATCCGTCTCAGCAATGATTTTTTTAGATATGACTCCAAAAGAAAGGCAGCAAAAGCAAAAATCAACAAATGGGATAATATCAAACTAAAGAGTTTCTGCACAGTTAAAGAACCTGTCAACAATCGGGGCACCTGGGTGCCTCAGTTAAGCATCCAACTTTGGCCCAGGCCATGATCTCAGGATTTGTGGGTTCAAGCCCCACATCAGGCTCTGTGCTGACAGCTCAAAGCCTGGAGCCTGCTTCAAATTCTGTCTCCTTCTCTGCCCCTCCCTGGCTCACTCTCTGTTTCTCAGAAATAAGTAAACATTAAAAGCCTTCAACAAAATGAAATGGCAACCCATTGAATGGGACAAAATATTTGTACATCATGTATTGGTAAGGGATTAATATCCAAAATATTTTTTAAAAAACTCCTACAACTCAGTAGCAAAAGAAAATCTGATTTAACAATGTGCAGAAGACCCAAAGACACATTTTTCCCCCTGAGGACGACCTGCAGATGCCAATAGACCTGAAAAGATACTCAGCATCACGAAAATACAAATCAGAATCACGGTGAGATACCACCTTATCCCTGTCAAAATGACTAGGATCCAAAAGAGAAGAAATAATAAATGTTGGCAAAAATATGCAGAAAATGGAATCTTTGTGCATTGTTGGTGGGAATGTAGATTGGTATGGATAGTATGGAAAACAGTATGGAGTGTCCTCAAAAAATTAAAAATGGAATACCACATGATGTAGCATTTCTACTTCTGAGTATTTATCCAAAAAAAATGAAAATGCTAATTCAAAAAAGATATGTATCTACTTCTGAGTATTTATCCAAAAAAAATGAAAATGCTAATTCAAAAAAGATATGTATCTTTACGTTCATCACAGTATTAGGTACAGTACCCAAGATAGGGAGTCAACCTACATGTCCACCAATTGATAAATAGATTAAAAAAAAATGTGAGTGTATATGTGTCTAAAATAGATTATTACCCAACCATGTAAAAGTAAATCTTGCCATTTGTGACAACATGGAAAGACCTTGAGGATATTATGCTAAGTGACATAAGTCAGAAAGACAAATACCATATGATTTCACTACATGTAAAATCTAAAAAAACACAACTCATAGACACAGGGAACAGAATGGGGGTTGGAGGTGGGTAAAGTGGGTCAAGAGGTACAGACTTCCAGTTATAAATAAATATTGGATATGTATCATATAGCACGGTGACCATAGTGAATACTATTGTGCATATTTAAAAGTTGCCCAGATGATAAATATTAAAAGTTCTTACCATAAGAAAAATAAAATTGTTGCAACCTTAGTGGTGGACAGTAACTGGATTTACTGTGATTTCACAGTATGTATAAATATCAAATCCAAATACAAAATTACATGTCAAGTATGGCTCAAAAAGAATTAATAAACTTGGGAGATTTGATATAAAACATCACTTTTTAATCTTTGTTTAAAGCCAAGCAATACCGTGAAAAAATATGCACAGTTTTTCATAAAAATGTATTTTAGCAAATGAAAAAGTTTAACTCATTGTACCAAACACATAGGAATTAGACTATAAAAACTATACATTGTGGCAGAATTAAGGGTTCCCCCCAGTGCATCCTGACTTCCAAGTGGGACAGGTGAGTAGTCCCCACGGGAGAACCTGGGATAACTGTTACCAGTGATATTTCAACGTTTTGGTGCATTTGGCTTAAAGCAACGTGGTTAAGTGTTTAGTAAAAGTTTTTGCCCAACTGTAGGAGAGTATCCTAATCCCAGTGGTTTACTCCTTTTAAATTGCTTTTGTAAAAGTACCTGTTAGAGTAAAATTTAAGCAATATACTGGAAAACTATTAAGCAAAAATTCCGAAATCCCAACCGTAGTTAACATACTAGTGAAAATCTGCTTTTTCAGCATCTCTAAAAATAGTAGGTATGTATACAGATATGTACAGTTTTACACAACTAGTATCTCATTGTACAATATGGTATCGCTTTTCTCACTCAACATGAAGTCATAAACATCTTCCCACGTAAACGGATATTAGCACTTTTTAATGACTGCGTAATATCTCCAACTACTCTGGTGTAATTTACCAGCTAGTCCCCAGGTTGAGAAGCCTGATGTTTCTACTTGACTGGCTGATAGAAACTCTGTAGACAAACTGGTGTAAATGTTTGAGTCTGGGGAGGCAGAATTTTGGTTGTGTAACTGTTGTAAAACTGTCTCTTTACTTGTTAGGTGGGTCTTCAAACAGCTCTATGATAAGGGCCTTGTGTACAGAGGTGTGAAAGTTATGCCTTTCTCCACCGCGTGCAACACTCCACTCTCCAACTTCGAGTCTCACCAGAACTACAAGGTGAGTGTAACGTCATTGGGCATTAACTTGTGCACACAGAGGTTAACCAGTTGTGATCATGGTACCAGTTCCTCATGGAACTAATGGAACATTAGCATGGGGAGTCTGTCAGTTTGACTGTTTCTTACGCAGCGCTGGGGATGTTGCCATTTGCTGAACTGAGCTCTGTTAAGATTAAAAATTAGGGATTTTTCCCCATGAGATTTGTGAATGGTGTGTTTTCGTATGATAGCTTCTGCTTGTTTTGACCATATTTTTGTGCCTCTCTGGTTAACCAGTCCAGCTTTCCCTCTTTCCCTTCAGTCACTGCTTTGGAAGAGTTGCTGGTTGGCATGATGATGCCTCAGCTGGGACCCCGTAGCATTTGTTCATTTGTTAAAAGTATTTGGAACCAAATCTGATTTGTGATTGGTTGACGGTATTATTATTTTGTTTCTGATGAATGGAATAGCAGCTGTCACTGCTAAGATGGGAGAGTTTAGACGAGTGTGATGTCACCAGAGTATACTCTGTGCTTTACCTTATCTAGACAGACAGTGACGGGAGGCAGTCTTCTGAAACAGGAAATATCAGTTCTCGTGTATGTATTCAAGAGGTGTTTTCACTTCTGAGGCTTTAACCCTCTTTGCTTTTAAAGAACATTAGTTTGTTTGACTTAATTATATCATTAAAGCTTTATTTCAAATCACTTTTTATCTCACAGAATGCTTTCATACATCTCATTTGATCCTTGCAAATCCTTCTGAGGTGGCCATGATGCGTCCTGTTATCTCCTAAATAGCTTTCGATGATAGAGCTCATGTCATGTTGTATTTTTTAGATACAATATTTTAAGCACATAAAAATGTAGAGAATAATATACTAAGTACTTGGTTATCGAAGGCCTAACTCTGTCATACCTTAATATATTGCTGTGTTTGCTTACTTTTGAAAGATCCTTTAACATGGATAATTTCCAGCATACACAAAAGTAGACAAAATAATGAATTAACTCCCATGTGCCTGTCACGTATCCCCAGTAGCTGTTAGCTGTGGCCAGTCCTGCCCCCTCAGCACATACCCCACTCACTTCTCCCAGTCCCTCTTTCAAGGCAAATTTCAGACACATCATTTTACTAATAAATGATCCATTTTATATCTTTAAGACATAAAAAATGGTTATTTTAATATTACCATATTACCATTATCACATTTTCAAAAGTCATCAGTTATCCTGAATATGAAATATTCTAATGATCTAATACCTGGATATCATCAGTGTTTACATTCTCTATTTGTCTCTCAAATACCATGTCTTTTTTTATCCTCTGTTCTTTTTGGTTTGGTTTTGTTTTTGAATCAGGACCTAAGGAAGGTTTACACATGGTAATAGTTTTGTTTTTAGATCTGCTTTCATCCGCAGGTCTCCATTTCACTTTCTTTTTTTTTTTCTTTTTTTTCCTCCCCTTGCAGATTATTGTTTAGGAAACAGGTTTTATCTTGCAGAGTTTCCTACAATGAATTTTGCTGATTATGTCTCCATGGTCTAATTTAGACCACCTCCTCTGTATTTTGTAGAAATTGGCACTTCCAAGGGCACTAGCGTGGCTCAGTGGGTTAAGCACCCGACTTCAGCTCAGGTCATGATCTCACAACTCATGAGTTTGAGCCCCACATCAGGCTCTGGGCTGACAGTTAGGAGCCTGGAGCCTTCTTCAGTTTCTGTCTGTCTGTCTGTCTGTCTCTCTCTCTCTCTCTCTCTCTCTGCCCCCCCTCCCCGCTTGCACTCTATCTCACTCTCAAAACTAAACATTTAAAAAATTTAAAAGAAAAAGAAATTGGTACTTCCATCTTGGGTTTATGTCCTTCAGCACGTATGCCATTGAGAGTCACTTTTTTTTATGATGGTATTCGTTTGTATCTATTTTCTCACTCAGCATTATGTTTCTACAGTCCTTCCTGTTGTATGTAATTTTGGATCTTTTGTTGTAGTTTCTGTCCAAATAAATAGTCCACAATTTATGTATTTATAGCATCTTTCTCTTTTCCATTTCCTTACGTTTTTTTAATGTTTTATTTATTTCTGAGAGAGAGAGAAACAGGGTGAGCAGGGGAGGGTCAGAGAGAGAGGGAGATACAGAATCTGAAGCAGGCTCCAGGCTCTGAGCTAGCTGTCAGCACAGAGCCTGACACGGGGCTCGAACCCACGAACTGTGAGATCATGACCTAAGCCAAAGCCGGATGCTTAACTGACTGAGCCACCCAGACGCCCCTCCATTTCCTTCTTACAACCTGATAGGTTAACACTGTGCTGAATTTTATGTTTCTTTCCATACGTATTTTAATACTTTTGCTATTTCCCTAAGTATATGTAAACAGTATACAACATTCTTTTTTTTTTTTTTTAAATGCTGCCATATTTTTTAATGTTTTATTTATTTCTAAGAGAGAGAGAGAGACAGCGTGAGCAGGGGAGGGTCAGAGAGAGAGAGGGAGTCACAGACTGAAACAGGCTCCAGGCTCTGAGCTGGCAGTCAGCACAGAGCCCGAAGCGGGGCTCGAACCCACAAACCGCGAGATCATGACCTAAGCGAAAGTCGGATGCTTAACCGACTAAGCCACCCAGGCGCCCCAACAGTATACAACATTCTTATGCTTATCTTTTTTTTTTTTTTTTTTTTTTTTTTTAAGTTTTTAAAGTTTATTTATTGAGCGTGAGAATGCAAGCAGAGGAGAGGTGGGGGTGGAAGAAAGCGGAGAGAAAGAATACCAAGTAGGCTCCACAATGTCAGTGAAGAGCCCAATGTGGGGCTCAAATCCACAAACTGCAAAATCATGACCTGAGCCAAGACCAAGAGTCTGTCACCTAACTGACTGAGCCACCCAGACACCCATTATGCTTGTGTTTAATCTCATGCAGTCTACTTACCCTGCACCTTGCCTTTCAGAGGAAACATTCCGTTTTAAAGATTCATCCTGATACATGTAGCTTGAAGTTCATTTTTAACTGCTGTATAGTATTTCATATAACAAATAGATTGCAGGGCATTCTTTTGATAGACATCTGAGTTTTAAAATGTATAGCCCTTTCTTTAATGTTTATTTATTTTGAGATAGAGCAAGTATGAGTGGGGGAGGGGCAGAGAGAGAGAATCCCAAGCAGTCTCCTTACTATCAGCACAGAGCCTGACTTGGGGATTGATCCTACGAACTGTGAGATCATGACCTGAGCTAAGATCAAGAGTCAGACACTTAACCGACTGAACTACCCAAGTACCCCAGCCCTTTTTTTAATGGTAGCAAACAGTGTTGCCAAGAACATTTTTTTTTTTAATTTTTTTTAATGTTTTTATTTATTTCTAGGAGAGAGAGAGAGACAGCGTGAGCAGGGGAGGGTCAGAGAGAGAGGGAGTCACAGACTGAAACAGGCTCCAGGCTCTGAGCTGGCAGTCAGCACAGAGCCCGACGCGGGGCCCGAACCCACGAACCGCGAGATCATGACCTAAGCGAAAGTCGGACGCTTAACCGACTAAGCCACCCAGGTGCCCCATCAAGAACATTTTTTAATATAAATCTTTGTGTACTTATGCTGGAGTTTTCTTTGGCTCCTAGATTTCTACATTATTAGATTACCGTAATAGCTTGTGAGCTCCTAGAGCTTTCAGAGGGTGTGCTTTGTAAGTAAACAAATAATTGTCTTTGGAGAGCAGATTGTGCGGAAGTAAACTGAGTTCCAGGAGAGCATACTTCCACCTGTTCCAAGTGGTAAACCTTTGTGGTGTAGAAAAATACTTATTTTTTTATCTTTAAATTTTCCGACACATTCGTTACATATGAATGAATATACAAATGAAGTGTGCATTATCAGCTTTTTAGTGTCTGGCCTCTCTTGTTCAAGATTATGTTTCTGAAAAGGCATCCATGTTGTGTGTAGTAGATCATTTTAATTACTGTCTGGTAATTAAATTAATTTACCCATTGTACCACTGATGAGCGTTTAGGTAATTTTCAGTTTGGGGCTCTCACAGTAGTGCTACTGTGAACATTCTGGAGGTTGTCTTTGGGGAGCATTATTTACATGTTTCTTCCGTTGATTGATTACATACCCAGGAGTGGAGTTGTTGAATCATAGGCTGTACCTACATTCAGCTCTAGTACAGGGATTGGCAAATCATGAAGTACCAGATAGTATTTTAGGCCTTGTGGGCTGAGTAGCCTCTCTTGCAGGTTCTCAGCTCTGTCAAAACCGTTCTTAGCTCTTGGGTTGTAAGAGCAGGGGTGGTGGGCAGGTTTGGCCTGGCCCTCACGGCTCGCCCCCTCCAACTCGAATGGGTACCCGTGGCTCCTCAGTGCGCACTGCAGCGCTTTTGCCAGCACTCAGCGTGTTCAGTCTTGTTTCTCAGCCGTTCTGCCGTCTGCTTTTGTTTTGACATAATTTTTAGACTTGATGAAAAGTTCTTAAGAGTTCTCGTTTATCTGTCAGTGGTGGTCACCCTGTCACCATGTTTGCATTATCCTTCTCTTCCTAAGGCACGGGGGGAAGACCCGGGGCCCCCTGAGAGTAGGTAGCACACACATGGTATCTATCCCTTTTCCTCTAAAGACTTCTGTACATGTTTCTTACAATCCATATTATTCTTTTAAGTAATTGAAATTAAGGAATTGATCTTGATAAAATAACATCTAATATGTTGATTCATTGTGTTAATGCTCCCACTAATGTTCATTTCAGCAAAAGAGAATCGTAGCTTATGTGTTTTGTTCGGTTGCTGTACTTCCAGCCTTGCTGGGACAGATCCTTGGTCTTTGTTTCACGACACTGACAGTAGGGGAGTTCGGGCTAGGATTTTTTTCAGGTTTGCCTGGTGGTTAGTTAGTATGTGAATAAGGTGAAGTTTGTAGGGCTCCTGTGACTCAGGGCACTTTATTTAGATGCAGTTGGTTTGGGTCAGGAAATGAGCTTTTCTGCTTTGGAGCTGTTTATTAATTTTTTTTCTTTTTTTTTCTTATTTAGTTGAGCAGGAGCACAGATGGGGGAGGGGCAGAGAAACAAGGAAAGAGAATCCCAAGCAGGCTCCACACTGTCCATGCAGAGCCTGATGCGGGACTCAAACTGACGAACTGTAACCCTCTCCCATATGTGTACATGTGTGCTGTCTCAAAATAAATTTTTTAAAAGATCACATTCGTATCTTTAAAAAAAAGATTCATTTTTATATTTTGTAATAAAAAATAACAGTATTTTCCAAAACAGTTATTTTGTTGACCTAACTTTTTATGGATTTGTTATATGATAGGTTATTATAATAGTGAAACCTCTATTATGTATTCCTCTTGATATACTTAAAGTGTTTTATTTGCAACTACTAAGGCAACTGTTAAAACATTTTTTAAAAATATAAAAAATATATTTGGAATTTCTTGCTTTATATATTCTTTTTATAAATATGGCAGTGGGTTTTTATTATGGAAGTCTATTCTTTAGGATAAGCTCCTTTTTCTTCTGTGTTGTTATTACAGATTTTGTAAAAGGGTACTTTATCTCATTTTATCTCAGGATGTACAAGACCCTTCAGTGTTTGTAACTTTCCCTTTGGAGGAAGATGAAAATGTGTCTTTGGTGGCTTGGACAACCACTCCCTGGACTCTCCCCAGTAACCTTGCCCTGTGTGTTAATCCAGATATGCAGTACGTGAAGATTAAAGGTGAGCCTTGGCCTGGGCCAGGTTACTTAGGACTGATATAGATAAGATTGTTTTAACTTATTTTGGGAAAAACTGAAAACTTTTGGTTTCTTTTTGGAGTAAAAATAATAAGTTTTTAAAAAAGTGTTAGAACTTGAATAGCATAATCCCCTCTAAAAGTTTTTTTTTTTTTTTTTAATTTTTGGTTGAAAAAGTAAATGCAAATAAAAATTAAAATAGTATAGATACAAAAAAAGATTCCTTACAATTTTCAGATTGTAATACCCTTTTACACATCGTGCCCCTGTTACAGATGAGGAACTAGAGATTCTAAGAGGTGGCATCTCATCATTACTAGGACCTTGATGTGTGTTTTTCCAGCACCACCAAGCGTTAATCTAATTCAGACACTAAGCTGCCTGGAGACAGCATCAGGCATCAGATCCCACAGGTCAAGAGTTCAGTCCTACAGAATCGTCTGCACCACCACACCCTCACTGCATATGTCATTTTCAACTCCTATGCTTCCTGTATACCATGATCCCCTCCTTAGGTTGGATTAATGTACTAGAGAGGCCCACACTCAGCAGTTTGTCATGAAAGGATATTATAAAGGATACACATGAACAGTCAGATAAAGTGCATGGGGGAGGTCTGGAAGAGTCCTGAGCACAGGAGCTTCCGTCCCCCTTGTAACTGGGATGAGTTGCCCTCACAGCATGTAGATACTTTCACTAACCTGGACGCACTCCACACCCCATCCTATTGAGGTTTTATGCAGGCTTTGTGGCTATTGATGTTTGAACTCAATCTCTGGCCCCTCTCCTTTCCATGGGTGGGGGGTGAAAATTCCAATCCTAAAGTGACTTTGGGCTCATTAACATAACAAAAGACACCTTTATAGCTGTTATCACTTAGGACATTTCAAGGGTTTTAGTAGCTCTGCCAGGAATAGGGACTAAGACTGAAATATGTATTTCTTATTATAATTCTTTGTGTCACAGAATTGGTACCAGAACTTGAGAGCTTTGTGCCTTTCAGATAGTCCCTTGTAGAGAGTTAGCCAAAATCTTGATGAAGCCCTTTCCATGTAGACTTATATGAAAAAAAAAAAAAGATTGTTCCTTCAGGTTTGGGTAGTTTATGGAGGGAGGGGGAAGCCATGGAAAGAAAAGAAAACCGTAGCTAGAAAAGAAAGCGTCTTACAAGACAGGTGACTTGATTCACAGCTCCTAGTGAGGCAGAGGAAAGATACCAAAAAAAGGAATGGGGGAGGGGCTCGTGGGTCAGAACATGGTGTTTTCATTACTGGTTAGCTGGGTCTTGGGAGCAGATGGGTGGCTACAGGGCACAAAGCAGGCCCACAGCCCGAGTTCTCGGTGTCTCCCTGGGGATGTGGCCATTCTCTAGTGAGTCTGACAGCTTGAGGGGTCATCAGGTAGACACTTCAGTCCTTCTGCCCGCATGTGACCCACATACCTGGTGGGCCATGTGTCCTGAGTTTTATCCAGAAAATGTAGACTCCACTGACCATGAAGCTCTGGTGCAGCCAGAGCTAGTGGGTGGCAGCATTATTTGTAGCAGCTTTTCAGTAATTGCAGAGGTCTTCACAGTGATCCGTAGATTCTCTTGTTTCTAACAGTGAACTGCATATATGTCACAGGCTCCAGTAAATCTTCAAATATATCTTACTTTACAAGTGGGAGTTTAGTCTATTTTTATAAGGTGGTTTGCCACTTGCTGTTAAATTTTAAATGTTTAGACAAACAAAAGGGCAATATGTGCTAATATATGGAAAGATGTTCACAACATAGTGTGTGAAGACCAATGAAAAACTATATTCGGTGGTATCCCATAATTAGTAAAAAAAGAAAAAAAAAAGTACCCATTCACATAAGACATATGTTAGTATACACATAGAAATAGACACTCAAGGGACACCCAGGTGGCTCAGTCAGTTTAGCATCCACCTCTTGGTTTTGGCTCAGGTCATGGTCTCAGGGTTCATGAGTCTGAGCCCCATATCGGGCTCTGTGCTGATGTAGCAGGATTCTCGCACAGAGAGTCATGACACCGAGGCTTTTTTTTCCAGGAAGCAACTCTATTCCAGCTGGTATCGCTCAGTTGGCATCGTACCTAAAGAACTGAGCCCCAAACACCACATAGCGTGATTTGTTATATATTTTTTACTTCTCTGTCCTCTATATATGGTAAAGCATAAACATGCAGTCTGATTAAAGTGGTCTCATGTTGCAAGGTCATGAGGACAGATGTCGTCACATACATGAATAGCAAGGTTGCCTTAAGATTTTTTTTCTTTCCTTAGGGAGGGGACCCTACCACACTGACAGTGTGGAGCCTGCTTGAGATTCTCTCCCCCTTCTTCTGCCTCTCCCCTACTAACACACACTCTCTGTCTCAAAAATAAATAAATAAACATTAAAAAAAAAAATAGACACTCAAATGATAGTGCCTTACAAGGGGATGAGGTTATGGAGGACTTTTCTCAGAGTTTCTTGGTTTGTTAATGGGGCTCGGACTCGCAAACTGTAAGATCATGACCTGACCCAAAGTCGGACACTTACCCGACTGAGCCACCCAGGCGCCCCTGTTAATGTTAAGATTTTTAAATTTTTTAATGTTTGTTTATTTTTGAGAGAGAAATACAGAGCACGAGGAGGGGAGGGACAGAGAGAGAGGGAGACACAATCCAAGGCAGGCTCCTGGCTCTGAGCTGTCAGCACAGAGCCCAGTCAATGGAGGGCTGGAACCGCAAAACACAAGATTTTGACTTGCATCAAAGTTGGACGCTTAACTGACTGAGCCACCCAGAGCCCCAATGTTAAGATTTTTAAAGGTTCACATATGTTACTTTTGGTCAGAGAAAATAAGGATTAATATACTTAAAGTGAGTAGAAGGTCAGTTAAGTGCACCTGTTGTTTTCGTCATCTTCGGGTCTGGAAAGGAATGTGTGCTTGTGTTCTTGCCGCATTTCCCTGAGTGCTGAGTACACTGGGTGCAGGTGATACAGGACCCCGGGAGGGAGCAGTGTGCTGGTGTGCATCTAGAATCCGCTGAAGTCTGAATGTCACTCGAGTGAGTGACACTTTTTTTCCCTTGCTCTCATAGATGTCATTAGAGGAAAATTGCTCATTTTAATGGAAGCCAGATTACCAGCCCTCTATAAGCTGGAGACGGACTATGAGGTCCTTGAAAGGTGAGTATGCAAATTACTGATTTGTATGTGTGGATGTGTCTTTAACCTTGAAACGTGAGACACTTACTACCCAAAAGCTCTGTTATTCAAGTTCAGTTTTAATACTCGTATTGCATACATTCAGGCCACATGTTCCAGTATTAATGACTGAGAAACAACTAAACCATCAGGGAGTGGTGACTTGATGTGGCTGCAGTTTTGTTTCTTGGAGGATTTTATTCTAATTGTGAGTTTGCCTTTCTCCTTTTCTAGGTTTCCTGGTGTGTATCTCAAAGGCAAGAAGTACAGGCCCCTGTTTGACTATTTTGTGCAGGTGAGCTCAGGGACCTGCCCAACATGGGTCCTGCATACCTGGGTGCATCTGTGGCCTATATGGGTGTCCTGTGGCTTGTGCTGGAGTCCCAATCCAAAGTCTCTCTTGGTAGTAACAGAGTTAAATTATATGTGTATGCCTTCTTGTTTTAATAGTTAAAATTGTATAAGAATTTTTTAATACTAGTCTTAAGTTACAAAAGGAAACACTTAAGTTTGAAAAGATTTATATGTGTATATTTTTATTGTTTCTAGTTTACATATCATCCTGGAAATCTATTGTTTTGGGGGTGTTTTTGTTTTTGTTTTACAAATTTAAGATATTGCTCAGAATAAAACCTTGTGTCTTAACAATCAACAGCATTCATGTCAAGGAAATTGATGAGGTGGGTGTTTTAAATTTAGGCACCAAGGCAAAGCTCATACATTTGGTAACTTCGTTTTCTTAAGAGTCATGAAGCAGTTTTATGTAGTTTTCATTTTCTGCCAACAGAGAATCCATGGCTATAGTTGCCATGGAAACCCCACCACCAACAACAAAAGAACAGGTTCAGCAGGAATTTCCCATTGATCCCTATCTATAGGTGTTGGAATAAAATAGTGAACAACACCCTCAGACCAGGCTTTATGCCTTATGTGGAAATTATATTCAGCTGGACATAGTATTAGTTGGCAGAACCTTATACCACACCCCAGGATAAAACATTTGCTTACCCCTCTTCTGGTTCAGGAGTAGAGTTTGGTTCATGCAGGTGATCTCTCCATTTGGGCTCTGTCCACAGTATTGTTCACATCTGTCTTCATTTTTGTATGTGTTGTTTTTCCATGTTTCTCATGTCCCACTTACATTTGACCCTCAAACAACATGGAAGTCAGTAGTGCCAACTCCAGTACAGTGACTTTTGACTCCCCCAAAATGTAGCTACTAATAGCCTACTGTTGACTGTAAGCCTTACGAGTAACTCAAATAGTTAACACATATTTTGGATTTTATATGTGTTATATACTATATTCTTAAAGTAAGCAAGAGGAAAAAAGATAATTTTTAAGAAAATCATAAGGGCAGCCCTGGATGGTTGGTTAAGCACCCAACTTTGGTTCAGGTCATGATCTTGCGGTTCATGAGTTTGAGCCAAATTGAGCTCTGTGCTGACAGCTCAGAGCCTGGAGCCTGCTTCAGATTCTGTTTCTCCCTCTATATCTGCCCCTCCCCAGCGCGTGCTCTCTCTCTCTGTCTCTCTCTCTCTCTCTCACTCTCATTCTCTCAAAAATCAATAAACATTTTTTAAAAAAAAGAAGAAAATCCTAAGGAAGAGAAAATATATAGTAGTATTTCCAGTAGTGTATTCATTGAAAAAAAATTTTTGGTGGTTTAAACAATTTTGAATACTTTGTTTTCTCAAACATTAAGTATGTATAAAAAGTTTTTCTCCACAAAAAGACACAAAGTACAAAGTCCTAGCATATCTTTTTAAAACACCATTTCTTCTATTTATGCTGTCCTAGAATACAGAAAGCCAACTTTCTCTATTATCAGGTAAGTAGAACCATGATATGTAAACCTGAAAAAGTTAGCATTTGTGAACAAACACCAGTTAACTTATAAATATGGATACAGCATTTTCAGGAAGAGTTGCTGAGTTGAATGTTGCATATACTAGAGCTGCAGCATAATATGGACATGCAGGAATTTTTACAGAATCTTACTTGTTCAGTGCTTTATAGGCTAAGGGAGAAAAATGGCATCTCAGCATGTACTGAAGAGGAATAAAGAAAACATCTTCACTAAAAAAGGAAAAAAAATCCAGAATTCACCAGCCACCAGGAAAGTGACGTCCTACATCCTGGTGGCCTTGGCTCCACAATTGTAGCAGCAGGACAGCTGCCTTGTCACTCGGGAGGCACGCCACCAGTCCATGACCTTCGCAGCTGTGGCTACATGTGGGCTGGGGTGCACTTAAGAGAGGAGTCTGCTGCCAGCCAGGAAGGGCTCCAGGCCGTGGCTGCCCTGGTACAGCCCCAGAGCCTGGTTCCCAGAGGACTCAGGGAGTGGGGGTGCCAGGGACATGGGTCTCCCTGTACAGGGCTGTCCCTTCCCTACGTGCCCAGCCTGTTCTATAGCCCAGCCTCCTACCTGGCAGCCCTCAGTGCTGGACCCCACCACGCCCTCACCATACAACCTTCATCACTGCCTGGCCCCAGGGTCCCGGGGACCGCTGACACCCTCAGCAGGCCTCAGGGAATTCAGGGCAGCAGGTATGACCTCTACAGCAGTCGCCTCTGATTCAGTCCCCTGGAGACTGCTGTGGACAATTGTAAATAAGTGTCTCATAGCTTTTGTCGTCCACTCTTAGGGAGAAAAGTGTTTAAGGAGACCCGCAGTTCCAGCCTGTGTTATTCCAAGGTCAACTGTGATGGCCTTCTTCTACATTCCAGGTTGCTGCTGATGGATTTTCCTGTGCTCGCTGTGAGCCTGCAGCCATCAGCCGGCTCATTCCTCTCAGGTGGTCTCCACTTGGCCCACCTGCTTCCTAACCACATCTTCTAATATTGCTTTATTTTTTTTTGTTTTTTTATTTTGGGGAGAGAGCTCATGTGCCTGTGAATGGGAGAGGGGCAGGAAGAGGGGAATAGAGGATCTAAAGCGGGCTCTGTGATGAGAGCACAGCCTGATGTGGGGCTCGAAGTCATGAATCGCAAGGTCATGACCTGAGCTGAAGTCATAGACTCAATCGACTGAGCCACCCAGGCACCCCATAATGTTGCTTTAAACATATCTTTTGCTTCTGTCAAACTGGCCCTTTCTTTTCCTCCTTCCTTGCCTTTGTTTTCATTAGCTTTTCCTCTTGTTTCTGAAATCCTTCACCTTCTTTAAGGTGCTCAAGTACAACCCACACTTCAAGGCTGAACTCAGACACCACCTGAAAAAGCGTCTTTTGAAATGCCTCTTGTTTCTGTTTCTGAAAAATGTCATTAGTACATTCTTCACTTGTATATCTTAACATATTTTGTTTTATGTCATATTTTTTTTAATGTTTATTCATTTTTGAGAGAGAGCAAGAACAAGCAAGGGAGGGGCAAAGAGAGGGAGACACAGAATCTGAAGCAGCTCCAGGCTCCAAGCTGTCAACACAGAGCCTGACGTGGGACTTGAACCCACAAACCATGAGATCATGACCTCAGTCAAAGTCAGACTGAGCCACCCAGGCATCCCTTGTCTAATTTGTCTTGAAACTCTCTCACGAAATCAGTGACTCACCCTTTGTGACCCACAGACCCTATTTGAGAACCCGGGGAGAGCTCAGTGCTCAGCAAATGCACTCAAACACACCAGAGAGGAAGTCTGGGTTCAGTCAGAGGTCTATCTGGAATGTGCACTTTTTACATATCCCATTCAGGTAGCTTCTGAATTTCTGGGACCTTCACTGAGTGAAGAAATTCTTTGACTTAGGGCAAAGTCATCAAATATATCCCTAAGATACACATGTTCTGAAATATTAAGTGGGAGCAGATGCTGTCCGTGGGGGCCACGCTGCAGCTCCGGTGACCACTGACCACCCAGCCTTGGGAGTGAGAGACTGAGAGACAGGATGCCAGTGGGGTTCCACTGTCTGCTGCTAAAACCGTTCCCGCTCCTACCTCCGACTCTAAGGCCACAAGTGTTCCCACTCCACGTTTAAACTATTGAAGACACACCTTTCAGCCCCTGTCCTCCCACACGGAAAATATTACCAGGTAATATAAGTTACGGCAGTGAGGAATTCCTGGCTGTTTTTCAAGTTTGGTTTTAGGCAAGTGCCAAGGAATTACAGCGCTTTGATATGGTTGAAGACAGCATCATATTTGGAGCCAGAGACCTTGAGTCAGTTTGTGTTTATCACAGTTAGTTGGGTATTTGAACAAATCATTTCATCTTTGTTCTGAGTTAGTTCATCTGTGAAATGCAAATAGAATCAATATATTTAAAACACAGGAATTTTATGTGCCTTTTTCACAAGATCATTGGATTAAATGTGATTAAGTGTGAAAGTCTATTCTGAAAGTACTCTTTATTAAGGCAGAAAGACCAGCAGAGGATCAGTTTGGCTGAGACAGTGTGTGGAAAATCGTAGGGAGAGATGAAGGTGGAAGGAGGAGGTCTGTAGCATCATAGGTAGTGACCTGACTTTGCAACCGTGAGTCCCTCCGTGTCACAGTGTGTGGAGTGCCTTTAACCATAGCATGTCACTGTGGACGCCTATCCCAGTTCCTGGGAGTTTGCCCTGCTGGCAGGGCTGACAGGAAGGTGACTGGGAGCACCCCAGAGGTGCAGTGGGTTAGGGGACATTTTCTGAGGCTGCGTGACAACAGGTGCTGCCGTGGCTAGGGCGTCACCAGGACTCCTAGAAAGCCTGGTTTTGTGACTGGGGAAGTTCAAACATTTTCTCTGCATTTCTTCAGATAAATTCTTCAGGGAATTATTTCATTTCAGTGATTATTTGAAATTAATTATTTTCATTTTAATGAAATTAATTACTTCATTTCTAAGTGATAAATTACTCACAGAAAAGATGTATTCAGGTAACTGTTCTTTCTTAGTGTGAATTATTCTGTCCTATGTCTGAAAATAATGTTGCGTGTTAAAAGTTTTTTCAGACTTTTACCAGTTACGAAATTAATCCTAAAATGTGGTGCCCCATTCACTATGCCTGCTCATCTTTCTGTTGCAGTGCAAGGAGAACGGTGCTTTCACGGTGCTCACCGACAGCTACGTGCGGGAGGAGGAGGGAACTGGAGTGGTGCACCAGGCTCCATACTTCGGTGCTGTGAGTAGTGGAGTTCTTGGATGTGCGTCTCCTGTGTGTGTGTGCGTGCCCCTCATGCTTGTACACATCATAGGGCCCAACTCTTTTCAAGCCCCGTACTCCCAAAGATGGCTTATCAGACTTAGAGCTGCAATTCCTTCTCAACCTGAGCTCATCTCTGCAAATGGTGAGCTAAATCCTAGGCCTTCCTGGTCATTTGATCTTTCTGAAAGGCATCTTTGTTTTCATTCTTTCATAATGTACTACCGTGCACTCTGCCCTCTACCATGTGCAACTCTGTGCCGTCCCCATGACCATCAGAGTGCCAAGAGGTACCATTACCTCCGCTGTGCTCATCTGAACACTATGACGAGAGGGCAAAATTTGACCTCCTCAAAGCAGTATGGTGTGGTTAATTTTTTTTTAATTATTTACTAGTTTATTGTCAAGTTGGTTTCCATATAACACTCAGTGCTCATCCCCACAAGTGCCCTCCTCCATGCCCATTGGTGTGGTTAATTTTAAATGTTGCCCAGAGTAATTTTTCTAAAAATGCAATTCTTTTGATGTAACTTGTATATGAATAAAACACCCACTGGGGACCTACCTACAAACTCTTCTCAGCTTGATCATTTTGTCTGTGAGAGTGAAGCTAGTCTGTCTCCATTCATCATTTTGCTTTCATACTTTTGCAGAGATTTTTATTATGGAAATCTTTAAACATACATAGAAGTAAAGAGATATTATAATTAATCCTTATGTTCGCATCATCCACCTGCATTAATCTGTTTTATCTTCTTCCTTCTCCTCTTTCCCTCATACCTTTATTTAGGCCTGAGGGTTTTGAAACAAATCTTCCACATCATGGCCTTCATCCATATACATCTGTGACTGATCAGGACTTTTATTTTTAATATACCACCTTGCCCTGTTGCACCCAGTAAAGTTAATTTAAGTCTTCCTTAATATCACAAAATACCTGATCACTATTCAATGTGATAGAAGCATTCTTCATAATACTATTTACAGGGTTTTAAGAACTAGTTAGATTTCACTTATTCATAATTTCAGGTCAACTAGTGTGACTTCTTCACTGATAATAAATAAAAAGGAAACTTGGTTTTGAATTGTGGTTTAGGTTTTCCTTTTAAAATGTATTTGGGGGCGCCTGGGTGGCTTAGTCGGTTGAGCGTCCGACTTTCGCTTAGGTCATGATTTCCCGGTTCGTGGATTCGAGCCCCGCGTAAGGTTCTGTGCTGACTGCCAGCTCAGAGCCTGGAGGCTGTTTCAGTCTGTGACTCCCTTTCTCTCTGACCCTCCTCTGCTCACGCTGTCTCTCTCTCTCTCCTAGAAATAAATAAAACATTTAAAAAAAAATAAAAATAAAATGTATTTGGCAGGTACTGGATATGTTTGGGGTTTTGTTTGTTTTTTAGGTTCCACATAGGAGTGAATTCATGTTATTTGTCTTTTTCTGTCTGATTTATTTCACTTAGCCTAATATTCTCTGAGTCCATCCATGTTGTCAGGAATGACAAGATCCCATTCTTTTTATGGCTGAAAAATACTCCATTGTATATTTAACACATATTCTTTGTCCATTCATCTGTTGGACACTTGGGTTCTTTCCATATCATTGCTATTATAAATACTGCAGTAAACATAGAGGTGCATATATATTTTTGAATTAGTGTTTTCATTTTCTTCAGGTAAATAGCCAGGGCTGGATTTGCTAGACCATAGGATATTTCTATTTTTAAGTTTTTTGAGGAACCTCCGTTCTGTTTTCCAGAGTGATTTACCAATTTACATTCCCACCAGCAGCGCACAAGGGCTCCCTTTTCTCCATATCCTCGCCAGCATTTGTTATTTCTTGTCTTTTTGATACTAGCCATTCTGACAGTTATGAGGCGATATTTCATTGTGATTTAGGTTTGCGTTTGCCCAGTGACTAGTCATGTTGAGTATATTTTCATTTGTCTGTTGGCATCTGAATGTCCTCTTTGGAAAAATGCCTCTTCTGGTCCTCTGCCCATTTTTTAATCAGAGTGTTTGCCTTTTTGGTGTTGTATAAGCTCTACATATTTTGGATACTAACCCTTTATCAGATATGTCATTTGCAAATCTCTCCTCCCATTCAGTAGATTGTCTTTTAGTTTTGTTAATGCTTTCCTTTGCTGTGCAAATGCTTTTTATTTTGGTGTAGTCCCAATAGTTTATTTTTACTTTTGTTTCCCTGGCCTGGGGATACATATCCATAAATATTTTGCTATCAGTGATGTTCAAGAGATTACTGTGTTTTCTTTCAGAAATTTTATAGTTTCAGGTCTGACATTTAGGTCTTTCATCCATTTTGAGTTTATTTTTGTGTATGGTGTTATAAAGTGGTCCAGTTTCATTCTGTTGCATGTAGCTCTCCAATTTTCCCAGCACCATTTATTAAAGAGACTGTCTTTTCCCCATTGTATATTCTTGCCTCCTTTGTCATAGATTAATAGACTGTATAAACATGGCTTTATTTCTGGCCTCTGTATTCTTTTCTATTTATCTGTGTGTCTGTTTTTGTGCCAGTACCATACGGTTTTGATCACTACAACTTTGCAATATGCCTTTGACATCTGGGATTGCAGTACCTGAAGCTTTATTCCTTCTCAGGATTACTTTGACCATTTGGAATCTTTTGTGGGTCAAGCAGATTTTGGTATTATTTGTTCTAGTTCTATGAAAAATGCTATTGGTGTTTTGATAGGGATTGCATTTATCCTGTAGATTGCTTTGGGTAGTATAGTTGTTTTAACAGTGTTTGTTCTTCCAGTCCATGAGCATGGACTTCTTTCCATATGTTTGTGGCCTTTTCAATTTCTTTCATCAATGTTTTATATTTTCAGAATACAGACAGGTCTTTCACCTCCTTGGTTAACTTTATTCCTAGGTATTTTATTATTTTAGTGTGATTGTAAATGGGATCGTTTTCTTAATTTCTCTTTCTACTACTTCATTATTAGTATATAGAAACACATCAGATTTCTCTATACTAATTTTATATCCTGCAACTTTACAGATTTCATTTATTGTAATAGTTTTTTGGTGGAGTCTTTAGATTTTTTTTTTTAATATATAGTCATGTCATCTGCTAAGTGGCAGTTTAACTTCTTTCTTACCAATATGGATGTCTCTTACTTCTTTTTCTTGTCTGATTGCGCACAGTCTAATTTTAGGTACTTATTACACGCTTCCACACCCCATAAGGTAGTAAAGTCTTCCACCAGCAATGGCTGCCCAGAGGCCACAAAGCTGCTTCAGGAGATACCAGTCAGAGCCTACTTTCCTGCCTTTGGAACTCTAGCATGCTTCATCTAGCAGGCTTTCTGGCTAGGAATTCTAGTACTGTGTTGACTAAGAATGGTGAGAGTGGACATCCTAGTCTTGTTCCTCATCTTTGAAGGAGAGTTGTCAGTTTTTCATCATGTACTATGACATTAGCTGTGGGTTTTCCATAGAGGCGCACTATTATTTTGAGATAAGCTCCCTCTAAACCACTTTGTTGTGGGTTTTTTACATGAATGGATGTTGAATTTTGTCAAGTGTTTCTTCTGCATCTATTGAGATGATCATATGGTTTTTACCCTTCATTTTGGAAATGTGATGTATCACATTGATTTCTTTGTACATATTCAACCACCCTTGCATCCAGAGTTAATCCCACTCAATCATGGTGAATGATTCTTTTACTGTAGTGTTGAGTGCAGTATGTGGATATTATGTTGAGTATTTATGCACCTCTGTTCACCAGGGATACATGTGTGTCCTCTTCCTTCTCACTTAGTGAATGCTCTGCTGTATATAGGGGTCTGTGAAATAATGGCTGGGAAGATGATGTAGTCCCTGTCCAACTGTAAGGGGCTCTCTGAATGGTCCTGAATTAACTTCAAGTGAGAGGTTAATTGAAGTGAATTAAGTCATATGTCAGAAGACTGAAATGTTTTCTTGTGAATTGATCACCTTCCACATTCTTGTCTCAAACACACTTACCCTTTTCTGTTCTCCCCAGGATGACTATCGGGTCTGTATGGACTTTAACATTATTCAGAAAGACTCTCCTCCTGTTTGCCCTGTGGATGCTTCAGGCTGTTTCACAGCAGAAGTGACAGATTTCGCAGGACAGTATGTGAAGGTCTGTGTCTGTAGTACAGAAAAAGGTGTGGGTTTCATCATATTTCTTTGTTTAATCAGCTTTTTTTTAAGTAGCTTCCATATCTGGACTTTTTTTTTTTTTTTTTCCAGAAAGTTGTTTTCGTTTTGTTTTATTTCAGCACATGAAACCAGAAAGATATATTATCGGCCACACTGTAAGGGTCTTGAGAGGAAGCATGCTTTAGTTCCAAAGGCAGGAAAGTAGGCTCTGACTGGTATCTCCTGAAGCAGCTTTGTGGCCTCTGGGCAGCCATTGCTGGTGGAAGACTTTACTACCTTATGGGGTATGGAAGCGTGTAATAAGTACCTAAAGTTAGACTGTGCCCAAAATACGTGCTGGGTATTTTTAAAATACATGTGTTATTTCTGCCTTTTGTTCATGATGAACATATCAAAATATATTGCCATAATTTACATAATTATATCATGTTACTAAGTATTATGGTAGATATTTTAATGACTGGATATTTATTTTTTTAACAGGATGCTGACAAAAACATCATAAGGACCCTGAAGGAAGAAGGCCGACTTCTTGTTGCCAGCACCTTCACTCACAGCTACCCTTTCTGCTGGAGGTGAGAAAAAGCGATGACTTACAGCTCAAGCTTCTGGTCTGTGGGGACATGTAGTGTGTGCACCCGTTGCGTCAATCTTGGGTTCCCCTCTCATTTGTGTCCTTTAGGGTTAGTGTTTGGAAACTGCCCTCTTGAATTCCATGAATATGTATAGTTACTGTTTTCCTCAACAGTTGTCTGAGAAGTATCAGTAGACAAATGTTTTGTGTCAGGGTCACATTTCTTTAGGTGAGATTGATCTCTACCTTTTCTTAGTAGAAGTTAGTAAGATATAACATGATACAAGTTTGAATACAAGATCATGCTATGAAGATGTGGGTGAAAATGGGATGTTCGGGGACATCAAGTTCTGTTCTCACATTTCCTCTTTCCTGAAGTTGACATCATTTCTTAGACAACTATCACACACCAGCAGAACTATATTTTCCTTCTTGTTGTTGTTGTTTTTTAATGTTTATTTATTTTTGAGAGAGAGAGAGACACCGTGAGCAGGAGAGGAGCAGGGAGAGAGGGAGACACAGAATCCAAAGCAAGCTCCAGGCCCTGAGCTGTCAGCACAGAGCCCGACGCAGGGCTTAAACTAGTGAACCGTGAGATCATGACCTCACCTGAAGTCAGATGTTTAATCAACTGAGCCACCCAGGCTCCCCTTCTTGTTCTTTTTTTTTTTTTAATTTAATGTTTACTTATTTTGAGAGAGTGAGTGTAAGCAGGGAAGGGGCAGAGAGAGAGAACGCACGGGAGAGAATCAGAAGCAGGCTCTGTGCTGACTCAGGCCCTGAACTCATGAACCATGAGATCGTGACCTGACCTGAATCAAGAGTCAGACACTTAACTGACTGAGCCACCCAGAGGGGCCCCTCTTTTCCTCCTTATTCTTTTATTAGCTTTTGCCTTCTTGGTGCTGTGGAGATGACCAATACCAAGGGCATAGGCATTAAAATTTGCAATAAAAACGAGTATTAGCAGAAGGCCAAATAGGTGCTGGTGACATCAGTAAGAAACTAAAAGTTGGCCTTCCGCTGGGTGCCTGCATACCACAGTCTGACCAGCGCATCTTGCATCATTGCTTCCCCAGGTCAGACACTCCCCTCATTTACAAAGCAGTGCCTAGCTGGTTCGTGCGGGTGGAGCACATGGTGGACCAGCTGCTGAAGAACAATGACCTGTGTTACTGGTGAGCAGTGAGATGTGTGTCTTCACAGTGTCCTGTGTCATATAGGCCAAAATATTGGCTTATTTTCCCCAAATATAATAGTTCTAAGGGTCATCTTTTATTAAACACTGTAATAATAGCTATTTTTTTATTCTGTATTTTCAGGACCATGAAATAACCTAAATAATATCTAAGAGAAGTAGCTTCCTTTCTATGATAAGGCATATGGTGGGAGCATTTTTCTTTTGTATTGGCCTTAAATAACAGTTATTTTAAGGATAAATGTTTATTTTTTAATGTACCTACAAAAACCATTTGTGCATAGTGCTGTGGCCTCGTGAGGGTGCAGGCCTAAACACTGACCTTTGTAACACAGGGCACAGCTGCGGTGCCTGAATAAACAGGGCGTGTGGGGCCTGGGGTGCCCTAAACTCAGCCTCCTGCTTAGAAAGATTTCCGGCAGAGCTGAACCTGAAAGGAGAGGGAGTCATTCGACTAGTTCAGGGTACTTGAAGCCTTAGTGGAGGGCGAGGAGTGGCAGAGGGAAGGAGGGTTGCGGGTTGAAGGTTATCATGGTGGAGGGTGGCTTAGGTGAGAAGCCACATTGTAAGGAATTGCCTCATTGCTGGAGCCTAAAGTGCAGTTGTGGGGGGTGGGAGGGCGCCCAGCCAGCCACCGTAGCCGAGCCTGTTTGTAGATACTGGGAGCCTGTACTAAGTCTCAATAAGAGCGGTGTTGCGTGAGTGGCCCGAAGTCTGAGTGAGACCAGGCTGGCTAGCATCATGGTAACTGGAGAGAGGGCTGGGGGTGCCCTGGAAATGAATCAGCAGATTCAGGACTGTGAGCTCTCTGTGTTGTGCATGCAGAAGGCATTCTCCCAGGAGTGAGCACAGCGTCTCCAGAGTGGTAGGTCCTCAGAGCGTCATAAAAAAGCTTATGTAGATGTACTTTACAAATTCACTTACTACTGCTCTCAGGCAGTTTGCTTTCTGACCTGTTTATTGCAGGGTCCCAGAGTTTGTGCGAGAAAAGCGATTTGGAAATTGGCTGAAAGATGCACGTGACTGGGCAATTTCCAGAAACAGATATTGGGGCACCCCCATCCCCCTGTGGGTCAGTGATGACTTCGAAGAGGTGAGGCAGAGGCCACGCATTACCATGTTGATTTTTGCTGAAGCATCTCATTTGTGCATCTCAATTTTTCTTTTCTCTTTGCTCCTTTTGTATTTCATCTGTTCCTCTTTATTCTTTCCTAGAATCATATAAGTAAGGATGGGGGGGGAGGGACAGTTAACTTATTTTTACTTCTATTAAATATAATTTTAAACTGTATTTATCCCTCTGTGTAAAAGAATGCAAATTGTATTTTTCTTAGGGAAATCCATGCATTAAATTGTTTTTCTTGTGTTGCTCACCCCTTTTTCTCTCCATGTGAGTAATTGATAATCAGAACAAGGACTCCACACCTGCACTGAGCCATAGCATGTGAAAGCACCCTCCTAGCAGTGAAAAGGATAGGCTTAAACAACATTTGCAGGGGTGCCTGGGTGGCTCAGATGGTTAAAGCATTCAATTCTCGGTTTCGGATCAGGTCATGATCTCATGGTTTCATGAGTTCGAGCCCCACATCAGCTTGGGATGCTCTCTCTCCCTCTATCTGCCCCTCTCCTGCTCACACTGTTTCTGTCTCTCTCAAAATAAATAAACTTAAAAAATTAAAAAAAAAAAAAAAGGCATTTCAAGCCTTCCATGTATAAAGCCAAATGATTATGTGTGTAAATATGCATATGGGCCTATAGATGTACCTCCATGGCGGCCTCTGTCCGCCACGAAGACTACAAGACATGAAAGACAGCAGTGAGGTAGCCAAGTGTGAGGGCTGAGGAAGGGGCTGTGCATGCGCGCGAGGGAGCAGACAGCCACTGGTGAGAACCCACGGGAGTTCCTGCTCGGGCTTTCCCGCTGGATGTAATCCTGAGTGACGTCTTGTCATCTTATTAGTTTGATCTGGTCCATGCACAGTAGCTTACTTCAGGCTTTGACTTGGAAAGATTCCAGATTAAAGAGCCAAATTCAAGGGCCAGGAAGAAACTGAGACCCCTCAGAATAATAGTTGAGGCATGCCACTTAGGCTGGTTAGCTAGTAAACCCTCACAGGTGTGTGTTGAGCGGATGCTATAGGTCCTCTCCATAGGGGAGCCTGCTCACCTCCTCGGTGACCTGTGCCCTTTGATGACGTAAGCCACGTTAACTGACAACCATCCTGAAGGTCAGAGGTTTCCAAAACTAGGTGTGAATGTTATATAAGGTAAAGCTGTGTGGTCTTTGGTTCTGAGGTCCTCCTGCCTTTTAACTTTGCTTTCACAGGTAGTATGCATTGGATCAATGGCAGAACTTGAAGAACTGTCGGGAGCGAAGGTCTCTGATCTCCACAGAGAGAGGTCAGTCTCCTAACGTACGCTTCACTTTGTTCCATCATCTCTCCACAGAGAGCACCAGGCTGTACTGGGCAGACGCGATTTCTAGGGCAGATCGCAGAGCTACATGTCAGAATCAATACCAGTTTGCTGAGCTACTTTGTTAATGATTCAGATCATGTTGAGGAAGGGTGGCCTCTGTCCTGGAATTGGATGTCTGGTGACTGTGACACAGTGCCCTCTGACAGCCTGGAATAACTACCAGTATTTCTGTTTGCAGTTTGCTGATGAAAGCTTGTCAGGGCATGATGTTCCTCTTGGTAATGAAACTGCAAGTTGTTTTGTGGTTAAAACTAATAGAAGTGGCTTTGCTTTGTTTCTTAGCATTGACCATCTGACCATCCCTTCCCGTTGTGGGAAGGGGGTGTTACATCGCATCTCTGAGGTGTTTGACTGTTGGTTTGAGAGCGGCAGCATGCCCTATGCTCAAGTTCATTATCCATTTGAAAACAAGAGGGAGTTTGATGATGCATTTCCTGCAGACTTCATTGCCGAAGGCATTGACCAAACCAGAGGATGGTATGTTCTTTGTTCTTTCAAGAATTTTACTGATTTCATTTGATTTGATTTCAGGGTATTTTACTGAGCACCTAGCATCAATCACCTGGGTGCTGGAGAAATTGTATCAAACAAGACAGGCTGTGCTCTTGCTCTCTGCCCCTCACCACCCAGCATAATGTTACAGTCTCTCTTGAGGGGCGCCTGGATGGCTCAGTCAGTTAAGTGTCTGACTTTGACTCAGGTCATGATCTTGTGGTCTGTGAGTTTGAGCCTCACATCAGGCACTCTGTTTTCCGCACAGAGCCCGCTTCCGATCCTTTCGCCTTCTTTCTGCCCTCCTGTGCTCTTATGGTCTCTCTATTTCAAAAGTAAACCAAGGGGCATATGGGTGGCTCAGTCACTTGAGTGTCCGACTTCGGCTCAGGTCATGATCTCACAGTTCATGAGTTTAAGCCCCGCGTCAGCCTCTGTGCTGACAGCTCAGAGCTTGGAGCCTGCTTCAGATTCTGTCTCCCTCTCTCTGTACTTCTCTCCTGCTCACACCCTCTCTCTTAAGAATAAATAAAGATTAAAAAAATTTTTTTAAATAAATAAAGTGTCTTCTGAGTAGGGATCTCTCATTGCAGTAAAGCTGTTTTAGAGTTTGAACTGTTTCATTGACATTTTAGAATAGAGAGATTTGTTATACTCGAAGATTACGCGATATAAAACAATGTATGTTCTTAGTTTGTTCATTTTAAATAATTTACTCAAATGTTTAATGAGTACTTACATATAAGATAATAATTTGGGTGCTACAAATTTAAAGACTACTTGGAAGAGTGCTGAGATGTTAAAGCTAGCCTCATAAATTCAACATTCTAAAAAATTGAGACGGTGGGAGGGGTAGGACAAGGAGGGGAAGGATTTTGGCGTTGGGTTTACCTGGTACCTGTTTAAAGCAGTACCCTCGTCTTGTGCATTAGAAAAAGGTGAGTTACCTTCTGGTGGATGAGGAGTTTGGCTGGCCCGGATTCTAATCCCACTTTCATTAGTGATGTTTTTATAGGAGTGTTTCAGGAACGTTGGTGTCACTTTCTACTGTTACATCTTGTGATAGACATCACAAATTGAATTCCACCCTTAATGTTCCAGTAAGTGCTATTTCCAGCTTCCATTCCATTTATCATTAGGAACAGGTCCTTCTTAGTGAAGGCCAGATTCCTTGGCCACAGCTTGTGTCCCTGGAGAGTGCCGATATCTGCCAGCCCTTGACAGTCCTGTGGGTCCCTCAGTGCACTCTCCTCCCTCACATCGGGCTGCCTGTCCTGGCCGCCAGGTCCTCCTGACCCACCTTCAGAGGAAGGCCGTCTGGTCTGTCCTTAACAGGCCATGTCCTGTCATGTCCTGGGGGTACAAATCTGGGTTGGCAGTGACACTGAAGCATCACTCACTGAGGTGACTGCAGGGATGTGGTGGAGGTTAAGGAACAAGCGAGCTAGCAAGTCAGTGGTGTACATGGCATCTGGCAGAGCATAGATATCATCTGTATTCCTACAGTCTCTGCCGTCTGACTTTTGGGGGAGAGTGTCTTCTGCATCTTCTGTCATCAGACTGTCTCATGTGATCTTATGTCAAGTCCACACAGACCTCTGGATTTTCACCCTGGCATGTTGAGGGGTCCTGAGAGGCTGCCAGCTGGGGCAGGAGTCCTGTCCTCAGCTGCTGGGGTCCTTCATTAGCTTTTAGTCACATTTTCTATTTTCTGACCTGATTGGTCTGCAGTGGGGTCCTGGGTGGTTTTTCAGCACACCCCAAATGAGTCCACTGTTAGCAGACCAAGAACCTTGGCCATAAGCAATTAATAAGGGTAACTGATCTAAGATAGAAATTCAGTACGATAAATATAGGCTTTTTTCTTTTGCTCAGATTATTTTTCTGTTGCTGATGTGTTTATGGGTTTTTTTCCAGGTTTTACACCCTGCTGGTGCTGGCCACCGCTCTCTTCGGACAGCCACCTTTCAGGAACGTGATTGTGAACGGGCTCGTCTTGGCCAGGCAGGTGCCCATCCCTGGCTCCCTTTGCTCTAGCAGCCGTGGTCCGGGCGGATCTAGCCATTTCTGGTTCCTGCTCTTTCCTTCATGTACCCTCCCTTCTCCCCCGTCCTGCTCGCTTCTCTCCAGTGTCAGCCCCTTGCAGGGAGAAGAGCAGGTCGGAGAGTGAGACGTGAGGGGCACTGGGGCGTGTGTCCTGTGATAAAGTACATTCACCGGTGGTACTTACTTAATCTATATGCTGGTCCTGTAATGAAGGTTTTTGTTCTCTTTTGAACACGAGAAAACTATGGATTTTAGACATTTCTGGTGTCACAGAGGAGTCATTTTTTTTTCTACTACCCCTAGTAGATAAAAGTAAAGATGCAAACTAACAAAAATAAAACATTTACATAGACACCTTGCCTCATGTGCTGTCCAAGGCAGGATGCGCCCTGACGTCGTGCAGGCCCTGCTGCGAGCAATTCGTCTTCTCTCATCAGAGCCCCAAAACTGACTTGGGCCCTTCTCTTACCCCATTTGGACATTTGAAGAGTTGGAGGTATAGAATATCAGCTTGCTGAGAGTCCCACAGCCAACAATGATAAGTCACCTTCTGCACCCAGGAAGCCTGGCTCTACTGTCTGTGCATCTTTGGGATTTTTAAACTGAAAACGTTATGGAACCGTAGATTTGTGTGGAGTTTTGCAGCAGTAACAGAGAGCCCTGGTGTGCTTTGCCAGCTCCCTCGATGGTCACACTTTTCAGACCCGGCATTGTCACCGCCCCATCCTGCTCAGCCCCCCATCTCACGTGTCCCTGTTTGCCGGCATGCTTAGTTGCACACAGTCCCCACACGTAGGTCCCTGTGCCCCCCAGCACAGTCAAGCTACTGGACTGTTTCGGCGTTCCCGGAACACACTCCCTTGCCCCTTGCCCCCAGACCCCCAGCAGCCACTTGTCTGCTCCTCATCTTTGATCCATCACTTCATGCTCTGGTACGTGAATGGAATCCTGCCCCCTATGACTTAGGGCCTGGCGTTTCCACTCAGCGAAATGCCCTGGAGATTTCTCAGGAAGGGTGTGTCCTCGGTTGTTCCTTCTCATTGCCGAGCAGTGCTCTGAGTGTGGGTGACCTCAGCGTGACCGTCGCCTGCTGGAGGACACAGGTTTGTCCCCAGTGGTTGCTGACTATGAACTGCAGTTACAGGCTTTTGCACCAATACAGGTTTTCATTTCTCTGGGATAAATGCTGAGCCCGTGTTTTTAACTTCTCTGCTAACTTGCCACTGCGTTAGGAAAGACCACCTATTGTGCCCTTCTGTCACTTGCATTTATGTATTCCAGTTTGCAAGTGACCTATAATATAACTGTATATAAGGGTAAACCATGAGAGTGATGTATTTAATTGGCATCTCCCTTTTGTTTTTTCAAGTGATGGCCAAAAAATGAGCAAACGAAAAAAGAATTATCCGGATCCACTTTCGATCATCCATAAATATGGTGCCGATGCCCTCAGGTACAAGCCACTGCTCTGCCCTGTGTATAATGTCGTTTTTATGTAGGCTTCCTTTATTGATCATGTTCCTTAGATTGGGTTTATGATTAGTTTTTAAGACTGTGTATGCTCACATGGTCGGTGTTGTCTCCGCACCGCACGGTGGTTTCTGAATAACAGGAACGTTGGCAAACCCAGAGGTGGCGTGACAGCCGGGCCTGCGTTGCTCCCAGGCCGACTGCTCGGCTTTCTGCCTCCCTCCCTCCCCAGGCTCTCCGTCTCCTTGGCCGTGTATTCCTTTTTCACGCTTGCTCCTCAGAAGAACCATCTGAGGCATATTTATGCTAGAGCAAATAAAAATTAATATCAAAAAGCTTGTAGAGAAATGTGAGCCACTGCTGGAAATCAGAGTCCTAGTCATGGACGTGAAGTGTTCAGGCGACAGGGAACCACAGAGGTCTTGTCTCGCCTCCTCCTGCCGCAGACACACAGACATGCACCCGGGGGTCTGTGCCCAAGCACATGGGTGATTGCTCTGTGGCCCAGGGACAGCGAGTGGGCTGTGCTCCCCCTGGTTATCAGTCAGACTACCCCTCGGGGCTGCCGACAGCCTGAGCCATATCAGTCATTGCAGCGAGGACTGTCCTGTTGGGTGTTTAGCAGTGCCCCTGGCCTCTGCCCTCTGCAGCCTTTCTGTTCGTTCTGTGAATCCCTGCGTGTGCCCCTGGGTTGGCTGAGTGCCACGTCTTGGTAGGGGTTACGTCTCCCCTTCATTATTCATTGCTTCTACACAGAGTAAGAGCTTTGTCACTTTTAAACTGACCATTAGAAGAGTATTGGTGATTCTTCCCTTTTATGTAAAAATGCTAATTTTCATGTATGCTTTGTCAGCATGCCCTATGTTTTAATCTCTATATTCCTTTTCTGTGGGATTTTTCTCCTCATCCAGATTGTATCTGATCAACTCCCCTGTGGTGAGAGCAGAAAACCTACGCTTTAAGGAGGAGGGTGTGCGTGATGTTTTGAAGGACGTGCTGCTCCCGTGGTACAACGCCTATCGCTTCTTTATCCAGAATGTGCTGAGGCTGCAGAAGGTGTGGGCCTGGGTTTGCACAGGACAGAGCTCCTTGGGTGACGGGACAGAGCGGTCCCTGTGGGTGGGGCTCAGAGCTGTTTGGGGGCCACTGGTGAAGGTGCACAGGGCCTGGGGTCTGTGCTGGGCGGGCTCTGCCTGGCCTCTGCGGGATGCTGGGCCCCCCACAATAGAGCCCCCCCTGGAGGTTTATCTATCCCCCACTTGCCCTCCCTCCTGGAACCCAGACTCACAGGTGGGGGTGGGGGCGAGTCAGCCCCTCGCAGTGAGGAAGCGCCCGGGAAAGGCTGCTGCACACGGTGCTCAGTGGTGCATCCAGGTCTGGACTTAGAGTGAGAGCTGTCCCACTGGGTTGTTAGGAGGGAAAACGAGGATTGTGGTATGTCCAGAAGTGCCTCAGGGGTTCTCTGCCGGCCTGGGAGGTCCCCTCTGAGAAGCCCCCTCCCCTGAGGCTCCATTGCATAGGGGTGCCTTTCTGTGCTTTCAGGGCTCCGTTTTGGGTCAGACCCCAATACCATGCATCTTCTATGTCCAACACCTTGCTGTGTACGTTACTGTTGACTAATTGCAACATGTTAATTAAGCCTTTGTAGAGAATGGTTAGAGGCCTGAGCTATATCAAACTCTGGTGGGCCGGCTGTTCACCATCAGCCATCTCTTGGCTCCCTGTGAGTCACAGACAGCAGGCAGGTCCCTGCAGATCTCTATTGGTGGGGAACTTGGGAGCACAGCAGGGCTCTCATGGGCTTGGCAGCCAGGCATGGGCTCCACCATCAGGGCCTCAGATCAGGGCCAATGTCCACTTGACCACTGCTTTGCCAGCCTAGGGTTGCCACAGTGTGGGGAGGAGGGCATGGGTGAAGTGGGCCTTCAGCTCAAGGAGGGTTTTGCAAAGGGAAAAGAAAAGGTGGGTCAGAGCGTTCAGTATAGTGGACAGACACTTTACGCAGAATAGTTAATTCCTAGTGTTCGTGGTCTGTTTATACCCCATCATTCAGTCCTGGCCAGCTTTACTAGTTTTCCCTTTGTCAAACTTAAGTAACTCAACTTACAAGATCTTGGAATATTTCTCAATTCATAAACTCTTTGGTGCAGAGGTATATTTTTCCCCTGTATTTTCTTTAGCTCACTCAAAAATGTAGTTCATTGGGGACTTAATCCCAAGTGTAGAGCTTATTTGGAAAATATTACAATCAGAAATTTAAATTGCCACTGGGTTATGGGGTTTTGTGAATTGTTGTGAGCTACTCTCAGGTGGAGTGATTTAAAGAGTTCATTCCTGTGCAGTAATTTGCCCTAAGCACACAGAATGTTTCAGTGACTATCACTTCCCAGGAGGAAGAAATGGAATTCCTATACAATGAGAACACAGTTAAAGAAAGCGCCAACGTCACAGACCGCTGGGTCCTGTCCTGCATGCAGTCACTGGTTGGCTTCTTTGAGACCGAAATGAAAGGTATGACTCTTGGGCGGGAAATAAGGGCTCTTCTCTTTCTGATTGCCCTTTTGATGCTTAACTGTGTTTCTCTATAAACATAGAGAAAATTTTATAGACAATTTGAGAGATACAGAGCAATAAACAAGTAATTGTTTCTTTTAACCTCCCAGGTATGGTTTTGTTAAGGCTGTTGTAGAAACATGCTCAGCCTATGCTGCCCACCCCATGGCATCCCGTGGCTTCAGTGGTTCATAACCCACCCGCCCATGGTTCCCAGTGGCAGGTGCTGCCTGAAGTCCTCAGGCTGCTGTGTCCTTCTCTGGAAAGTGCTTGGTGGCATCGTTACAAGGCTTAAACTGAGCTTGTGTGCGTAAAGTAGCTGGAAGGTAGTAGATGTTCAGGTAGTGCTTGTTAACATGCATTTTTACTTATTTTTAGTCTACTTTAATTATTAAATAAGTAGTCCCTGTGTGGTCTAGAAAAATTAGGAAATACAGAAAAATAATAATGAGGTAGATATTTCCCCATATTTCTGTTACCTAACAGCAATGAATTTGGTCTTAGACACAGGTAGGGAGAGTAGCTTATGTTGGTTTCCTCGAGGTGGGAGACAGAACAGTTCAAGTCTGAGAGAGAAATTCCAGAAACTACCAAAGTAGGATACCTGACCTGGGTCTGACAAAGTCGGTGGGCAGAGGAAAGAGGACTCCCCTGCATGTGCCTTGGCGAGCTTAACCTACCCCCCAGCGCGCTTTGCTTCACACAGGCACACGGCCTCCCTGGTGGCTCAGCACCTGGCACAACAGGATGATTAGTCCAGGAGATTACACCCGGGTACCAGGCCCCTTGAGGCCTACACCCACCCACTGAACATACATCGTTAAGGATCAGGTGACTGTCAAGCTGTTGGGTAAATTGATGTGAGTGAAGATGGAAATACATGTGTAAGACAGAGCTCAATGCACACCCCAGGACACCTGCTTGCAGCCATATTCACCTGTCCCTCCTGAGTGACACGAACTGTAGGAAACAAGCCTGGAGACTGTTTGGGGGCTGTACTTGAGCTGGGCTCGTCTCCTGGGAGGCTCAGGCAGCTGAGCGCAGGAGGTGAGCAGCGGCTGACCTTGTACCCTCAGCTCTCGCAAACAGGGCTGTGAGGACCGGTAGGTCTGCACTTCCCGTAAGGGACCGCGGCGCATGGCACTGCTCTGCTGTGATGATTCTGTGTGCCCTCCGAGGTTCGACACCTGGCCATGGGAAACTCTGGCCTCTGAGAAGTCGAGGGGTATAGCAAGCCCTAGAAATCACTTACGCCTCTCCCTTCACTCTAGGCTTCCACTTGCCATATCACCTCTTAGGGAATGAGTGGCCACTGGCACATTAGTCCTTGACTTTGTAAGCCGCCCTCTGCCCTTAGCAGCTTCTCACCTTGGCTACCAGTTTGTTTTTATTTAGCGGTGGGGAAAGGCAGAGAGGGAGAGAGAGAAACCCAAGCAGGTTCCAGAGCCCCACATAGACCTCAAATTCACAAACCGCAAGATCATGACCTGAGCAGAAATGAAGAGTCAGGCGCTTAACTGGCTGAGCTACCCAGGCGCCCCGTGTTTACCAGTTTAGACCAAAGGCCTCATTAACACTCACTGAACACTTTCATTGATACAAGTTGCATTTATTTATAATTGTTGGTCTTATTCTTGCTTTCAGTGTGTATTTTTGTATAGTGAGAGTATCAGTTAAGGGAAGGTAAATAGGAAAATCCTAACAATAGGCCCGCACCTCAACCACGACTGGCTGAGCACCCTCACCATTTGCCCTCAGAGTTCCTCAGGAGCCCTCCTGTCTTTCTCCATTTACAGCCGCCTCGGTGGTCTTTCCTGGGCGATTGTAGCTTTTGGGAAGCCTGTTCCACTGGCAGTTTGGGCCAGGCATCCCCTAGAGGGGACTGGGGTCTGCACTGTAGGAAGGTGAGCAGCCTCTCTGGGGCCCACCTGCCCAGCTGTGACAACCAGAGTTTCTCCAGACCTCAGAGCAGAGCCGCTGGGTTTGGAAAGCACTGGCTTGTGCTGTGCCCCAGCCCCTGCCTAGACCCTCGTTCCGTCTAACACTACCTAGTGGACGCCCAGGGTAACACAGCACAAGGAAGTCGGCCTTTTGTGGTGCTGCCCCTTGCACAGCACCAGGGAAACAGGCCTTGTGGAGCCGTGTGGCATGCAGCTGTGACCTCCAACACGTGTCTGGGGCTCTGCTTCTCTCACTTGTCCGCAGTTCACAGGGTGGTTCATGTGCCCTGGACACCCTGACGGCCCTGTGGTGCCTCCTCGGTGCATGACGTCAGGGCTGTCCCTTTGGTTCTTCCTGTCCCCTTAGTGAGCATGAAGGGGGCTGCCAGCCCTGTCATGGGTCCGGCCCTCGCCATACCCCAGATACTCGCCTGTTCTCGCTGCCTGATCACCTGCTTTCAGCTTACAGGCTCTATACTGTGGTGCCTCGCCTGGTCAAGTTTGTAGATGTCCTAACCAACTGGTACGTCCGGATGAACCGCAGAAGGTTGAAGGTGAGTGTGTGCAGGCTGCTGCTGACAGGCAGACACGGGGGGGGGGGCGGTAACAGTCGAGAAACCTGAGCACATTCAGAAGAGAAAGGAATGTTTTCAGATGCTCTTGGTTTTTGAAGTTCTTTCTCTTTCTCCTTTCTACATTGCGAGTTACCTCTATCACCATTTGATGGATGGGAACCTGTAAGTTCTAAAAGTCACCTTGAGTATTTTCAAACATAGGTAAGAACACATCATATTGGAAAGTCTCAGGGCCGTACGAGACTAAGCTGAGCAGAATCTCTTAAAATATGAAAGAAGTTCATACAGGTGCTTGCCAATGTTGCCAGTATGGCTGTGATCTCAAGAGGGACCTCTCGTTGCTTCTTCCTCTAGAGGGTCCATTATTTGTTGACAGGACTCTTCCCTAAGCCCGTGGGGGACTTGGGCTCAGTGAAGGCTGCGTCCTGTCCCAGACCCTGAGGCCACACATAGACCATGAAGGCGCCTGTGCCACAGCCCATCAGTCTGTCTGCAGATGTGTGAATGATGAAGGCCTGTAACAGAACAGTAACTTCATTTTTGTTAAATAGACCACATACCTATACACACATGTCTCAAGGGGCTTACACTAAACTGTTGGCCATGGTTACCTCTGTTGAACTTCATTATGGTTGACTTTTCTTTTTTTATAACCTTTGTTTGTGTTTTTCCTACAATGAGTAAGTGTAATTATTTCTTAAATATACAGCGTATACATTTTTTTAAATTAAGAAATCTTACCTAAAAGTACTTTAAATTTTGTTTGTACCTGTTTCCATGCGTGGCACCCGCAGCCTGCACGTCCTCTTGTCCGCATGGGCTTCCGAGATGGGAAAGAGTGAGGCCTGCGATGGCCTCCTGCCTGAACCCAGACACCTGCCCCGCGGCGGCTTGTCCCAACCCCTCTGTCCTGTCCGAGTGCTCTGTGCTCTGCAGGTCGCCTCACAGTCTAATGCATGTTCCTTTCTTGTTCGCTAGGGTGAAAATGGGGTGGAGGACTGTGTCATGGCCCTGGAGACCTTGTTCAGTGTCCTGCTGTCTCTGTGCAGACTTATGGTATGATGCTGGACCCTGTTCTGAAATGCTAGCCTCGTTGCCACTGTGTCCTCTGTCTGTGTCTAGTCTGTACCTATTCCCTCAGAAATAGGAATAGAAGTTTTAAAACAGCTTGAATCTCTACTTCTTTTTCAGAAGTCTTAACTAGTTATTTGTCAGGAGGGACTAAGACACATTTGCTTCCTGTTCACACTGGCAGCATATTTCAGGTCAGGGTGCTGGCCTCCAGATGGAAAGACCGCTGCTCTCCTGTGAGCACACACCCATCGTACAGGATTCCTGTAAAAACGTGATCCTACCAATTAAAATATTCAGTGATACACCAGTGAAAATTCCACCTTGGGTTCCCAGTAGCCTATTACCGCTTCTCCAGCATGATGTTACAAGCCTTCTGTTCACTTCCTGAATATCCACGAACAGAAACCTGCCTAGTACTTGTGCCTGAAGTCCAACTCACTGACCCTCACCCTAGGGAACATGTCCCCAGTTTATAGATGAGGTTTCTGAGGTGTAGGGGCATTCAGTTGGGTGCATATTGACATGGCCAGTGCGTGGTCAGCCTTCCTCCGGGTTGCACTGGGGCCTCCGGCATCCATCCCGCGAAGTTCAGAACAAGGCCATTTCTCTCTCAGACGGCGTGTTCAGTAACTTCATGCCCACTTCCTTGTGTGTCCCAGTGTCCTCTAAAATGCGGAGCTGCTGTTTCCGCTCTGAGATCAGTTAGTAATGGCTGTGTATCAGTGACATGATGTCCTCTGTCCTCATGCAGGCCCCCTATACACCTTTTCTTACCGAATTGATGTACCAGAATCTAAAGCTGCTGATTGACCCTGTTTCTGTCCAGGACAAGGACACACTTAGCATCCACTACCTCATGCTGCCCCATGTTCGGTAAGAACCAAATTCACATAAGCCTCGCCTGGGCCTGGGAAGGCTTGCATGGCAGCCCTGCGTCCTGCTCCGGCCCCTCTGTGCCCTTCCGCCCACCTGTCAGCCCGCCTGCTCCTCAGGCGCTGCAGAGGGGCTGGAGGAACATTCAGTGTGGAAGCTCCTGGCGCCACCCCTTCCTCACTGTGCGCATCTGTCGTTTGGGACTATCTCCTGATGGGGTCCCTCTCACCCCCACCTCTACCACCAGGGAGGAGCTGATAGACAAGAACACGGAGAGCGCCGTCTCTCGGATGCAGTCTGTGATCGAGCTCGGTCGAGTGATTCGAGACCGCAAAACCATTCCGATAAAGGTTTGATGCTTTGTTTGTAATCACACAGGCTTAAGTCATTACACCTCTGGAGTATTTTCTTAAAAGCCAGAGCTTCTTGCAATGGCAGTTTTTCTTTTATGCAACAAGGATGTGAATGACTTAGTGCCAGATGAGCCTGATCCGTCTGGAACTTGAGATTCAGATAAAACATTTAACATTTCATTTTCCTGCAGTTTCAGGGGCTTCCTGCTTGGTAACTTTCTGTTCCTTTCCTCCTAGTATCCTTTGAAAGAAATTGTGGTTATTCACCAGGATCCAGAAGCTCTTAATGAGATCAGATCTCTGGAGAAGTATATCATTGAGGTAAGACCTCTGGCTTGTCTGCTTGGGTCTGAAAAGACTTCCTTCTTTGTGAAGATTACCATGACTAGCTCTCTTCAGTGAGCTTCACTTTGAATGTATCATTTAGCCTTTCCTTTCATGTGTCAGTATATCCATACGCTTAACCATCCACAGAATGTGACACTTCGCTTACAGTCAGCATGCATTTTTGCATTTTTTACAGTGTAACTAATTCTTTAGAAGCAATTCCAAGATCAGTGGATTCATTACTTTAGTGGGATCACTCACTACCTTCATCCACTTGTTTCTCCAGAGTATTTTTTTGTTAATTAACCAAAAAACTGTTCCATCAAATCATTAAGTAACAGGTGAGCATGCATTGGTCATGAGCAGCTCAGCCTCTAGCACTGAGTACGGGGCGAGTCCCTTTCTGGGGATGTTTACCAGGGCGCCCCCACTGGGTTGTCAAAGCGCTCTGCACATGCACACACATGTGCTCGTATGTGCACACAGCATCATTGGTTTTGTTTGTGCTAGAGAGGACCACATGTGTAGTCTTGAACTTGGTTTTCTCAATTGACAGTTTTTCTTAACCAGGGTCAGAACCTAGAGACCTCCTTTATTCTTTAAACAACTAGAAAGTGTTCGCTCTCCACTGCGTTGTTGTTTAAATCACTTTCCTATTTTTGGAAACTCAAGATTTCTGACTGCTAACAAAGGTTATGTGTCTTTGTGCGTATGTCAGAGCGTGGACATCAGGTGGGTCCCTGGAAGTGCCTTTGGAGTCAAAGTGGAATCTGTCATGTCAGCTGTCTCCCAGAAAGTTGTATTCCACAGTGTTTTAAAAATAAATATACTTTTAATTTCAATTTTATTTTACAGGTTATATTTAAATCTTTTACTATGGAAAATAATAATTTCTAGATTTGGTTTTTAATTACTTGTGGATTCTAGACAAATATCAGAAATTCAAGAGTTAGATTATAAAGTCTTATAGCTAATGCTTGCAGATATGGATTAAAATAGAGTACATTTAATAGATTGTCTTAAATCACTTTGATGAGATCAAGTGATCCAGTCAGGTCCAATGGCAAAGCCAGATATTTCCTGACTGTATCTTCCTCTGCCGCCACTGTTTCCTGCTGCGTTGCTAACCCATAATTAGCACAGTGGAGGCAGGACATGTTACAGCCACCTGTCTTTTCCAGAAAATTGGTAATTAACCTTCTGGAGCTCTGAGATTGCTGGAGTAAACATTACTCCTGAGAGCTGAAGTTCACATTTCTAATTCTAAAATCTTCTTTAGTTGAGTTTTGCTCAACAGTCTTGAATTATCTGGACAAGAAGGATCTATGAGTATTACATATAGAGTTGTACAGCCATTATAATTTTATAATGTTTTCATCACCCCAAAGAGATACCCAGTATCCATTAGCATTCACACACCATTCTGCCCTCAGGACCCCACCATGCCCCAGGCAACCACAGGTGTAAGTTTTCTGTACCTAGGTGTGCCTGCTCGGGAGGTTTCCTGTAAGCGGAAGCTGACATTGGGTGGTCTTTTGAGTCTGACTTCTTTGACTTGGTACCAAGGGTTATTCGTGATATAGGCCAGGGCAGTGATTTTTTTCCTTTGTTTAGCTAATAACAGTCCACATGTGGATAGACCACATCTGTTTACCCATCACAGATGAGGGGTTTTAGGGCGGTTCCACTTTTTGGCAATGGTGACTTAAGTTGTTAATGAATGTTTGTGTGCAAGTTTTTGTGGACACACATTTTCATCTCCCTTGTTTCTATTTCATCTTGGCTACCAACTATAGGAGTTGAATGTTCGCAAAGTTACACTGTCTACAGATAAAAACAAGTATGGCATTCGCCTAAAGGCAGAACCTGACCACATGGTCCTGGGGAAGCGGCTGAAGGGAGCCTTCAGGCCGGTGATGATGGCCATCAAGCAGCTGAGCAGCGAGGAGCTAGAGCGCTTCCAGGAGACCGGTGGGTGTCTACCCCAGCCGACCCTGTCTGTGGCCCTCACTTGACACGGTCTCTCACCTGGGCTTCTGTTTGACCTGTACTATTCCAGCCTCTCCTGGTCATAAACATCTTTTTTTTACAAATAATGCTGATAATTTAAAAAAGAGACTAAAAATGCCCCCTAACCCATCACCCATCCATTTAATGCAGATTAAGTGCCTACTCTCTCCCATTGCTGGGGCAGTGTATGAAATTCTGGTTTATTTCCTTCTTGTTACACGGATAGTCACGTAACTAGTCTCTAACAAAATGGAGAACATGCTATAATTTTAAATGTCATATTTATCACTCATATACTTTGTTTTATACACTTTTTTTATTTTGCACTTTTTAAGTAAAGTGTGTTATTAGTGTCAGATATCATAGGGATATCTGATGTTTTTAACCAGTCTTGTTGATTCTTTAGATTGTTTCCATTCTTTTACTATTGTCCGTAATATTGCATTGAGTATTCTCACATGGAAATATTCCACAGAATTGATTCCTTTGAGCTAGATTTCTAGGTAGGGCTTACTGAACCAGATGGGTGGACCCTTGGTTACCAGTGAATTCTGCAAATGCTAATGCGAGTCTAGAAACTATCCTAGTGAGAGAGCAGAGCCCCCTGGTACTGGATATTGATTGTGGAAAAAAAGCATGATGATTTTTGGAAGTGTCCGAATGAAGGCTAGAATATATTCGAAAGAAAGGATTTAGTACTGAGGTTTGGAGCTGTTTGTGCAAGGGAGAACTGGGTAAGAACTTCCCACGATTTCTCTAAGATCTCTAGAATTCAGCTTGTTCTTGGATTTTGGCAAGCCTGGAGTTGGACTCATTCAGCAAATACTCTTTAAAGCCTTTCCATTTGGCTAGCCCTGGGAACCCAGAATTGAGTAAGACAGATGGTGTCCTTACCTTCATGTGGTAGCCAACGTTGAAAATTTGTGGACATTGTAGTTGTGACAAGTGCTGTCAAGGAAAAGTCTAGGATAATGCAAGGAGGTTAGGAAAGGGGACTCAGCCCCTCCTCTCCTCTGGGGGACCTTCCAGGTGCCCAGGAACTCTCAGCTCTGCCGCAATTAGAATCCTGTAGTTTTACTGTCTGCTTGATGCCTTGCAGCCACCTTGAGGGCAAAAGATGTTTAGTGGCGAGGGCCCCTTCTGAAGCTGAAAATCATAAGTGCAGAGGTTTCACATGGGGAGATCTGAGGACTCAAAGATCAGATGAATGGTCATTGGATTTGGGAGAAATGTCCCTAAGGAGTCCCCACATTTTTAGATAAAACTTTAAAACATAGGAAGCTAGCAAATAGAAGTTGAGTCATTACTTACTTAACTTGATTTGTTAAATTAACAAAATCTTTTATCAAACTTCAAATCACAAATCTAAATTGTCTCAACAGCTGGCCAAAATATTTTAAAATTCCTGAAGTAAGACTTAGTTGATACTAAAGATCTGCAACTTAACTGCTAAACTACTTTTTGAATGGATTTCTGCACTAATGGGAAGCAAAATAGTTTTCAGAACAGAATGGTGTAAAGTCAGAATGATAGCCCATTGCTGACCAAGACCATTGTGAGTGACCACAGCAGGCTTCCCTGCAGATGGGTGTTGCTGGCCTCTGCGGTCCATGCGTCCTGGCTGCCTTGGGAAGGTGGCGCCCAGCGCTTCCCACTGCTCACTGTTGGCTTCCTGCAGCCAGCAGGTGGGAGCCAGGGTCTGACTGGACTCTGCAGCCTGTGCTTTTATATCACACTGCTCTGTGTTTCTGGTGGGGATGTGTCACCACCTGGCATAGGCCTTTGGATCTAGGGGCTTGTATACATGGATAGGCACTGGCGGTGATTTAACTGTCCTCAAGACAGCCTGGGCAAGTGTAAAGGAAGTCTGTCACATCGTTGACTGCAACAGTGGCATGAGTCAGGAGGACATGATCTCTTGAAGTCTCTACAGCTTGTTGGCTCTGAAGTTTTTATTAAAAATTGGCATTGGGTCACCTGGATGCCTCAGTTAAGTATCGATTCTAGATTTTGCCTCAGGTCATGATCTCATGGTTTGTGAAATCGTGCCAGCTTGGGATTCTCTCTCTCTCCCTCTTATCTCTCTCTGGCCCTCCCTTTCCCCGCCTTCAAAATAAATAAACTTTTTTTAAAAATGGCACAGCATACTGGTGGCTGGGTGGTGTGAGGAAGAGGCAGGTAGCTGATTAACAGTGGCTGCTGCTTCTCCGATAGGGACCATTGTTGTCGAAGGTCATGAGCTGCATGAAGAAGACATCCGCCTCATGTATACCTTTGACCAGACAGCAGGAGGGACGACGCAGTACGAAGCACACTCGGATGCCCAGGTATTTCTCTTCCCTAGAACATTGCTTTACCAGAAGATAACCTAAAAGGAGAAAGTAATTCCCTAGCCTTTCCTGACGGTGCTGGCAGCTCATCCAGGGTAAGATCGAACAGGTGTTCATCTTAGATTTCTGTACTAAACCCCTCTCTCATATGCTCTTAACATGGCATTTTTTGGACATATATGTGAATAGACATTTTGTGACTTTTGCTTGCAGTTGTCCTAAGTGTTGGGTCGTACAAAAATGAACAAGATGTAACCCCACCCCTCAAGGAACAAGTCAGTCACAGAGACATAAAAGGAACTCAGTTCTTACTCTTCTGCCTGATGAGTTACCTGGTAGAAATGAGCACAGGGGCGCCCAGGTTTCAGTTGATTAAGTGTCCAGCTCTTGACTTCAGCTCAGATCATGATTTGGTGGTTCGTGGGTTCGAGCCCCACATCAGACTCTGTGCTGACAGCTTAGCCTGGAGCCTGCTTCAGATTCTGTGCTCCTTCTCTCTCTCTGCCCCTCCCCTGCTCACAGCTATCTCTCTCTTTCTCTCAAAAGTAAATATTAAAAAACTTTAAAAAAAATTTTTTTAAGTAAAAAAATTGTTAAAAAAAAAAACAAAAAAGAAATGAGCACAGAGAAGGGCTCCTGCCCAGAGTCTAGCGTGGAAACGGGCTGGTGTGGGATATCCTAGAGGGCAACATGCAGCAGTTTTGGGTTCTGGAGTCAGAGCTGCTCTCTGCTCCCATCTAGACTTCTCTGAGCAGATGGGCCATAAGATCTCGAGGGTGGGAATGAGGGGCTTGCGGGAGGCCCTCTGTGTAACATGCCATGTGTAGTGGGGTGGCGAGTACCACATAAGGCCAGACTCCAGCTCCCCGTGGGCTGATGGCAACCAGCCTGAGAAAGTTACTCAAGGAAGTGGCCTTGTCTTCTGAGATTCTTGACACGGTCATGTGTTGACAGCCAGGGTGGCCCTGCCTCGACTCATCTGTCTCCATTTCTGCCCTCATGAAGTGGAGCAAATTTGTTTACTTCTCTGATTAAATTTCCACAGAAATGTCCATGGGGCTGGTGCTTGATTTACAGGTGTGTCCCCTCTGTGCCAGCAGCAACAACCTATTATTTATGTCATCCTCGACAGCCTCTATGACAGATGGCATAGGAAGTACACAAAACTAGCAGGCAGATGGCAGTTTAAATCCCATCAAACATATTGTAGCTCCCTGTAGAAATCGCATCTTGAATCACCCAATCCAAAGGACAGGGCTGAAGAAAACAATGGGGCAGCTCTGGGGCCCTCACCGGCTCGTCCACAGTGTGAGAAGTGTGGCCATGTGAGCCGTGACTGTTAACCCCACTCCCTGCAAGGAAGGTGACTGATGGTCACATAGACAAACAGCGGTTACATGGAGGCTCACGGTTCTCAGTGTCCCATGAGCAGTACCCACCAAACGGGAGACGCCCAGTCTCTCCTGGTGGGAGGAATGGTCCCTTCACAAGAACCACCGAGCCATCCAGACACTAGTGTAACTTTATCTCCTTTTCTCAGTTGGGTGAACAGCGCTGTGTTACAGACACCTCAGAATTTAATTTACATACAGTTTTGCTGAGTTTGAGAACCATTCCTCCTTATGTGCTGTGCACCGTCCATTCCTACAGGCTTTGGTTCTCTTAGACGTCACCCCCGACCAATCCATGGTGGATGAAGGAGTGGCTCGGGAGGTCATCAATCGCATCCAGAAACTTCGCAAAAAGGTCAGTTTGTCACATTAAGTACAAGCAGACTGAGAGTTTTGCTTGGTTGGTTGGTGTTGGTTCTTGGGGAGGACGGGAGAGGCAGGTAATGTAAACAGGTAACTGTAATTGAATAAGGGGAATTAGCCCCTGATTTGCAGTGTGTACATTGTACCCTGCAGGAAATGTGGGCCCTTCCCTCCCTTCTCAGTCACCCCAGGCTGGACGTGGCTCTTTCATTTCTTTGACTGGGAGCGTTCAGCCAATCTGGCCCTTGTCCACCGCTTCCAGTTCCCCAGAGTTTCTACAGAATCCTCTTCTGGATAGGTAGCCCTCCTGACTGGCACAGGTCACCAGACATGACAGCAAGCGTCTGAGGAAGGGCTTCTCACTCAGGGAGACACTGTTATGTCTGGACTGAGGGGGTGGTCTTCCTCTCTATGGAGCTGGGAGCCAGGACGGGTGCATAATGCCCATTACCGGCCTCACCAGGTGAGGCAGCCAGGGGGCCCCGACCAGTCCTTAGGCGAAGTGTCTGAGACCAGTGGTTCTGGATCTTGGGAGTCCAGCACGTAATGGGGTGCTTGTGAGCTCTGCCTGAGTTCAGAGCTTTGTAAGCGGGTTTGCACTCCATCACCCATTTGTTTCAGATGCGGGTTGGGAGGAGCCTGTGCCCTTCCATCATGATCCAGCACAGGACTGTCAGCCATGCTCATCTTCACCATCCTTTTTGATTAACAAATGTGCTTCCCTTTTAAATTTTCTGTATGTGCCTTCAGTGCAATCTGGTTCCAACTGATGAAATAACTGTTTACTATAAAGCTAAGTCTGAAGGGAAGTATCTGAATAATGTTATCGAAAGCCACACGGAGTTCATATTTGCCACCATAAAGGCTCCCTTGAAACCATACCCAGTTCCAACTTCAGATAACGTCCTTATTCAAGAAAAAACACAGGTAAGTTCCGGGTTCTGTTGAACTGTTAAATGATACAAGGTTAGATATTTATATTAAGTTTATGTAGTCATCTCTTAATATTGTGCCCTCAGTAGCGATTGGCACAGTCCTCAGTCCTGATACACTGGGTCAGGTCTGGCAGGAGGCATCCAGAGAAGAAGGGAGGGACTGTTCTCACAACAGTACCCTGAAAAAACTAGCCAGTAGGTGCACAAGGATTGCCAGGAAATCATTGGCTACGTGGGTCTACTTTATTTAAAACTAGAGAAGTTAGTATTTTGGATTCTGTGAGTGACTGTTAAAAGCACATAGCAGTTGACTTGAAAAACAGGTAACTTTAATGGTAGTAGATTGTACATAAAATTACAGCTTCATTTCCTGTTGGCACATTTTCGATGTAACTATGAAAATGTCATACCAAGACATGGAAGATATTGGCCATAATTCCGAAATAGGTTATTCATAATGGAAAGAAGTTCCTTTCTGTGTTGGTCATGTATTTAGTCATTTGTCCTTTGTCTCATTCCTCCTCTATAGGGGACAGGCTAGTCTGAATGTCACTGTCTTTTCAGTGGATAAAATTACAAGATTTCATTTCTGTTTTGCATATTTTTTAAAAAACAAGCTGAAAAGAGAGACATGAAGGAAAAAGTGGTAGCTTTTGACTGTTTTAGTGGTAGGATTGAGTATTCTCTCAGAACTGTACAGAGCTCTCAGCGTGAGGAACAGTTGGGGTGTTAGTTGGTGACACTATGGTCGGTGCTGCAGTTACTCAGTCACATCCTCTCATGTGCCCAGTTAAAGGGATCTGACCTGGAAATCACACTTACCAGAGGATCATCCCCGCCTGGGCCTGCTTGTGCCTATGTCAATCTTAACATTTGTACAAATGGCAGCGAGCAAGGTAAGAATAAATGAATCCTGTGATTTGTACTTTATTTTTTAGCTACACGTATTAATGTCTTTTTTTTTTTAATTTATTTTTTTAATATTTATTTTTGAGAGACAGAGACAGAGAGGGGGAGGAACAGAGAGAAGGAGATGAAGGATCCAAAGCAGGTTCCAGGTTCTGGCTGTCAGCACAGACCAGCCTGACTCAGGGCTCAAATTCACGAACTGTGAGATCATGACCTGTACTGAAGTCAGACACTTAACCGACTGAGCCAACCAGGGCCTCTAAACCTATGAATGTTTTTAAGGTTGTTTATGAGATAACTAGGAGCATCGTATAACTTTCTCTTTCTAATTGCCCTCAGAATGAATCCATAGAAGTAAATGACTGAGCTTGCACTTCCAGGAAGTAGAGTAGACATACTTTTCCCTTTTCCCACAGAGTACAACTAAACACTCTGGGTTTGATACATAAAAACAAAAAACAGACATCAGAAGAAGCAGACCAATGAGGGACCTTGAGACCAACCAGCAAAACTGTGGAAAGTTCCCTAGTGTTTCGTTTTGTCTCACCGATCGCAGACTTGGAGCTGAAGAAGTCGACAACCTGGAAATGCCAAGTGCAGACAAAAACGTTCCAACAAATTCTGCTTTTTCTAGACAGAAGACCTGGAGGGGTGTACCTAGCAAGACAGAAAACTTCTAGACAGTGTCTTTTTTACTGCAGCCAAACACAACAGAAGAAACTATGGCCCCACTAGCACTCACAGCAGCAAAGTCGAAGTGAGGAGCCTAGACCTTTGCCGCACTGAGGATCCTCAGAGCCCTGTCTCCCACAGTGGTGTCAGAAGCCCAAGCACTGAGCTGGGACTCTCATCCTACCTGGGCAGCAATAAGCCCCTCTGCCCAGTACTCTCACTGAAACCACTGGGCAGTACCAAGGCGTCCAGTCCCTCACCACCACGTAGAGCAACGAGGCCACATACTCCCACCATCCTGCCAGGGGACCATGAATGCTGCACAGGGAGTGGTGAGGAGGCGCTCCTACTCTTCAAGGCCAGGAAGATATCTTCAGGTGGAACTCTCTCCTCCTGCCCTCCGCCCCTGCAGTACTGAGGAGTCCTGACCTTTGTGGCAGAGGAGGCTGAACCAGGAGCCTAGACTTCTCCTCCCACCAGGCAGGAGCAAAGCAGTGTCCCTTTCCCTGCCAGTGTGATGTCAGACAAAGTCAGCTAAAATCGAGGATTTAAATAAGAACCAATCTCCGTACCTCACACATCCAGGTTTTAATTGAAAACCATCATATCAATAACCAGGAAGATCTTAAGCTGAATGAAAAAAGACAGTACATGTGAACACCAAGATGACAGAAATGTTAAAATTATCTGACAAAGTGTAAAGCAGCCCTAATGAAAATGTTTCACGGAGGGATTACAAACATAGTAGAAACATGAAAATTTTTAAACTGATAAATATAAGACTAGAATACAAAACACAGTGGATGGGTTCAGTAACAGAATAGAAGGGATAGGAAAGAGTTTGTGGATTGGAAGACAGAACAATAGAAATTACCCATTCTGAATGAGTGGGTTTTTTTAAATCTGAACAAAATGGACAGTCTCAAGGATCTATGGGATATTAACAGAAATTTAATATTCTATCCCTGAATTCTGGGAGAATGAGAAAGAAGATCAGGACTGAAAAACTATTCAAAGAAATAATGGCTGAAAACTTCGTAAATTTGGCAAAACATGTACACCTACAGATTCAAGATAACTGAGACAAACCTGTGTCCCATAAAACCCAAAGAATTCACATCAAGACATGGCAAAGTCAAACTTCTGAAAACTTAAGACAAAGAAGAAAGACATCCTGAAAGCAGAGAGAGATGTGCCCCCCTAACTTCTAGAGGAAAGCAATTGGAACAATATTGGATTTCTCATCAGAAACCATAGAGTCCAGAAGGCAGAATGCTACATTTCTGTCAACCCAGAATTCCGGATCAAGCAAAATATCTTTCATGGTGAAGGGAAAATCAGGACATTCCCAAGTGAAGGGAAACTAGAAGAATTTGTTGCTAACATGACATCCTAAAAGAATAAGTAGAGGAAATTCTTAAAACAGAAAGAAAATGACAAAAGAAGACACGTAGGGACAGCAGAGGAGAAGAAAAGACAATACAAAGAGTCAAAATATAGGTAAATTCAGCAGACTTTCCTCCTTGACTTTTCTAAATTATTTGATGGCTGTAACAAAAACTATGACATCTCTGTGTACGGAAGAATATTTAAGAGAATTAAAAGTAGAAAAGAGCAGAGTGATAGAAAGGGAGGTCAGATTCCTTTGCTTCCCTCAAGCTGGTCATACGCTGACACTAGTGGTCCAGCAGTTGTGTGTACATGAGGTCCCACCTGGTGCAACCACTGAAAAAGCCTGTTCCTAGAGAGAACATACAAAAACATGATAGAAGTAAAAATAGAATTCTAGAATATGTTCATATAACCCACAGGAAGCTTAGAAAAAGAAAAAAAAGTAGAAAGCAGAAAATTAAAACAGAAGGCTTAAGCTAACATGAATAATTACACTAAATGGGAGGTGCGGGCACAGGCTGGCTCAGTGAAGCATGCGGCTCTCAGTCTCTGGGTCGTGAGTTCATACCCTACACTGGGCATAGAGTTTACTTTAAAAAATAAAAAAGGGCCATCTCAGTGTCTCAGTTGGTTAAGCAACTGACTTCAGTGCAGGTCATGATCTCAGGGTTTGTATGATCGAGCATCACTCCAGGCTCTGCACTGACAGTGCAGTTTCTCTCTGCCTCTCCTAAACACTCTCTCAAAGTAAAGAAATAAACTTTAAAAATAATAATAATTACACTAGGTGTAAATAGTTCTAAATAGACTAGTTAATAGAAATTGGCAGACTTGGGGCACCTGGGTGGCTCAGTCGGTTAAGCATCCGACTTCAGCTCAGGTCATGATCTCACTGTTTGTGGGTTCAAGCCCCTCATCGGGCTCTGTGCTGACAGCTCAGAGCCTGGAGCTTGCTTCATATTCTGTGTCTCCCTCTCTCTCTGACCCTTCTCTGCTCACGCTCTCTCTCTCTCTCTCTCTCTCTCTCTCTCAGAAGTAAATAAAACATTAAAAAAAAAAATTGGCAGACTTGTAAACACATACTACCAACTATGTGCTATATATATAAGGAAGTATTCAAATACAACAGTATAAGTAAGTTGAAAGTAAAAGGATAAAAAAGGATGTACCACACAAACATTAATCAAAGAAAGCAAAAATGTCTATGTTCATTACAACAAAGTAGACTTCATAGCAAAGAAAGTCACCAGTGACATGAATAATGAGACAGATGTCAGTCCACAGGGAAAACATAATGATCCCAAAGGTGGATGCATCTAACAATAAGAGCTACAAACCGCAGGAAAGAAAACTGATAGGCCGTAAAGGAGAATGCGGAAATTCATAGTTACAGTGTGAAAACTGAATATATACCTCTTTCAGCAAATAGTAGAACAGCTTAGAAAACCAGAATCTAATCAGTATTAATGGAACAGCTCACCTAGCAACAGCGGAAGGTGCATTGTTCTCAGACTCCCACAGGATATTTACTGTGGGATGGATTGTGGTATGGGCCGTAAAACACATTTAGGGATTGAAATCATATAGAGTTCTCTGGCCTTGGGGAATCAAACTGTAAATTAGTAACAGGAAGGTGAAAGCAGAATCTCCACACACTGAAAACTAAACAAGGTTTTTCTAAATAATCCATGATGAGGAAAAATGTGTCAAGGGAAAAAAACACATAAAAACTGAATGAAAGGGAAAACACAACATATCAAAATATGTGAACGCAGGTAATTTGTATCTCTGAAGACTCATAGTAGGAAAGAAATGTTTCAGGGCATCTCCTTGGTAGCTCAGTTTGTTAAGCATCCGACTTCAGCTCAGATCATGATCTCACAGTTTCGGAGTTCGAGCCTGTGTTGGGCTCTGTGCTAACAGGTCAGAGCCTGGAGCCTGCTTCCGATTCTGTGTCTCCCTCGCTCTCTGCCCCTCCCCCACTTGCACTCTTGTGTATGTCTCTCTCTCAAAAAAAAAAAAAAAAAAATTAAGAAATTTTTTTTTTAATGTTTTATTTATTTCTAGGAGAGAGAGAGAGAGACAGCATGAGCAGAGGAGGGTCAGAGAGAGAGGGAGTCACAGACTAAAACAGGCTCCAGGCTCTGAGCTGGCAGTCAGCACAGAGCCCGACGCGGGGCTCGAACCCATGAACTACGAGATCATGACCTAAGCGAAAGTCGGACGCTTAACTGACTAAGCCACCCAGGCGCCCCAAGAAGAAATTTTTTTTAACTCTCAAGAAAGTTTGAGTGTTCACTTGAGTCTAAGACCATCACTAAGAGTGTTTAGATAATGCAGATGTCCATCAGAAAGTGGATTACTACATGGGGAAGGATTACTACATGGAATATAGTAATGAAATGTATCTATGAACTTTTCTATTATCTCAAAAATATTTTTAATGAAATAAGCAAGTTTCACAGTTATTCATACAATGGTGTAGCATTCTGTGTGAATTTACTTATATGTTGAATCTAAAAAAAAGAAACCAAGCAAACAAAGTAAAACAGAAACAGACTCACAGATGCCAGAAGCACACTTGGTTACCAATAAAGAGAGGTGAGGAGACAGGTGGGGTAGGTGAAGGGAGTTAGGAGATACAGACTTGGGAGTTACAAGATCCCTGAGTCACAAGGACGTGAGGTACATTGTAGGGAATATAGTTGGTGATGTTGTGATAACTTCATGTGGGGATCATTTCATAACATAAGAATACCAAATCTCAGGGCACCTGGCTAGCTCAGTCGTTAGGGCATGAAACTCTTAGGCTGTGAGTTTGAGCCCCACACTGTGTGTAGAGATTACTTTTTTTTTTTTTTCCCTAAGAGAGAGAGAGAGAGAGACAGCGTGAGCAGGGGAGGGTCAGAGAGAGAGGGTGTCACAGACTGAAACAGGCTCCAGGCTCTGAGCTGGCAGTCAGCACAGAGCCCGACGCAGGGCTCGAACCCACGAACCGCGAGATCATGACCTAAGCGAAAGTCGGACACTCAACCGACTAAGCCACCCAGGTGCCCCGAGATTACTTAAAAATATGTCAATCAATCAATCAGTCTACACCTTGTAAAAAAAAATTCTCTGTGATATGCACCTGACACTAATAGGATATCATATGTTAACTATACCTCACCACTCATTGTTTATAGATTAAAAACAGACTTGAGAAACAAAGTTTATAATAAGTTTGTCTTAGAAAAGGCGGGAAGGGTGTCTGAGGAGAAAAAAGAGATGTCAATTAAAAAAAAAAATTCAGACCCAAATGCCCTTGCTAGAGAATTCAACCAGACTTAAAGAAACTAACACCAATTCTATGAATTCTTCCAGAAAATAAAAGAAGAAACACCAATTCACTTTATTTAAGTAGTATTGACACCAAGGCCAGATAAAGACAATACAAAAAACAAACAAAAAAACTCTATAAACTGATACTTCGCATGAATATAAAGTTCTTCCCAAAAAATCATGAACTAGGATATATCGGTTGTTACAGAAAAAGCATTTGCCACAATTCAACATCCATTCAATGATAAAGAGGAAAAAAAACTGAGAAAAATAGGGAGAACTCCATCAACTTGGTAATGGGCATCTAAAAATAAACCTGCACATACCACTATACTTACAGGGAAGAGATTGCATGTTTTCTTCCCAAGATCATGAAGCACATTCTCACTGCTCTTACTCAGCATTGCACTGAAAGTTCTGTCCTGAAACACGGCAAGAAAAGGTATACAGATCAGAAGGGAAGAAATAAAACTGACCTGAGGTGAAGAGGACATGATTGTCTACATAGAAAATCCTGAGTAATCTACAGATTGACATGTGTCCTGGTTCGCCCACCAGCACCATCACCAGCTAATGCCAGGATGGCCATCTGTACTTTTGGACCTGTGATGATGGCCCCAAACTGCTACTCAGGTTCCATGATGTGTAGCATGTAGCTGGTCTGATGCTGCCAACATTCTGGCTCACTCAGTAGAGCCCATCTATGATCCCTGATCCTATGGAAGGAGGTGGTCAGACAGGCAGCAGGTGTGCATCATGATGTCAACAAGGCCAGGGTTCTCTGTCACTTTCAGTCCCAGGGGGCATCAGAATGAGCAGTGACCAGACAGATGGGGCCTATCTCCCGCATCTGCTGACTCCCAGTGCTGCCGCTTTCTGCCCTGAGTGGCCAAACAACTGGGAAGAAGAGCTCCCAACTCCAGCAAACTGTTTTTCCAGTACCGTTACCACCACCTGCCTTCACATGATGTGGTACGTGTTGTCCTTTCTGTCTGGCCGAAAGCACTCACATGGCAAAAAAAAACCTGTAAATGATCTTTAAATTCATCATCTTAAAGTATTCTTGGTGTTGTATATACTTTTGGGTTTGTATATTAATTGGTACATTTTGTTTCTAAGGTAATTGAATAAAACCGTATTGCTTATAAAAAGGTAAAATTCATCACATTCACGAGATATCAGATAAACATAACAAAAATCACTTTAATTTTTGTACATTAGCAATGAACACATGGAGAATGAAATTTAAAGTTTCATACCATTTATAGTCTCTCAAAAAAGAGAGACTTCACGGGAAATCTAATTTTAAAAAGTGCAGGACTTACATGCCCAAGTCTATAAATTACTGATGAAAACATGGAGTGAGACATGTCATGTTCGCGGATTGGAAGATTCGATATAGTAAACATATCAGTTCTCCCCTAATTAATACACATGTTTAACTGCATTCCTGTCAAACCTCAACAGTGCTTTTTGGTAGACATAGACAAAATTGTAAAACCTACCTGGAAAGAGAAAGGAAATAAATAGCTAAAACAATTTCGAAAACTATGAATAGCATGGGAGAAATCACTCTACCCCATTTCAAAATTCACCTGAAGACTGTGGTGAGAGCGTAGCAGAGACGCTGATCTGTGTCCCAGATGGGGGACCCAGAAATAACACCCGTAACACGGGACCAGAGGATTTTTGAGAGAGGGGCAGAAACAGTTCTGTTGAGGCATCTTTTTGCCATGTGGCACCAGGGGAGCCCTGGACATGCGCCTACAGCATATACAGACCAACTCAGAAGAGAGCACGGGCCTAAGTGTAAAACCAGTAGGAGAAACCCTTCAGGATTCAGGACAAGATAAAGAGTTCATAGACTTGACACCAAAAGTCCAATCCAGAAAAAGAAAAATTGAGGAATTTGTGGTTTTTTAGGTGGAGTATTGCTTCTGGAAAATCCAAAAGGCGACAACAGACTGGACCTTTTAAAGCTGAAGAGTGTCCTTACTAGCATTTTTGGTATTAAAAATGCAGAGTTGGCTGTCCTCCATGAGGAGACAGGTATGTGGAAAGTCTTCTGACCCGAGGCAGGTTGTTTGGTATCAGTTCTGCTCCACAGCTGTGCCTTCCTCCTGAGTCTGAGTCGCCCAGAGGCCCCTCAGCAGATGCAGCCTCCCATCCTGCCCTCTGCCACTCCGGCACAGGCTGGGGTCTGGGCTTCAGAGGTTCCATGTAGTGCCTGTGTCTTGCTAGACCCAGATTCTTAGTAAGATGAACTTAAAAAAAGACCTTTTGAAGTCTCTCGTACCCCAAAACATGACCTTCTTCTTGCCAGTGTAATTAGTTAAGAGGAGTAGCCCCAGGAGCAGGCAGGGACAGTGCCAGTGGAGACGCGGGCAGAGCTGGACTTGGGGGGCTGCAAGTCAAGAATCGGCACAGCTCAGCTGGCTGGGAGCCTCCAGGAGCTGGGGGAGGATGGGGAGATGTCCTGCAACCTTCAGAGGGAGCAGGGCCCTCGGAACACCTTGATCTTGATACCTCATCTGTTGCCGTGATTCTTAACAGCAGCCACAGGACACTCTTTAAGAGTCTGAATGCTTTCTCAGGACTTTTAAATGTCTTAAAAGAGATCTGGATGGCCAAGGGGACTGGAGAGCCTTGTCAGTCGGGGCCTCAGCGAGGTCCTGCGTGCATGTGCCACCAGCTTGGCAGGGACCAGGGCAGGTTCACAGTGTCAGAAGCCCTCATCCTCGGTCCCAGGTCCCGGGGGTCCTGGGAAGTTCTGGGAGCCCCAGGTGTAGGTCTAGAGTGGAGGCCATGCAGACTGTCCATCAAGGACTTGCCTCAGCCACTTTCCCACACACCACGTCCACCTGTCATCGCCAGTCACAGCCTCCAGCACCATCCATCTGTGTTGCCAGCCCTAAACAGTGTATAATTATAGAAGAAATCTGTATGTGTTCTGTTGTCTTGCTATTTTTCACGTGTTCATGAGTCACATACTTTGTTTTCTTCTAACTAATTAGCATTTTTAATATTAGGTTTCTTTTGACACTGAAGTTTAGGATTCTGACATAGAACATTTTAAGAGGAGCGGTAACACACAGAATACCAAAGCAGGAAAAACAATTTTACCTTATATTTTTAAGTTATAAGGCAAGGTCCTTTGATAAAGCAAAATTAAGTGGAAAGCATCACTGCAAAGATACAGGATAGTTGAATAAGTAGGCAAAGATAAATGACTTCAGCTCTGAACTGTGTACCCCTGAAAGAATGATTTCTTGTCGCTGTTTTTGTTATTTTTAGAAATGCGAAACCAAACTGACTTACTGAGTCTTAGTGGAAAAACACTCCGTGTGGCAGCAGGCTCTGCCCCTGCCGTGGTAGACGGCCCCGGCTCCGCGCTCTGCCGCTACATCAACCTGCAGCTCCTGAATGCGGGCCCGCAAGGTGCGCCTCCCCAGCCACTGAACACCTGGGCAGGCGGGTCTGGGGCGCTTGGTGTCAGGGTTCCTTCCGCTTTCCGAGTCTCATGTGCTGATGGGAAGCGTGCGCCCCCTGCTACTCTAGGGGGCACACTCGGGCTTGTGTCTCTGTTATGTGGAAACATTCTCCAGCCACCTCCATCAGCAGATGAGGTAAACTGGCAGGTAAACGTCGCAGCTACATGAAGCAGAATGAAATGCTAAGGTGCTTTAAGTCTTCATTTTGGTTTTTTCTTTTCCTGAGAAGTATTCTGAAAACTGTTGGACATGTCCATGCATGGGTCAGCAAGACTGGATGGATGGGGTTTTTTTCCTTGCTATTTGGGGCCCCCGTTGTGTGCATGTGTTCCTAGAGTGTCCCTTCCCCAGCTGCAGACTCTTATATCCGTGGGAGTTTCCTTTCCCTCTGGGAGGCAGTTCAGGCTATCTCTGCAGACTGGACGCCTCCCCCCCGCCCAGGGCCCCACTGCTCTGCACTGGGTCCAGCAGCCAGAGGGTGGGCTCTCAGGAACTAACCCAGCACTCTGTTTCTTCCGTAGAGTGTGTGAAGGGAACGGTGGGCACGCTCCTGCTGGAAAACCCCCCTGGACAGAACGGACTCACCCACCAGGGCCTCCTGTATGAAGCAGCCAAGGTGTTTGGCCTTCGTAGCAGGAAGCTCAAACTGTTTCTGAATGAGACTCAAACAGATGGTGAGGACATGAATGCACTGGCTACATTGTCTTCATTTCTGTGTTTCTTTTGTCAAGAGTGATTGTTTTTAACGGGTACTTATTTTTGAGAGAAAGTACAAGCTGGGGAGGGGCAGAGGGAAAGAGAGCATCCCAAACAGGCTCTGCACCATCAGCACAGAGCCTGTCGCAGGGCTCAAGCCTACCACCCATGAGATCATGACCTTAGCCAAAACCAAGTGTCTCACACCCAGCTGACTGAGCCTCCCAGGCTGCTCCTTGATTTTGGAAGCTTCTCCCCGGCACAGCCAGACTACTCGCTCTTCTGCCTTAGCCTTCACTCCCTCATCAGCCAGATTTGAGCAGAAAAGCTTTTTTTTCTTTCAGAATTGAAAGCTTGGGGTCTTCTCAGGACTTTTCTGTGCTGCATCCTGCTCCGGGCATGCGTGTGGCTTGCTAAGTTATACACAGTTCTCGTGTCCAAGGGCATGCCATGCTGTCCTTCACTTTTCTCTCTGGCATTGAGCCCTCTGTTGTGTCAGCCACAGTCTTGTGCCCCCGGCAGCTGTGGGAATTTTGTTTGCCTAACCGTGTTTTCAAGCAGTGCCTACACTTACCCCCCGGGTGAGCTCCGATCAGACAAACTAGAGACAGGCATCTTCTGGGAGCCCTGGAAGTGGCTCCCAGTCACATTTGGACAAACACCTGCCTTTGCTCTGTTCCTTCTGGGACTATGGGGACCTTGGGCTCCTGTGTTCAAGCGCATCACCAGCTGGGGGATGCGGGGCAGGGAGCCACACGGTGTGACAGCATGAGTCTCCCTGTGCTTACAGGTTGCCTTTTTCTTGATCCAGCACTCACTTGCAGTCCACCTTTGGTGGTTTCTAGAGTTCTGACAACGTTGTTTCTGTTTGTTTCTGGTGTTTCTGAGGAAGCCCCGTGTAAAGAAGTGTTTCTCTAGATCTTTGGGGATGCTGTCAGCCCAGGCCCATACAAACTCCATTACTCAGGGCCCCAGTGGTGCGTGAGGGCCGGAGTCTCATGGGGATGTGCTCAGTCTGTCCCTGCCCTCCTGAAGTCAGGGTGTCCGCAGCGCCACGGTTTCTTGGGAGGACAGTCTGGTCCTTGCCTCCCCAGCTTCTGACGGTCCCAGGCATTCTTGACTGTGACCCCATCACTCTGACCCCTGCCTCTGCGGTCAGAGTGCCTCCTCCTCGTCTGTTCCACGGTTCCCAGGAACTGGGACGTGGGCGTATCTTTGGGAAGGCCTGTGGTTAAGCCCACTACATTCCCTTAACCGTCTTCTGGGTGGTGAAGGGTCTGCTGCCACGGGTTCCTTATTCTGGCCCCAGGTTTTGTGGGGGCTCGGGGTTCCTGGACTTCCCAGTCTGTGCAGACCCCAGGCTTTTCTCATTTCTCTTCAGTAGCCATTTAGTGCCGAAAGCTTTAGGCCACCAGGACCTCCGGGAAACCTTAATGTTCAGGTACCTCTTGGGATCCATGAATTTTGGCCTTTGGATTTCTCTCATGTTCTTCCCTTGCTCAGCTAATTTTTTTTAATTAATCTTTTATGTTACACTTTCAAATTTTCTGCTACATCGTCAGAGAGTAAAGCCTCCTTTGCACCTGCTTCTGTCTTTAACAAGGCACCACCATGACCCTGACCCTCACATCGGTGCCTCAGCGTGTCCGTCTCCACCAGCAGAGGCTCCTCCTACAACAGTATCCATACTCAGCCCCCACAGTGACATCCATGGGCTCCCTGCCATCAGCAGCTCCTCTCACTTTGCCCCCAACACACCCGGCTCTCACGTGTGGTTTGGCGGGAAAAAATAGCCTCCTGTTCCTGTTCAGCATGGCTGAAAAGTCCTCGTCCCCACACCCTCCAGTCCCCAAGTGCAGCCAAGCTGTGGACATGGCAAAGTGTCGTCATCTCTGGTTCTGTCCAGGTGCAGGCACCGGGCCCACGCGACCAGGGCGGAACCATATGTGTGTGACTCGGGCCCTGACATTACTGCCTGTGACAGGGCAGGCCTCGCCTGTGCCCCCACCGCCTTCTCCCTGCGCCATGAGGCTGGTGGCCACGCCATGGCCGAGAGACCTCAAAGGCTGAGTGACCCAAGACCACTGAGAAGCCTGGAGCCCCTTCCAGCCCAGTGTCTCCGCTAGTCCTGTGTCCCCAGCCTCATTTCCTCGTGCTCCTCTCCAAGTCGTTTTTCTCAAAGTAGTAATAATTCAGTAAATTAGAAGGATCACGGGATGTCCTACAGTTTTGGAAACTCACAGATGGCTTCCTGTTTGTTCCACTAGGTGCTCGCTTTCCTCTCCAGATCCTGTTGCGATCTGCCTATGAAGGAGATCGCTCTGAGAGTAATTTCCAGACTCCCTGCTTGTCCTGGCAGAGAAGGTGGTCCTTCCCTTCGAATCCAGATCTGCTAGAAGCAGTGGGCAAAGAGCAGTTTTAGCGTTTATTTTCTCTCCCTCTCCCTCCCTCTCCCTCCCTCTCCCTCCCTCTCCCTCCCTCCCTCTCTCTCTCTCTCTCTCTCTCTCTCTCTCTCTCTCTCTATTTGGGCTTTTATCTATTTAGTGTGTTTTCATCAATTACATTTGTTTTATACTTTAAGATGTCAGAGTTTTTGTCTTTGGCTGTATTGGCTTCTATATTCTTTAACACAGGCCTTCAGTTTCTGATAACTGCATTCTGGCTTTGCAAGATGTTATGGGTTTATCATAGCCTCATACTTCCCCAGACCTGGACACAATGTGATTCTCCCTCTGTTACTATTTAGAGACCACAAATCTGGGCCCAGCTGAGCATGGGTTCTAAGCCTTCTCTGTGCTCATAGGAAACACCTGTTTGGGGCAGGGCATGTGTACATCTGGGCTGGTGTGCCAGGCTAGTTACATTGAGGGTAGTCCCCCAAAAGGTCTGCCCGAGACTTCTCACACCAGCTATAGGGAGTCCAGGGCCTTCGACAAACTCTGTAAGAGGCCATGCGAGACGACTGTCACTTCTGCTACCAACTGTAAGTTCAGAGGATTTCCCAAAATCACCCTTGGCCTTGGTAATTTGCTAGCAGGATTCATAGAACTCACTGGCACCTATAGCACTTAACAACCACATTTGTTGTCAGAAAGGAATAAAAACTAGAACCAGGCAAAGGAAGAGGTACAGAGCACCAAATCTGGGAGGGATCCAGTCACAGACTTCTGTTGTTCGCTCCCGAGTGGTCCTGGGCAGTGTGACCTCCGGGCCCCAATGCATGACAGTGGTGAGCACAGTGGATTACCACCCCAGGAAGCTCCCCGAGCCTGGCGCCAGAGTTTGTGGTGAGGCTTCATTACATGGGCCTCATAGGTTTGTTGCCCACGTGGCTGCTCTGTCTCAGATGATACCACGTGACCTAAATCATGTGGCTGGTCTTTTTGCTGCAGCTGGCTCCGCCCTGAGTCACCTCACTAGCAGAAACTATCAGGTATATTCAGGGCCCACTAGAATTAACAAACCACTCCTGTCACTCAGGAAGTTCCAAGGCTTTAGAGTTCCTGCAGGACCTGGGACGAAGGTCAGACCTCTGGGGGTGAGGTCAGATTTCTTCACACAAGCAGTCAGCATTTTTCAAATATTCATACAGAATAGGTAGAAGATTTATTTTTTTTAATCTTCTTTCCATTCTAGAAATTACAGAAAAAATCCCCATGAAGACTTTGAATATGAAGACTGTGTACGTTTGTGTATTACCGACAACAGCAGACGTCTGACCTTCGTTATCTATGTGGCTGAGTCAACCTCCCCCTGCCACGTGGCTGTTCCCTGCACACACACTGAACATATCCCTGCAGGTGCACGCATCGTGTGCTGTATCTGGTCTGAAAATGAACTGGGATCGATCCATCAGGTGACTTGGAACCTCCAGTGATGCTCACACTTAGCCCTGGGCACCTTCGCATTCGTGCTGGGGGAAGGGTCACTTCCGCACCACAGAGCTCCCTTCTGCACTTGCAGAAGGGGTTTAATGGTGTGGTCTGTGTGTATCATTCTGTGGCCTTTCAAAACTTGAGACCTCTGGAAGGAATGGGTTAAGTATTTCTGCTACCTGGATTTTCCTGGGTAATTTGATGGAGTGATTTAAGTTTCAGTAAATCAGAACAATGAACAAATTTTCTCTCAGATAATAAATGTTTTAGAAGTAATTCATCCTCCCATAGTTGAATAAAACTTGAAATTTATAATCTTTAAAGAACACAAAAACTTAATAGCGACTTCTTTGTTAAGATGGTGGGCACCTGGGTGGCTCAGTTGGTTATGCTCCACACTTAGGTTCAGGTCATGATCTCACAATTTGTGACTTCTAGCCCTGCATTGGGTGGTCTGCTGTCAGCACAGAGCCTGCTTCAGATCCTCTGTCCCTGTCTCTTTCTCTGCCCTCACCTTCATTCATGCTTTCTCTCTGTCTCAAAAATAAACATTATTAAAAAAAAAAAAAAGTGGGACAGGATGCCTAGGTGGCTCAGTCAGTTTGGCATCTTAAGCATCTGACTTCAGCTCAGTCATGATCTCTCAGTTTGTGAGTTCAATCCCACTTCTCTCTCTCTCTCTCTCTCTCTCTCTCTGTCCCTCACTTGTGCCCTCTCTTATTCTCCAAAGGGATAAAAAAAAGGGTGGGCTACATATCTAATTTCACTTCCTCTAAAAATCCACGTGTCGGAGGAGTAGATGCCAAGACAAAATCAGCTGTAGGAGTCTACTGGGGGAACACAGGTGCAGGGTAAAGGGAGGACCAGGCATAGGTGGATGGACATACATGTGGGTCTGCCACCTGTGGACACAGAAGAGGAAGGATGGAAGGTTGATTAGAAAAAGCCCAGACTTCAGGGCCACCCTGGGAAAGTTCTGGTCAGGCCAGGGTCCTTCGTAGAGGAAGAGTCCCAAGTGGGGCAGACATGACCTGGCTCTGGCCAGAGCAGCTGCGGACAGCAGAGCCTCAGCCCAAATGATCCCGCTCTGGCGTCTCCTGCACGGGAGCTGGATGGTGCGTCTCTGGCTGCTACAATTACATTCAAGTTCACAAAGTTGAAGGGGAAAAAAACCAGTAAAGAACCAGTAAAGTCTGATTGGCCAGAATCAGAGAAATTGGAACCCTGTGCACTGTTGGTGAGAGTGTGAAATGCTGTGGTTGCAGCAGACAAGGAATTGAAGACAGTCCAGCAATCTGGATCTGTACTCCAAGGAAAGCTGGACCTGGAAGAGGTATCCTGCACAGCCAGGTTTGCCGCAGAATTACTCTTTATTACGTGCACCCAGCAGGATATCACTCAGTCTTTGGGAGGAAGGATGAGCTCTGGGGACCTTCTGCTGAGTGAAAGTTGAGCACTCCAGAATTCCACGTTGGTGAGGTCCCTGAAGGAATCGGACCCTGAAACAATGGACAACTGAGCTGCCAGGCCACAGGGAGGAGAGGGGTGTCCAGTGGGCAAGGTTTCAGTTTTGGCAAGAGGAGGAAGCCCTGGAGGTCTTTTCCTAACCTTGAGTATACTTAACGCCTGCTAAACCTGTACAATGGTTACGTCAGTAAATTTTAGGTATTTGTTGTTATTTTAAAATATTTTTAATGCCAAAGGGACAGAAGCCAACCTGAAAGAGCTCCCACTGGCTAAAGCTGGAACAATTTGAAGAAAAACATAATTTAGTATTGAATTAAAATTGGAAGTATAAAATAAATTCTGTGAGTCCATGAGAACATAATCATGGACCACGTAAGGGAGAAGTGACCGCTAACTTTGTAGACACCCCCTCATGGTACACCTGATTTCCCGCCCCTCAGGAGTGGGCTGCACATAGTGACTTACCTCCCAAGGCAGAGACAGAAAGCTGGCAAAAAGTAACTTCCCAGTTTAGTATCCAGCAAACACTATGTCAGACAGGTGACAGAAGTCAGCATCAGCCATGACAGCATACATTCCCATTATGATGAGAATGGCTTTCACCTCTGCCCCTTCCCACCCCTGAGAACCTGTCACCCAGTCTAACCATGAAGAAGACCTCAGACAAACCCAGAGTGAGAGACATTCCACACCATACCTGATTAAACTGTGAAGGCTGTCAAAAACAGACATAAAGGCTAGACATGATGTGGCATCCTGGGTGTGATCCAGGAGCAGAGAAAGGTCTTTACGGACAAAATGGGATCCCAATAAGGTACAGAGTTTAGTTAATGATGTATCATTGGTTCAGCAGTTGTGCAGCATGAACCATAATGTAAGATGTTAGCAATAGGGTAAAGTGGGTGTGGGGTACTTTTCTAGGAGTCAAACCTCTACAAGTAAGTTGTATCTTTAGTAAATGGAAGAAAATGAATTTAAAAATCTATGTGAAATGGCAGCTAAAAATATGAAATGCTCAGAGGTAAATTTGACGGAAAAGTGGAGTACCTGTAACCTGAAAATTGGCAAATACTGTTTCAACATCATGAAGAAAGCCTATAGAAGTGAAAGATTACATCACATGATATAAGTGGGCTAGAGCTGCCATGAGGAAACCCCACAGATGAGCAGTGTAAACAGCTGGAGGCTGTACGTCTAAAATCAACACATCCATGAGTCTGATTTCTCCTGAGGGCTCCCCTTGGCTTTCCTGTGTCCACTCCAGTGCCACCGTCTCTTGTCAAGGTAGTCCTATTGGGCTAGGGCCCAGCCTTATGACCAGTATCTTCCTAAAGGCTTCATCCTCAAGTACAGATGTATGCAGATCAGGGCTCCAACATGAATTCTGAAGGAACAATTCAGTTCATAACGATGGTCATGGATCCACAAATTCAATATAGTTAACCATTCTTCACAATTGATCTATATATTCAATGTAGTCCCAGTCAAAATTTTTTCAGAGTATTGTGCTGGGTGAAAAAGTAAAATAACGTATGATTTCATTTATATGTGGAATTTAAGAAACAAAACAATCGAGCAAATGGGGAAACAAAGCGGGGGAGGCAAGCCAACAAAAAGACTCTTAACTATAGAGAAACTGCAGGTCACCAGAGGCGGGGGATGGGTGAAACAGCTGATGGGGCTAAAGGAGGGCACCTGTGATGAGCACTGGGTGATGTATGGAAGTGCTGAATCACAGTGTTGTACACCTGAAACTAATGTTACACTGTATGCTAACTATACTTGATTTAAAATTAAAACTTTTTAATAATCCCAGCAGAGTTTTTTCATAGACATTAACAGGCTGTTTTTAAGATTGTATGGAAATGCAAAAGATTTAAAAGCCAAATTTTCGAAGAGTTGGAGGGCTTAAATAATCTGATGGCAAGACTTAACAAAACTACAATAAATTAAGACTGTGGAATTGGCATAAAGATAATAAATAGATCATTAGGGCAGAGAAGAGAATCAAGAAACAGACCTACATATATATTTTCAGTTGATGTTTTTTAATGATGCCAAAGATGTCAATGGGAAAAGAATAATCTTGTCCCCAAAGAGGTACTGGAACGAGCGATTGTCGTAGACATGCCCACACACAGAGTCTCAACCTACACCTGTCCCTATGCAAAAGTGAACTCAAAATATATGAAAATGTAAGCATAACTATAACAAAGATATAATATGTATATTTTATCACAATAAAAATGTTAACAGAACTAAATGTAAGAGCTCAAATCCATCCATTTTCTATAAGAACACAGGAAAAAAATCTTAGTGATTTTTTTTTACTTGGTGGGGTAGGTAGAATAGCCCCCAAAGATACCCACACCTTAATCCCTAGAGCCTACAGATATAGTATATACTAAGGAAACTTTGCAGATGTTGGGGCGCCTGGGTGGCTCAGTCGGTTTAGCGTCAGACTTCGGCTCAGGTCATGATCTCATGGTTGATGTGTTCAAGCATCGCACTGGGCTCTGTACCGACAGCTCAGGCTGGATCCTGCTTTGGATTCTGTTTCCTCTCTCTCTGCCCCTCCCCTGCTCATGCTCTGTCTCTGTCTCAAAAATATAAACGTTAAAAATGGAAGAAGAGAAAAAGAAACTTTGCAGATGTGATTTAGAGTATAGGCTTGAAAATTAAAGAGATTATCCTGATTTATGTGGGCGGGCCCATGCCAACCACAGGAGACAGGGGCCAAGTTCCCTCACGAACATGCTTACTATTGAGATCCCTTTAAAAACTCGTGGGCATTTCCAGAAGCTGGACCAAAGGATGCAAAAGTCTCTGGCCTATAACCCAGGGAAATACCTAAAACAGCAACGAGATGAGTTTGCCCACTGAAAGAATAGGACAAAGAAAAATGGTCTGAGCAGCCGTACCATCTTGTTTTAGGAGAGTGTTCCAGAAAGAGCCCGGGTGACCTTCTAAAACAAGTACGGGAGGAAGTGGCCTGTGTTGGGCAACCACAGACCCCATCAGTGGTGGGAAAGGAGGTACAGTGCTGTGGCTGGAGGTCAAAATGGACAGCGATGTGTGGCAGCGGAGAAGGTGGAGAGGGTCTTTGTACAGCTCTTCCCTTGGAGGGAAGAGATACGGGGTGCAATCTGGAAGTGCATATTTGTTGGTGAAAACTTTACCTGTGGAGAAAACTCTAAAGATAAGGAGCGTCTTGCATCTCCTTCCTCTTCGCCCACATCTGTGTATCCCACAATGCCACCCCTAAACCTTCGAGCCACGTCACCCTGAGGTGCGTCCCATAGGACTCGTCTCACCTCTGTGCTCCCCCATTCTTCTCCACCAGCAATCTTGACCCTGTAAGCTGGGTTTAGGCAAGTGACACATACATAGATGGTCATAAGAAGCCTGGTCCCCCTCTCTCCAGAGCATCACCCCTCTGTCCAGAAACACACAACGGGGTTCTTTGTGCACCACCTAAGGGACACACTGCACAGTCTCCTGGGTGTCTTCCCGCAGAACTGTATTCCAAGCCTTAGTGACAGGTACCCTAACACACTATCCATGCCCATAGCGTTGCTGCATTGATTCTGTGGCCGCTCGCTAAGAGATGTTGAAGCCCCGTGATGATGAACACAGAGGTCGTCTCTCATCATTTGTTGAACTGCGGTGAATGCCAGCACAGCCCCCAAAGTCAGATGGCATTGACTGCCCCTGAACAGGTCATGGGGGATCCCACTCTTTTCCTGGCAAACCAGGGGCTCCTGCTGGGCCATCCTGAAATCAGTTCTTTACCACAAAATGCACTTGGGAGAC